ATTGTCTGTGTCAATGAAGCTACTCTTAGAAGCAAATTAATTGTGTTTAATATTGCGAATATTGAATCCACATTACTAAAGAGATCTCAGGAAGTGACTCTTCTCACATAGCATTTCTTAGTAAGGTCTAAAAGTATCACATAAATGATAGATAAAGGCAGCCACAGGAGTTTAGCAATTATTTGCACAAGTTGAATAACTTCTGAGTTCAGTTTCGGTGATGATAGAACAGAATTAACTCAGGATTCCATTTCTGTTAATTTCAGAAGCGTAATTCACATAGAATTCATTAGCAATTCGATTTTTGACTTAAATAATGAGGGGAGTGTGGATTACAATACCAAAGACTTCTCGAACATTCTCAATTTTCCTTATAGAATTTTTGAGTAGCAATTTGAAGAGTTCTGAACAGTTAGTCAATACATTGAAGCTTTGTTGACTACTGTTGCAGGAGTCTTGAATCAATTCAGTTTCTTTTTGTTCTTCTCTCATTAGTGGTTCTTTTAGATCCAGAATGGAACTGCTGGAATTAGATTTGGAATCATAGGAGTATTTTCTGAAGGATGATTGACTCTATTGTTAGGGCATCTTAGTCTGAATGTAGTTGAGCATAGTTTCTAGGTTTTGAATAAAGAAATTGGAAACTTCTTCGATCCATGAATCGAGGGGGAAGAAATCCAAGATCCTCAGTCGTATGTATTGGTAATCTTTATAGAATGTACGAGTATTGAGGGTTCTGAGATTGAATAGATCGTTAGGAGTGAAACTGTAGTGATAGTTGCCGAGAGCTGGAATGATAGGGAGATGATATATACCTAGGGATGCATGAAATTTGGGAGACCAAGGCAAGATTTCGGAATTGGTGAATAAGCTCAGCAGTTTTAATTTGATGTAGCTGTCATTCATAGTGTTGATTTCGCAATAGAAGGGGAAGAGACTGGCACTGATGAAGGTTTTGTATACAATAGAAATTATTTCCTAGGAGTGCAATTTTAAATCTTTACAACGCACTACTTTTCTAGTTAATTCATACATGGATTCATATTCTATATGATGTTTTCTTCCAAGTAATTGAATCATTTTCTTGAGGGACTTATAAAATATAGTTTCCAGAGCATCTTCCACCTGCTTCCTAATTCCGATTTCGGAGTACCTGGATTCATATAATAATCGCTAGAGGATAAAGGATATTTTGCGATCAAGTTCACTTTCTCTTTTGGACAATCCTATGATGTCCAATAGAAGGTTATCTTGGGGATCCTTCTTTTTGAAGAAGATATATTCATACGACTTCACATTGAATTGAGGAACTTAAAGCAAGAAAGGTTTTTTAGTAAAATAGGCGAATTTCGCACAGTAATGCAAATCGGTTGCGTGATCGGCCACGATGTATTGAACATCACTGACCTCACTCTCGCGGTAATCTTCTGCTCCTATTCCCATTCCAAAAATTTAGTAATCATTGACATTCCCATCCAGATCCCAGCTCTTGGGGATCCGTATGACCAATTGATTTGTTTCTAACCATTGTCCTTGATTTTCTGATATCTCAGAATAGAGCATCAGTGGGTATTCCAAGGTTAAAGGAAAGTGCATCAATATTATTATTTTATAATTCAATTCACTTTTGTCACACTCTTAAAGGGAATGAACAACTTCTAGTGGACAATTAAATAAACCAGGAAGTGACCTGTCCCATACACGAAACCTGTGAGAAGGGGATACAGTACAAGACATGATTCTCATCCTTTTTCTCAGAAATCAGGTCCCTAAAGTTCATTAATTATTTTATTTTGTGATGTTGAGATTAAGTTTAAACTTGTTTAGAAGAACTGGATTACGCTACTCCAAACCTTGTATGCTCTTTTCTCAAGACAAAGAACCCCCCAAAGGTATTTCTACTCCTTTTAACTTTCAGGTTTCCAAAAATTTTAAAGAAAATCCAAAATATAGCAAGAAGAATCCACTTAACCTAAAGAAGAAAAGAAGGCCACTGAAAAACCCAATTAAGAGGAAGCAGAGAAGATCATCAAGGATGAATAATCAGAAGGTGATCTACCCCCAAAAAGTACACTTGTTTGCATATATTGTGATAGTCGAAAAACCATAGAAAAAGAAGTACCAATTTACTTATGATCCCAAATCCTTTAACCCTTAGGACGAGAATCAGAAGAAGGAGAAGCAGTAATCAGATTAAGAGGAGAAGGTGGACAAGTAGGAGAATCAAGAAGAAAAACAAGAAAAATAGGAAAATTAAGAAGAAGAATAATAATAACAATCACAGTAATAAGAGAAGAAAAAATCTTAATTCCCATAAATTGATTTTAGCAAATTCACAGAGTACTTAAAGAATCCAAATAATCGCAATTATATTTACATGTTTCTAGGTGTTACTGGATTAGCCTCACTTTACACATATTTGAATATGGAAGAAGAAATAACTTATACTGAGTTTCTAAAGAATTACTTAGAAACTAATCAAGTCAGTTCAATCAAAGTGTATAATAATGATAATAGCAAAATTAATTAAGCTTCAATCATTACAAATAGAGGAGAATCTAAAAAGTTAATTCTAGGAAATGTAGATCACTTCTTAGAAAATCTAGAACGCTATTAAACCGAAAAAGGAGTCTATCCAGAGCAATTCATTCCTGTCTCCTTTGAGATCTAAGTAGACAAAGCAAATATGATTGATAGAGCAACGAGATTGTTGAAGTAGGGATTTTCGGTTTTTCTCGTCTTTTATATCTTCAAAACCCTCAAAGGTAGTATTGGAAGTCTTGGAAAAGGTGGAGGAAATGATGTATTTGGCTTTGGTAAATCAAATGTAAAATAATTTGGATTTGAATAAAATGTAAAGGTCAAATTTAATGATGTGGCTGGATTGGATGAAGCTAAATTAGAAATCAAAGAATTTGTAGACTTCCTCAAGAAACCAAGAAAATTTAAAGAAATGGGAGCTAAACTACCAAGAGGAGCTTTATTGGCCGGACCTCCAGGAACTGGTAAAACTATGGTGGCAAAAGCTTGTGCAGGTGAGGCTGGTGTTCCATTCTTTTTTGTGAGTGGATCTGATTTCGTAGAGATGTTTGTAGGAGTTGGTGCAAGCAGAGTCAGAGATCTATTCAAATAAGCCAAAGCAAAGTCTCCTAGTATTATTTTTATTGATGAGATCGATGCAGTTGGTAGAAAGAGAAATGCTAAAATTGGTGGTAATGATGAAAGAGATAATACATTGAATTAATTGTTAGTTGAAATGGATGGATTTGGAACTGATACTAATGTTATTGTTTTGGCAGCCACTAACAGAAAAGAATTACTTGATCCAGCACTCACTAGACCTGGTAGATTTGATAGATCAATAGATATCACATTGCCAGATATTGAAGGTAGAAAACAAATCTTCATGGTTCATTTGGCTCCAATTAAGTTGGATCCCTCTAAGACTATGGAAGAATATGCAAGAAGATTGGCAACTCTAACTCCAGGATTCAGTGGAGCTGAAATTGCCAATCTTTGTAATGAAGCTGCTATTATGGCAGCTAGAGCTAATAAGACATATGTGGACTCTCATGATTTTGAGATGGCATCAGAAAGAGTCATGGCTGGTTTAGAGAAGAGAAGAATCATAAGTGAAGAGGAAAGAAAGACAGTTGCATTTCATGAATCTGGACATGCTGTGGCCAGTTGGTTCTTAAAGGGAGGACATCCACTTCTTAAATTAACTATCATTCCTAGAAGCAAGGGCTCATTAGGATATGCTTAATATTTACCTAATGAATCCAGTCTAGAGACCAAACAAGAATTATTGGATAGAATCTGTTGCATTTTGGGAGGAAGAGTGGCTGAAGAGATTTTCTTTGGGTAAGTCACTACTGGAGCTTATGATCTGATTTAAAGAAGGCTTATGATGTAGCTCACAGCATAGTGTACTAAGTTTGGTATGAATTGAGAACATTGGGTATGTAGGATTTACAGGAGGGAGGAGTTCCTAGAAACCCTTTATAGTGATTGGGCACTAAATAAGTAAGATCCGATGATGAAAATTAGAAAAGCTTAATTGAAAGAGCCAGACCCTAAAGAAACTAGGTTTATTGATCACTGAGAAAATAGGAGTTTGTTAATAAGTATCTTGTTTGAGTAGCATTTTAGATTGGCTTCAACTTTGTTGGAGAAGGAGACTCTCGACTTGCAAAAAATAATTGAAGTTTTGGGAGAAAGACCATTTCCACCGAAATCAAATTATAAGGCTTACTTGGAAATCAAAAAGGAGGATCAGCAAACAACTTCTTAATGAATCATATATCTTATGTATTTTTGAATAGAATTTATCGGATTCTAGACCTGTCACGGGTATTCTTAATTATATAATTTTTGGGGATTTAAAACAGTTGTATCTTTTAAATCAATCAGGATTAAAGCAGAACAAGTTAGGTGTGAGCTGAAATTATTAAATTAAATTATCTTATCATTGGATGATACGTTCAAGGAAGCATTCCAAACAAACCAAAAAGTCTAAGGACTCTGATGATTTCACTGAGCCTCATTCAAAATTATTACTAGAACGTTTCCCCTACACAACAAAAGATTTTTAACTGAAAGACGTTCCTGTACTAACCATTGATCAGAGCTTTTTCGCTGATCCCTTCAAAACTATAGATGATCTCTACGCAAAAGGTTATGAAAAATTTGGAATTGTCAAACTTATTCTCCCTCCAGATTTGGTGGTTCCGAACAAGAAATTCTTTTCCCTGCTGGAGTCTAAACTCAAAGGTAAGAGATTGCAAACTCGTATCCAAACACTGAACACCCAAAGAGCTGGAGAGGTACTTTGATTTATTAGCCTAGATATTTGGTTCAAACTCCACAGGATTTACCGTATAGGAGTACATGAACCTTGCAAATAAGTTCGAGTGCAGTCATAAATTGCAAGGAGTGAGGGAGGTTTCCAATCAGATTCGATAGAATGAAATAGAGTTCTGGTCAATTGTTGATTATCCGACGAAATATGACGATGTCGAAGTGGAATACGCTGCAGATCTTCTGGCAACCAAATATGCCACTGGATTTCAGGAGGGTTAGTTGGGCAATCTCAGCGGAATAAACAAAAATAGGAATTCGATATTCTAGGTTCTTCAAGAGAAGAATGAAATGAGTGGAATCTCAGTGCCTTGGTTGTACTTGGGCATGAAGTATGCTAATTTCTGTTGGCATAAGGAGGATCTTAATTTAAATTCAATGAATTATATGCATGCCGGTGCTGCAAAGACATGGTAATCTATTTGATTAATTCATCTTCTAGGTATGCTATCCCGCCCAGTTACAGCGATAAGTTTCTTCAATACTTCAACAAAGCATTTGAGAACGAAAGGAAGGAGAACCCCCGCTTATTGTACGACATCACATGTCAAATCTCACCTGTAGAACTGGCTGAGAATGGAATCCCAATTCTAAGGACTGATCAACAACCAGGCGAACTAATCTTAACATTGGGGGCTACCTACCATGCAGGTTTTTCTCATGGTATTTTATTTAAATAAAAATTAGGGCTCAATTGCAGTGAGGCTGTCAATGTAGCTCCCACTCAATGGCTCAAAGAGTTCGATAGAGCAACCCAGGAATACCGTATGGATGGGAATTTAAAGAAGGTAATTTGACTGGGTGATTATTTCTGTAGGTGAGTTTCCCCTTGGAGTGGTTGCTCTGCAAGGTGGCTTTGATGGTTGATGAGATAAGGTTTACTAAATAATCGTGGTAAAAGGTACATTTTTTAAATTACTTCTAAGTTATTTGAGAAATTCAAACAAATGATAGATTAAGAAATTAACAATCGCAAGTGCATACTGAGTTTGTATGATCGTGTTAAGACCATTGAGTTTGTTAATAAGTTGGAGAAGTATGATCGTAGTGTCTGCAAAATCTGCTCTAATTATATGTTCTTAAGTTACATTTTTTGTGGGAAGTATTAAATTCCTAAATCCTCAATAGGTGTATAAAGAAGGGATGTATTTGTCACCAAAGCATTTGTGCTTGTGCTGCTCCGTAAGTATCGCTCTATATTCGATACAATAATGAGGAACTGTATGCGATGCTAGCTACATTAGAGTCCAAGATCAAAACAACGGGGTCGTGATTAAAATACTTTACATATTATTTTATATATATTTTAACAGAAAGTAGTGAATAAAAATTAACAATAAAAAAAATAACAAATTGCCTGCGCATGTCTGAAATCGATATCACCTCTCAAGAGAATACTCTCGAACTCCCCAAATTTGAGGAAAGCCTCCCCGACATTAAACCTGAACCTCGCAAAGATCTCAAGTATGAAATCAAGCATGAACCTAAACCTTCATTTGGCCAATCATCCAAAGACCTCATCGAATAATACAAAAGTAAATTTAATGCCTTCAAACAATTGGCTGAAGATTAACAACCTATGACAATGGAACCATCTGTTATTGAAAAGTCAGAAAAATCTGACATTTGGAGAAGCGATGCTGAAATTCTCAAATCCCCCAAAGAATGGGATTGGAATATTTTGGGATCCAAAAAGGCTTCAACCACCTGTAACCAAATTCAATTTGATTCTCATGTACCAGATCCTATTGTTTCTGAATAAGAACACAAGGCTTAAATTGCCTAACATAGACAAATGATTTTGGGTGTTTTGGATCAAAGAATTGAACCTGGCCTTAAATTGCCATCATCTCACTAGCCTCAAAAGCCAGTTGTCAATGAATAACATTCCAATTATTAAAATATTTTGGAAAAATTCAGAAGTGCTTCATCCTTAGATGATTTGACAACCTTCTTTAACACAGTTCAATAAAGAAAAGTGGTTGAACATGCTGCCCCTCAATAATAATAATAACAATAATAGTAGGAAGATCTGTTCTCTAATCTTGAAATACGAAGAAATAAAAAGGCTGAAACCCAAATTCAATAATACAAAACTCCGAGCAAGTCATAAGATGAAATCTTTGAATATGGATCAGGAAATAGAACAACTTCCTTCTTCTAAAAGAAACCTTCAGCTCAAAAGTAGCCACTCTAAAGTCCAAGTTTGGGTAATCAATTCAACTACAGACCTGACTAATCAGTAACCTCAAAGGTGACTTAGAATATGAATTTCCAAGTGGAAGTGAAGGATCATAGCAAGACGAGTAAGAGAAAGGAAGAACTCTAAAGTTTTATGGGTAAACTGGGTTTAGGTAAATACGACACTCCAAAAGTGGTGATCAATTTAGAGAGCAATACTTAGAGTAGTAAGTTATTTGTAAAATATTTGTAGATTCCACCATAGACAGAATGAGACAGTATGTAAATGGAACTCCAATGAGTGCAAGAAAGAGTGGAGGAGGTTTGAGTGATTTGATAAATGAGCGCTCTTTGAATACTACAACATTTAAATAGCAAATAAAATCATATCACAAATCTGGACAAAAGCCAGATTAATCAGGAAGATTGAGTGCGGACAATCAAAACTTGTCAGAATAATCACTTAAAAATTTGCATCTGAAATTGGTTCATCAATAGAAGAATGGAATCGGAAGTTCGGGATTAAAATACGCTAGATGTTGATTTAATATACTTTTATATATCGAATTATCTATAGATCTAATATATAATTAAAGTCAACAGCAAAGATCTTCTTGCTTCTTCTTCTCTTGTTGTTATTGCTACTATCTATTTTGCAGTCTTAAATTAGAGGTCTTCCTCACCACAGCTCTTGTGTTGTGAAGTTCTCGATTTAATATGTTTTTGGTGATATGTGTGAAGGCAGCCTCAATGTTGGTAGACGATTTTGCGCTGGTCTCATAAAATGGAATTTAATATAATCTTGCTAAATTTATTATTATTTGGGCACATTACATAATTCTAGTCCTTCCTCATAAGATACTTCTCTGCGCTCAGTGATGTCCGCTTTATTGCCAACTAGTAATCTATTTACTGATTCTGAAGCATATCTAAGAGTCGTTTAAAGAAATACTTGTCGATTTCTGCCATCCAAGTTTTCACATTTTCAAAGGACTCTCGATCAGTGATATCATATACGATAATGATCCCTTGAGCCCCTCTATAATAACTACATGTGATTGTTCTGAATCGATCTTGACCTGCAGTATCCCACTAAGATTATGAAATGATTAGATACTATTTGCAGTTTAACATTGTGTTCTCCCAAGGCAATAGTTTTAGTTTTGAAATCGACTCCTATTGTGTTGTAAAAATTGTTTGTGAATTAGTTTTCCTTGAGATTATGAGAAATAGTACAGAATAACGCATAAGCATACATGATTTGCCCACACCGGAATTTCCAATCAATAATACTTTGAATAGGAAATGACTACGTAAATTATAAAAGAAATCTTACTAATCAGAGTTGGAGTTCATTTATATTTCAAATATTTATTTATTACGGTTAATAATTAAATAAATAATGCGTAAGTTTATTTCAGCATTTGGATTTAGTAACACAATTGGATTCATTGGTTTGGGCAATATGGGAGTATCACTATAATATATGATCAATATAGATTGGTATGGCTCATAATCTAGCCAAGACTCGAGTCGTTTACGCATATGATGCCAGTCCAGCATGGCAATCCAAAATTGAATCATCCAATATTAAACCTGTGTCTCAGGTAGCTGATGTCGCTGCAAATGCAGACACAATCATTACTATGTTGCCAAATGACAAGATAGTCAAAAGTGTAGCCTAGGAGATCTTCAAGAAGTAAAAGAAGACATTGATTGATTCATCCACAATCTCACCCTATGCTTCCTATGAATTGGCTAAAATGGCTTAAGATACCAAAAACATATACACTGATGCTCCAGTCTCTGGTGGTGTTGGTGGTGCTAAATTGGGAACACTGACATTCATGGTTGGAGCAGAGAAGGAATTATATGAAAAAGTGTCTCCAATTCTCAAAGAAATGGGAAAAAATATCTTCCATTGTGGAAAGATTGGAGGAGGACAAATTGCTAAGATGTGCAACAATATGGCTTTGGCAATCCAAATGATAAGCGTTGCTGAAGCTTTGGCCTTGGGAAAGAACATGGGAATGGATCCAGCCATGTTGAGTTCCATAATGTCAGTCAGCTCTTCAAGATGCTGGTCTGTGGATACATATAATCCAGCACCAGGAGTCATGCCTAATGTTCCTAGTTCCAAAGATTACGATGGAGGTTTCATGGTTGAGTTGATGCTCAAGGATCTTGGAATTGCTATCGAAGCATCCAAGAAAAGTGGAACTGATACATAATTAGGACAGCATGCTTAATAGATCTATAATAAATTGAATGAACATTTTGGAAAGAAAGATTTTGCAATTGTCTACAAAGAATTAATCAAAAATAAATGATATAGAAATAAATGATACAATACATATGTATAAATGAATCATAAGTCGTCTCTTTTATCATTACTTACAGTTTCCCATTTAGCATCATCTGTATTTACTTTTTCCCATTTAGTTCCATCATCACTTTGAGGTGGTTCTGATGATGCTTCTGGTTCTTCTTCGATTTCTACTTCAAATTCTTTGACTGGAGCATCTCTATCAATACCCAAAGCAGAATTAAATAATTTATAGAATCTACTAGCAAACTTCTCAGGATTTGGAATTGAGTAACCTAAAATTAGAATATTCTAATACCTGAATTGACTAAAGCAGCTTCATACAAAACCTTAGCCATTTCCTCAGTTTCTTAATCTGGATCATCTTTCACTCTTTATAATAATTCTTAAATGGCTTAGTGATTTGGATTGATTTCTACGATCTTCTTACCGAATTATTGGGAACCAGCTTTACTTGAATAAGCTTGAGCCTTTGATATTCTTTCCATATTTGCAGAGTATCCTGATTCAGAAGAAACTACAATGATTGGATCATCAATTAATCTTTAAGAAATGATAACTGAATCAACATTTTCTGATAATAATTTTCTCCACCAATCAGTCAATGGTTAGAATACTTTCTTCAAAGCCTTTTATTTCTTTCTTTGTTCATCATTATCTTCTGGTTATTTGAAATCACCTTTTCCAACATTAGTTAATTTCTTTTATTTGTATTCATTCAAATGTTAAAATGTGAATTCATCAACTGGATCTTCCAATAAAAGTACTTCATATCCTTTCTTCAATAATCCTTAGATAATTGGTGAAGAAAGTAATTGTTCCTTGTTCTCACCAGCTAAGTAATAGATTGAGTCTTATCCTGGTTTAGCTCTTTCAATGTAATCATCAAATGATGTCAATTCAGTTGCATTCTTGCTTGAGTACCATCTAATGATATAAAATATTAATGTACCTTGTCAATTCAGCCAATTTCTATCTATTTGAGGAATCTTCAATAACACCCAATTTGATATTCTTTCCATACTCTTTCCAGAATTCATTATACTCATCTATCTTCTTCTTTCTCTTCTCATCCTTCAATCTTTGTTATTCTTCAGGTGTTGTCTCTGCCATGCTGTCATCCTCTTCACCTTCTTCAGTATCTTCCTCATCTTCATCATCATAAGAAGCAGCATCTTAGAATAATTCTAAGATCTTCTTAACAATCTTTCTACTGATAACCTTTAACATCTTAAGTTATTAAAGTGTTTCTCTGTTGACATTCAATGGCAATTCATCTGAATCAATAACACCCTTGACAAAACTCAAATATCTTGGAAGTATATCTTCGAATTCTTCACTGATTAAGACTCTTCTCACATACAATTTCAAACTTGTAGTTTATTTACCATAATAATTATCAAACATATCACTTGGTGCTCTTTTAGGGATATAAATAAGAGATGTAAATTCGACTTCTCCTTCAGCTTTGAAATGCACCCAATTGAAAGGATCTTCACCAGAGTTCTTTGATAAGACTTTATAGAATTTCTTGTAATCATCATCAGAGATCTCCTCCTTTGGTCTCAACCAAATAGCTTTGTTCTCATTGATCTAAACCCACTCAGACACTTTCTCCTTAATTGTCTTAGTAGCTTTCTTGTTTGTATCTGCATCATCATCATCATCCTTAACCTTTACTTCATCATCATCTGTATTCTCTTATTGATCCTATTATTATTCTGGTTCTTCCTCGACTTATTTTGAGACTTCCCTAGTGACCTTCAAATAGATGGGGAAATTGATAAATTCAGAATATTTTTTGATTAATTCTTTAATTGTGCTTTCCTCTGCAAATTCAACGGCATCTTATTTCAAATGAATAGTGACTTGAGTACCACGTCCTAAGGTATTACCTCTTGGATCTTTTGATACTGCAAATGAATGGGCAGCTTGAGATTCCCAAATGTATTAATCATCATCTGTATTTTTTGATGCAACTGTGACCTTTTAACCTGCCAAGAAACATGAATAAAAACCAACACCAAATTAACCAATCAAGTTAACATTGCCTCCCTTGATTGCTTCAATGAATTAAGTGGTTCCTGATTTTGCAATTGTACCCAAATTTGATATTAAATCATTCTTTGACATACCAATACCACTATCTGTGACAGAAACTGACTTCTCTTCTGTGTTTATTTCAATTCTAATAGCCAATTCAGTTTTATCTCCCAGAATTTCTGGATTCTTTACACTCAAAAATCGAATTTTATCAAGTGCATCAGCAGCATTCGAAATTAACTCTCTGAGAAAGATTTCCTTTTGTGTATAAAGAGAATTGATTAGGATATCCATCAACCTACCTGTTTCTGCTTAGAATTCGTGTGTTTCTTGAGACTATTCCAAAAGCTTCCTTTATTCTTCGGTCAAATCTTGAGTCATCACCTAAACTCCAGATAGCATAAAGAGTAACAACAACCCAAAGGCCTTCTATCTAGTATGCATTAAAAATATTTATGATTCTGTGCAAGAACTACATCAACATATATATAATAACACGTGTTCTTACAAATTCTAGAAATTATTTTATAAATAGCCCGTCAAACATAATATACATTATTGTATTCATTTCAAATGATCACTATTAAATTTAATATTAATGGTAGAGTAGTAACGAGTCCATTTCCAAGGATTGCTTGGAGCCACCGCTTCTCTCATATCTACACTTGCTGTTTAACCACTGGAGGTTATCAAGATGGTCATGATTGTTAAATCCAATCCTGCCAACTACAGATTGACAAGCACATATGGATCAGCCGAATACATACTAATCAATGAAGGACTCAATGGATTTTATCGCGGCTTGCGTAGAATTTTCCCCCATTACATAAGGCCCTGCATTAGTTAGAAACATGAGCGCTGGCTTCCTGTATTTTCAAATGCTATCCTATGCTACAAGTGTGGAACGTAATGTTTCCCAAGACTTTCTTGCTTCCTTTTTTGCCAGAGGGTACATCACAAATCAAATATTCAAGGCTCTCCAATTTCATTACTAATCCAATTCTCCTAATTGAAACTCGAGCTGAAGTTCCTGGGTACTAATACACATCCCTATGGAAGACAGCGAAAACCATTGCAAAACAAGAAGGTGTGATGAGCTTCTTCAAGGGAGGTCTCACCTGCTCAATCAAAGACAGTCTATTCGCTGGAGTATTAATTCCCCATGAACATTAGATCTATTATGTCGTTTACAGGAAGATGCACGAGATGTTCCTAACCTCTGACTCTGGCTTTTCCCCTTCAATCACCTTCCTCTCCGGAATGATCGCCGGTCTAGTTGGCACCTGTGCAAGTCACCCCTTTGAAATTCTCAGGGCGAGACTATAGACCAACTATTATCATGATCAAATGACCATCATGGAAAGATTCAAAAGCACATATCAAAACGAAGGACTATATGGGTTCACTATTCTTACTATATGCTTAGATTTACTAAAGGTCTCAGTCCTAGATTAGTTAGAAAAACCCTTGGCCAATTCGATTTCATTTCTTCTTGTAGAACATTTAAATCACCTCTTGTATGGTACTTAATTTCACTTTTTGATTGTTAATTTAATGTAATCACTTTACAAAAATAAATAAATATATTCTAAAAATAGAAACCTATTTATTATTTTTCTTCTTTTTTTATATTATAAAAATTAACAATTTTGATTAATGCTAATTTACCTTTGGAGAAAAACTAAGTCTAGATGATTGAATGGAAAAAGACAACAATAAATATCAAAATATGTAATATTTACATCACTTAACGAATTCACATATCCCATCACCATATTGACAACTAGTGCTGAAATAGAATCTATTATCATCATAAAAGTCATTAACTATTCCTGAGACCTCTCCAAACACTGATATCGTTTAGATCTTATCATAAAGAGTGCTAATAAATAGTACAAATAGTTTACGTATCCAATACATGCAAATGGGAACTAGACTCAGCAATAAACAAATGAGATCCATTTCGCTAATATGTTACATTGTAGATTGGGAAATTTGAACCAATAAACTATTAAATGGGGAGTTTTGGAGAACGCAAATCATAGATGACAGCTGAACCATCCTCGCTTGAGGAGGCAAGTTCATAGCCTTTACTGGGATTGAATGCAACAGCAAATCCAAATTCAGTATGCGGATCCATTGTATGTATCATCTTACCTGATAAAGCATCCAGGACATTCAATCCTATTCGATCTCCACAATAGGCTATTTGTTTATTCTAGTTCACAGCTGTAAGATTGACGGAGGCCTTATCTTCATATGAGAATATCTCCTTGAGTCCATTCTAATAGTCAAATATCTTAATATATCCCCCGTTATCATTAGTGATGAGATAATCATGATAGAAATGCACATGATTGATAAAGTGTCTTTTTAAATTGATGTTCTATTTATACAGGGTTCCATTGTAGAGATTAATCATCAAGAGGTCGCCATTCATTCCAGCCACAGCACAAATGTTTTCAAAAACATCCAATCCTATTGCTTCAAGGGATATTCTAGCTGATTGTGATTTCAACTTGGCCATATCATAGAATACAATCTGATCGAAGTAGGTGTGCAGAATAAGATTAGGGATGATTCCCATTGATAAGGTATATTTGGATTGGTAGTGAGCACTCTTCATATTTTGGACGTGGTGAAACATTTTGAATTCATATTGAGTATCATCCTTTTTGATTTATGGGAATTGGGTTGAGAATTATTTTGGTTTTGAATATTTCCTACGTTAAACAAATTGATTAGTCCCTTGGTAATTGTTTTTTTGACGCACAGTCAATCCTTAGAAATTATTTTTGTCTTTGTTAATGAGAACTTATTATTGCAAGGGTTCGATTATCATTTAAACTTAAATAATTAATTTTTATAATTGCTCAATATTTCAAAGGGTGAATCTCTTATTAAGATAATCAACCAAAACAGATTCCGCTTTTTAATTCTTGAATGTGTCAGATGCCGTTGAATAGACATCTTCAAAAGGCTCTTTCTAATCTTTGAGTCTTTCAAAAAAATACAATAATCTAAAAGTTCAATTAATACTATTACTGCAAATATTCTACATAATATTTTTTGTCGGGAGAATATTGGAACAATCCTTTGTTCTATAAAATTTATTTCAACTTTTGTAGATAACTATTGAAATCTGGATTTATAGGCATAACAGGATATATAGTATTTAGTTAATGTCGATCCAATTCCTGGGATATTACTTAATGATATCTTTATTGTTTCTCTATTGCCTATTCAACATTGGCCAGTGTGTAAAACTGTTGTTAAGGAGGATTTTAGCCTTAAGCTTTCAGGGCCTTTGCATGTTCAAAGAAACATTGTGAATAGTAATGAAGGTACAATTTCAATCCATACCATTCTTACTTCAACGACAATTGCATGTTTCTAGGATATTCTATTACTATTACATGAATCTTTCTAAGGAATCTAATGCTTGGTCTACAACAACTCCTGTTTGATATAACTAATCAGATTGAGCTTGGACCTATTAAAATTGAAAAGGCTATCCGACATTGTTAACAGGTGCATTTGGTGCATTGAAAGGTACATTTGGAAAAGATGGAGCAGCATTAGATACAGGCTAAGGTACAGCCTAAGGTACAGCCTAAGGTGGATTTGTCACTGATTAAAATCTTGGGTTCGGAAATGGATTTGGTTTCTGTTAGTTTATTGCAGATGGCACAAAATTTTGGGGAGTAGAAAACTTCTATGGTTAGAATTGCTGAGGGAGGGTAGGAATAGTATTCATGGGTTTAGCCATTTATGGAAATTACACAGGTGCAGTAAATGTGGGTATTGGTGGATTGACTGTTTTTAAAGGAACCTATTATTATTATTCGTTGACTGGACTTTCAGCGGGTTTCTATTGCTCTTAAACTGGTTCTTCATCTTCCTCATCTTCTTCGTTTGGATTATCCTTGATAAACCTGTATTTAATTGTATAATTAGTTACCCTGATTAATTTACTACAGCTTTTCCCTCTGATATTAGGGGATGTTCCATTAAATCTAACCAACTGATTCTGTCTTACTCTTTAAATTTAAGCATGCTTTCAATCAAAAGAGCAAACGCTTAAGTCATCTTAGAATATTTATCATTATTATTACTCCTGGATGATCCTATTTAACCACAACTGGAACCTTTTCTAGATTTCTTAAAGACTTTTTGACTTAAAGTTAACTGTTCGCAACATAAGGCAATCCACCAAAAATTAATTCATAGGTTATGATGCCTAGCTGTTTAATTATACATAATAAATGTTACTGAGAAAATATCGGCTGAATTTGAAAAGAAATTTTCCAGATACAACTAAGGAGCAACATATTTTGGTGTTCCCACTTTTGTCAGAACCCCACCATTTTCCATTTATCTAGCCAATCCCAAGTCAGAGATCTAAGTTCTATTGTCAATATTATTACTTTATAAAAGCCGTCTAATACCAATATATTCGCAGGCTTAAGATCTCTATGTATAATGTTATTGAAATAGAGCACTTTATAGCCATTCACAATTTGTTTTAGGATATTAAGTGCTTCATCAGGATGGAAATTCTTTTGCTCTTGTCTCTTTCTCTTATCAATTAATGATTGGAGATCGCATTCACATCTTTCCAATATGAGTACAATTCTCTCATCATCGAAATCAACATATTCAACTCCGACTATGTTTTTGTTCCCCTTTGCTTCTTTCATAATCGTACCCATCAACTCAATTTCTCTCTTTGTTTTTGGATCGTCAAGTCTTTCATTTATAACCTGCAATGTTAACTTGTGTTTACCTTCGCGCATAATTTCAGTTATGGGTTATTTGTATCTTAGCATTAATAAACTACCCCATATTAGCCTCTCCCGATTTCAAGGTTAGTATTTATTACATAAGATTTAAGTTTTATCATATTTTTTTCTGACATTAGTGTTGTATATATTTTTAATAGAAAATACCAAAAATGATAATAAATGCTATATATATTGTAATATTCTATTAATTTATACATCAATTTGTATCTTACAGGAGTTTCTTACAGTTTTCCTCGATATCCCCATCCAGATGCAATAGATTCTTTCTACCATTTAAAACATTCTCTCTATTTATCAGTATTATGGGTGTGGTCGGACCAACCTTGGCTACGCTGGCTGCAAAAGGCATCACTTTGAGACTCGTCCCTATGACAATTAACAGGTCAGCATCCTTTAGACAGTTCCAACTATAAAAGAACTCTCCCGGTAGGCCTTCACCGAAAAATACCACGTCAGGCTTCACCAATCCTTTCTTTGGGCATTTTTCACATCTATGGATGTCCCCCTTTTTTATGTGGCTCATGAAATCCTTAATTGAGACTTCCTCTTAGCACTCAATGCATCGAGCCGTTCTCATATGACCATGTGCTTAGATGACCTTGTCTTGAGAGACTCCGGCATCTAATTCTAAACCATCGATATTCTAGGTAAAACATTTGAGTAATTGTCCTCTTGAATCCAAAAACTTCAAGAATTTATGAGCTAGAGTTGGCTTAGCATCAAAACTTAGTAAGAATTCTTTTGCTACACAATAGAAGGCCTCAGGATTTTTCTTAAAATATTCAATTTCAAACACACTCTCTGGACTAGGGAGGTTATATTTTTATATCTATGAATATAATCCTGTCCCAGGAGTTCTGAAATCTGGAATTCCAGCAGCTACACTCATTCCAGCTCCAGCCAACACACAGACTCTTTAAAATTTCTTATTTTTCAATCCATCAACTAACTTTGCATAAGTGAACTCATCCTCATTCGTAACCTTAAGATTAGAAATTTGCTCAATTAATTGCTTAATTTCCTACGTCTCATCCTTTTTGTCTTCTTGATTGTTGAATTTGATCGATGACAATAATTTACTTGCTTTGGAAATCAAATAATTCGTTATGTAGGAGGAACAATCATAGCACCAAAATGATAAATCTGTTAACGATAGAACAATTTGATGTCCACTTTTTTTGTTATGTTCGACCATGTGAGCTATAATTATTAATATTTAAATACAATTTACAAATCGAGAACAATGAATCTCTCTACAATGCATGCATACCCAATTCTCAGAAGCATCTCCACATTAAACGCATGGCTATGAAAATAAAGTATTTCTATGTTATTCAGTAAACTTCATTCTAAATTATATTACCATATGTTTTACAATTCGTGAAGATCTTATTGCTAAAAATGTGGACAATCTTCCTTTGGTTGGACAGCATACCCCACTTATCCACCATCTAACACAATCTAAAACCCATCTGCACCTTAATCCATGTTGGCTATTTAAATGATATAATAATTATTTTAATTTATAAGATATTTATATACAAGAATAGGAATGGTCTAATAAAATATGAAAGGATGATTGGGATTCAACTGCATTTAAAATTTATAATAAAAACACACTCATACTATTTTGTACATAATTTAACGAGCTATGTAGTGTACAAATTTACTTTTGTGACCCCTAATCTTCTATAAGACTTTATTATAAACATGGGAGTTGTTTATCAACTTGGAGACTTTGGTGATATTGAAGTGAGGATAGTACTTTTCAAACTCTGACACTTTGTCTATATTCAAATCATTATTTAAGATTTAAGGATTAGGATCCTCCTGGATCTCATAATTTTGATTGTAAACTTAATTATTATATTGGTTATTCGGTATTAACAGACTTCTATTGCTCACCTATTGAAACCTCTTATTCCTAAATAAATTCTTAATGTCCTATTGGTTTAGAGATTGTTACTGAGAATGTAATCCAATCGTCTACTCAGGGATGTCGAGATCATCCTCCTCTTGTTTTGGGAATCCTAATCTGATTAACAATTTATTGTCAACTTGAGGTATTGATTTTTGATGATCAAGCATTTGCTCCAAAGCCTTCTCCCTAACCAGAAGCACATTATATCTCTTTCTCTTCCTTTGTCTAACAAATGGCTATCTGAAATGATCGACACTACTATTGTAGACTGAAATGACTTTGTTTTTGTTTTTTCTCAAGAAAACCAAAGGACAATGTTTAAATTAATGATGACTAGAACAAGCCTCACATTTTATTTGATTAGAATAATCTCCAAATTGAGTCTTATCAAGAATGAGTCTGTATTTCTCATATTAACTTCTGTCATTCTGTAAAATTGACAAGAATTCATTCTAAGTAATATAGGCAACCTAGACAAAGGTTTAAGCTACGATATCAAATTACATATAATCTTAAAAGAAGAATTCTCTTTCACAAAACAACTTTCCACTTGTATATCTCTTAATTGTCCTATCTAATAACACTGACTTCACCTTTCCAGCCAAGAGTATGTACACCTTATCTGGATGATCATCCTTCTTAATAATGAACTCTTCGGGAGCATACGTCTTTTCATGAATGCAATAACATAACTTCTTCAAAGTATCATCTGATAAATTTTATCCAAACAGTTTAGATTGTTTAAAATAACTGTAATACATTGCAATTTAGACTTCTTATTTTAATTTTGGATTCAACTATCCTATCAATTCATCCAAATCCAATTCTTCTTCCTGTTTGAATTACAAGTAATATTCTATATATTTCCTCACTCGAAATTGCAACTAAGTATTCAACCCCCTTTGCTTTATGTGATTACTCACAAGTCTAAGTTTAGAGTTATTAATGTTCTATTATTCTGCCAATTTCGAAAAGATACTCTATATCATACCCAATGCATAACCAAAAGTACCCACCACTACAAACGTAAATCCTGTAACCAATACTTTCTCAGGAATAGTAACAGGTACTATGTCTCCATATCCAACTGTCATCGAGGTTATGGTCACCCAATAAAGAGATGTGAAGTACTTCACATATACATCAGCTTCATAAATATCTTGTTGATGTAACCAAGTATGGGAATAGCCTAGATCCACTTCCAAAATGGCAAAGTAATGAAATAGACAAGCACAAAAATGAGATATCAATAAGAGAGAGTAGATTAAACAAAATAGAGAATAGATAACTGCTGTCTTTTCCTTGAAATTTGATATTTCCTCAATCACTACCATTGTTCTTCTTACTTTTGTCATTCTTATTAACATTAGGTAGTTCGCAAACTAAAATCCGAACCAAGATAGTATGAACGGTAGTACAACTGTCAAATCAAGGAAGAATTCTCCCTTTATGTAGTGCCAAAATATATCCTTCTTGGAAGTGTGCAGGATTCCCTTTGCATAATAACCCTTAAAGAAATTTAGAATTAATTCCATCAGGAATACGCTGCTTGGTAAAGTACTAAACAATAAATAGGCACTTCCTATTTGTTCCTTATTCAAATCGAAAGACAACTGAAGAGGAACATACAAAATGTTGACAATTGTCACAAGCATTAAAATAACATCCCAAACAAATAGAAATTTATCTGCTGGCAAGAGAACTGTTTAATTGCTCTTAAGAAACGCCCATATTCTCCACCAAAAGGCGTTGTTTTATTTCCCTTCATACTTTATTTCACCGTACTAAAATGAATTGATATTAAAATCGTACTTTAGTAGGCTCTGAACTCAAAAGACGGTTATACAGATAGTATTGAAATGAACTGCTAAGATCATGTATCAAATTGAAAATGTCCTTATTCAAAATTTTAAATCTGTATTGGGTTGAGAAGTGCTTCATTTTTGTTATGAAAATGGCAACTTTCTAAATAATCTTGAGGGGCTTCGATTTCCATACACTATTTATAGCTATTTGAATTTACTCATTATTATCAAGAAGCTATATCTCCTTTTCCACATTGCTCATAGCCTCCAGCTCTAGAAGCTTATCCTCTTGTTGTCTTGCCTCCTTACGAGCAAATTAGAGTAAAAGTTTAGATTTGCTCATTTCTTAATACTTATTTAATTGCTTTTAATAATTATAATACTATTTATTAGATCGAAAATAATTAAGGATTTTACAAATAAAACAGCATCACTGAAATTTTTGAGTGTTTAGAAACTAAATTAAATCCTTATATTTTTAATGGATTTGAATTTTTATTGAAGCAAATTTAGACATATTTTGAAATATTTAAATTGGATAAACCTAATATGTGTGTGTATGAAGTCTAAGAACATACAGCAATATTGTTTGATATAATTAAGATACTTCAAATTGGAGAATAAATTACAATCTTTTTATTATTAAGAACAAATTTAAATTATTATTTTAGATTATACTAAAATGATTAAATGATTTAATTTATTTTTTCTTATATAGTATTTAATGATTAATGCAATAATAAATATTAATTGGTACGACAAATATCACTTAATGAAGACAGATATCATACCTAATTCATATTAAATTAATACTTATACTTTCTATAGTGATAACTATATTTCAGAGATTGATTTATCATTTTTGAATAGGTCTTAAGAGAATATATTGAAATAATGTAATTTCACTCAATAAGATATTAATACAAATTTGCTTACAATGTATATTTAATTTTTGTACAAACTATCTAATTTAGCCAACCCTTCTCCTATTGATTAAATGTTGTGGTTTGAAAAGTTTTAATTTTAAATCAATCTCCCTCTGTGATCTTTTAACTACTTAATTTTGGTTTAAATTATTTATATTTCTTTCACTTGTTCATCAATGATGGGATCACTTTTAACACAATTTTCTTAAATTGACAGATTAATAATTTAATTCTTTAATCTAGTTTTTAACCTAATGATTTTTTGTTTGTCCTTTAATAGGATACTGATATTATTTAATTTATAGTTAAAATTGAAATTGAGAATGTTCTATTTTAGATCTTATGCTGGTTATGGTTATTTACTGATTATTTTTTTTTCATTAATAGTTTTGATAAACCAATGTCTTCTACTTATATTAATTAATCTAAATTGTTAAATCAATGGAAATGTTTTTCCTCATATGATTAAACCCATTAAAATTTGATTAGCAGTCACTTTTATGATTAGATTTTATTATTTTACATTAAATTGGCTTATTCACTTCACGAATGATCGCTTTAAAAGATTCTTGTCCTCATATTGAAGCTTGCTTATCCTCAAGGAAGTTGATAATAGGTCAATACCTATAATTTGGTTCATTTTTGATAATGCATGTAAAGAGATATCATATTCTTCTATAATTGATTGCCAAATATAAAGTATAATGAATGAGCTTCTGATGACAATGAATGTGGGAAGGAGTATTTTAATTTATTTAATAAATAATATTACTTTGCTTATTTATATAGTATAAATAAGATATCAAGTCAAAACTATTTAGAAATGGTTACCCATTTCTTGTTTCTTTTTGGAAAGTGATGTTATTTCCAGACCTATGTGATTAACTTTTTGTGTTTGTCCACTAATCTCTATTAAAATCGAAGTTCAGACAAATCAGTATCGTGATACAAATTTTGAATGCCTTCATCCAATTATTCTTGATTCAAGATTGGGAGAGACTCAATATGCATTTCTTCTATGTCCTTGTGCTTTGAATAATTAGATTTCACCTGCTGTTTCAAGATTTCATCGTCTTATTTCTTTTTATCGTATCTCCTTTACAATTACAGCAACTTACCTTCTGTATTGATGATGGCCATCAATTTGTTCTCTCTATCTATGTCTTCAACAATTGTACTCAATCTGGACTAATCTGTTGAAATTCTATTTTTAATGTTTAGGGTGCTTTCTTTGACCTCGATCCTCCTTAATTCGCCTAACAAATACCTCCTCCTCTTAGTCATGGAATCTAGAGCTTAATAGTTCATAAGCATTTACTTTTATCATCGACTATCTTCTCGACTTGCTTATTGAGAAAATGATTAAGATAGTCGTTCTTCTTTTGAATTTGTAAATCTTCTCTTATATGTTATTCCAAGATATCTTTACTTTGAGATCCATTTAAGGAAATATTTGCTGCTTTAGTAAGATTCAATAAAGCTACATCTGAAAGGCTCTTACGATATAATGGATTATCATCCATGTCTTGTAGTAATGAGTTTAATATTCCAGTTTATTTCACTTCAGGAAGTGAATCTCTAGCCACTAAAACTGTCTTTTACCGTTTGAGTTCTTGTTATTTAATTAATTCTGCTCTCATAGCATCCCCCAATTCAGTAATTAATAATCTATTCATTTTAATGTACAAGATTATTGTCGAATATTAAATTATTAAGAATACATCTAAGGGGTTGAGATTAAAATTGAAATATATTTTATTAAATCAGGAGAGATGGGGATGGAGGATTACGAACTTTATCATTATTATTTTGATGGAAATCATTCTGATTTATAAATTTAATGCATCAATTTATTATAATGAAAATGTTTGCAATTTAGAGATTAAAATTTAATGTGTGATATTAATATTTATAAATGCAATCTCGTTCATAAAGAAGAAGAAGAATATTGAAATAATGCATTCAAAAAAAGAGTAAAATAGAAGACAATGCACATGTAACTCAGGAAATAGATTCTGATTACGAGGATGTAAGTGAAATGGAGGAAGATGAGCATATTCAATACGAAGATGAATTTGATGATGAATATGGTAAATTATCAAAGTAATTTAGTTAGAGAGTGAAGAAGGCGAAATCAATATTGATAGTGAAGATGAAGAAATGTTGCAAAAGGAAGAAATAATCCCAAGAACCATCAGAATAAACATAATTAATAATAGTAACCCTTACAGATAATAATCTAAACTTGTGAGAAAGAAGAAGGGTATGGAATAGGAGACTCAGGAGAATCAAAAAAGAGAGTGTGGTTCTATGATGAAGCTGAAAATTTAGATTTTGATAATAGGGCTTATAATATGTTACATAGAGTCACAACCGAATGGCCTTGTTTGTCTTGTGACTTTGTGTTGACAGAAGAAGAACAATTACAATACAAAAATAAGGAATACCATAAGATGAACAAGTATCCTTACACTGTGTATATGGCAGCTGGAACTCAAGCAGCATAGCCAACCAAAAATTAAATATACTTATTGAAATTGTCTAAAATGCACAAAACTAAATACGATGATGATGACGCCTCTCTATCAGAAGATGATAGTGAGGATGACAATCTTAGTAATGATGAAGAAGGATAAGTGCACTTGAGTAGTGTTACAGGGCTTAAATGTGGAGTCAATAGAATTAAAACTATGAATGGATAAGCCATAGCAGCCTATTGGAATGAAAATGGAGATGTAAGCATTTTAGATTTGAATCCATTATATAAAAAGCTTTTGACAAATTAATAATCTTAATTTAATTTGTCACAATTACACCACAAAGTATTCAAAAACTAACATGAAGGATTTGCATTGGATTGGAGTCGTTTGAAATTAGGTGATTTAATCAGTGGTTCATCAGATGGAAAGATTTACTTATATCAATTAAACAACAATGATTGGATTCGAGAGAATAAAGCTTATGAATATCATAAGGGAAGTGTTGAAGATTTATAATTCTCCCCAATCGAGAGTTTTGTGTTTGCTTCTTGTTCTAGTGATGGATCTCTATGTATTGTTGATACAAGAGAAGGAAAGCATAAGCAAGCTCAGATCTTGGTTAAGGCTCACAATTGCGATGTTAATGTCATCTCATGGAATCAAGTATCAGCTACTCTTGTGGCCACAGGAGCTGATGATGGGTGCTTTAAAATTTGGGACTTGAAATATCCTAAAAATGATGCCATTTCTGAAATTCAATTCCACAACAAAGCTATTACCTCTATCTAATTCTAACCCAACAGTGATTCAAGCATTGCTGTATCATCCGAAGATCACAAACTGTCCATTTGGGACTTTGCTGTTGAAAATGAAAATAACAATGTTGATGATATTCCAGATTAATTAATGTTTGTGCATTAAGGATAGAAGGATTCTCAAAGAATTGAGATATCATCCAATTTATTATGAAATGTTAGTGAGTACTTCTGCAAATGGATTCAATGTATTTAAACCAACATTAGATGAAGAGGAATAGAAATCAGAGCAGTCTGAAGAAGATTAATCTTAAATTCCTGTTATCAAAGAAGAAGACCTAAATAAATATTTTTAGTAAATGTCAATCCAATGAAATATTTGTTTATTAATAATCATTTGTGTATTATAACATTACTTCTTTTTTCATTCATTATTATTCTTAATTTTTTCATCCTCTTTCAATTGGTGTATTCAATTAAATTAAATTGTCTATCAGATTAGGACGGATTGTCTTATTTTAAGATTATAAGTCATAGAATTCAAACACAGAATAATTCATTCAATCATAATAACTAATTTAAGATTTCCTTTATTTCTTCCTTTATTCTTTTACCAAAGGAAGGGCATTCATTAACATGTTTAGAGATTAAATTGAAAAAAAATTTGTTATCTATTTTCTTCAGTTAGATCAATTTATTGAGTTATTATAATAATTTCCTAAAATTTAAGAATTGTTATCATACTCATTAAATTGCTATTAAATTTCAATAGTAGACTATGAACTCGATACTCTGGCATTTTTTTTTGGTTTCTTGTCTTGTTTCTTTTGTATTTGCTCTTTCGGCAACGATTTCTATTATTTTGTTTATTTTTCTGGTCTCTCTAAATTCTTATTTGTTATTTGCCGTGGATTTTCATTGATAACTTATTTTTCAGAATAAATTAATTTGTTGCTCTCTGTGGCTTTCCTCACAAACAGAACTGGCTCTTAAAAATATTTCCCAATTATCTATTTTGAACCTAACAATCAAAGTAATCGCATACGTTGTTCAATTCATTAATTATACTTTTAAATTAATCACGGTTATTAGAGGAGGAAGATTTGATTTGTAATTTTGAATTTTGAATTTATTTTTCTTTGGTCTGTTAAGGCATGTCCTTTAAATCATGTTTCCCTAAAAAGATGTCTGAGTATTTTAGTGGTTCTTAGGTTTTGTCCTTTGTCAAATATCTATTGTATTTGGCCAGCAGTTCTCGTTCCTCATTATTTAATAATTCCATAGTTATTTATATATATATGATCAAAATAATAGAGATCTATTAAAATAATGCAATCTCTCTACTTCTTTAAGGAATTCCAATAATTGCAAAGATGTTAAAGATTGAGTAAATTGACAAACAGTCTCATCCATTTCCTTTTATACCAATTTCAAATTCTTCAATATTGTTGTTTAATTGGAGTAAATACCTAAATATTGTAGAATAAAACAACTTTTAAGACATCTTGCGATGATTCAATAAACCTTCTTCCTCAATCTTGATTTTTTGGCGCTCTATCTTAATCGTTTGTTTTTGCATTCCTCTCTAAATAAATCATTTGCAGAACTCAAATATCCTGTTAGTCCACCTTTTTTATCATTTGAAAGTTCTTCAGAGGAACTAGAGTGATTAATATTGTGATTTTATTGTATCGTGTTACAAATCATCTTGCATTTCCTCATCAAGCAGATTGTCTCTTTCTACACTCAACAAGGGTGTGATTTTCTTAATATAGACATTTTCACATTTCCTTTAATCTCCTAGATTTAAGGAGATTAATCTCTTAGATTGGCAGTAGATTGAATAGGAATTGGTCTTGATTGATGGTTGACCAAAGTAAGGAGTTGTTTGTTTGAGTGTTGAGGCCAAGAATAAATTAATCTATTTCTTCTAAAGGTTATTACATATAAATTAATGAGTACAATCATTAGTTGTTACTAAATGTTTTTATCAATTATAAATACACATAAAATACAATTTGGAATCAATAAAGAATATAGATAAGAATAGGTGATTAATAAATTTTATGGAGTGTAAAATTAATAATAAATAATAAATATATGTGGAAAACAATTACTTTATTCTCCCTATTTATTGTAATCAATGGATAATGCAGCTGCAGCAAATTCACAAACGAGACTAACTGCTATGCTTATGGTTATTGTCTATTTCAAAATGGGGCTTGTAAAGAAGCTGAATGTGAAGCCATTCCATATGAAGGAAAGTGTAAATCACCTCGATGTTTATGGAAGGATGACAAGTGCAGCACATTCAAAGCAGACGAATAAACTTGCTCTGCATTGTTACCTTAACTATGCACTAAATATGAAGGTTGCCATTATGATTACTCAAATCTAAAATGTGTTGTTACTAATGATTGCTCTTCCCTTCACATTGATCAATGCAATGGAAAGCTACTAAATGGTAATTTTTGTGTAGGAGATCCATTCGAGAACAAATGCCAAGAAATGACTGATTGCAAATCTCTAACTACTGAATTTATGTGTTTAAGTCAATCACCTCATTGCAAATATGAAAATTCTGTCTGCTCCCCATAAGTATGCACAGAAATTAAGGTATTTCATTGTAAATAACAATAGGACGAATTTTCTTGCTCTTTTCTTGATGAATGCTAATGGAATAATGAAAGATGTTAATATAAAAATTGCTAAAGCATTAAATTTGGATATTTATGCAATGGCGATACTTGTGGATTTGATTAAAATGAATGCTTTACCTGCGTCGAATAATACGGTTATCAATTGTTTGTGGGTTTGATATCATTGTTATTTATATTATGACTTAAACAATTGTTAACTTTTAGTTAATGTTTAATGGAAATCAATATTGAAATGGATATCTTCATTTTCATTCTTGCAACTTGTCTTTTATCTATCAAATTATTGAAATATAATAAATCAGAGACCAAGAACAATTAATTCTTTGGAGTATTTCTTGCTATTATCATTTCTGGTAGTGGTTTAATTGCATTTCTTTATGGCTTTCTTATTAAGTGGAAGATGAACTTATTTTACACAATATTTTTCATAGAATGATCATAACTATTATTTCTATATAAAATGATTAATTAAAATGAAGATGGATTACAATCAATTCTACGGATGATAACAGCGAACTTAGCAGTTCCTGAAATTATTTCTCTAAAAATCACTTAAGCAGTTTCAGTGATTCTAAGATTTCAATAACTTGTTGATTTTTAAACTAAATATATGATCAATTTTCTATAATATGGCAAACAAAATAAAGAATAAATCAGAATAATATGTCTAATTTTATTTAGATATTATTAAATTGAATAATTAATTTTGAAAAGATATAACAGACATTTGTAATAGTTGCACTAATAAATATTAATTAAAATAAATTTTATAATGGGTTCTATGACTTTAGTATTCTTATTTGCAAAACATTTTTATATTGGTCATTCCAAATTCTGAAAATGAATTTATTTTATTTAGTATTCCTAAAAAGATTAGAATCATAAATTGTTTATTTCTAGGGTTGCATATGTATCTGCCATTCTGAAATAGTCATAACAGTTCTGAATTCAAAGTAGACCCATCTGAGTTGTGAATTGTAACATACACAAGTGGGGTTTGGTTGTTTGATTCTTTAACATGAGATGGATATTAGGAGACGATGAAGAATAAGGAGTGAGTTATATTGAAACAAAGTAGAAACTAAATACAATAAAAATTCAGAGTTATCTGTAGCGAGCATATGTTAGGATTGAGTACAGTAGTGATATAACAAGCATCACAACAATGATAATTAAGTAGGATGCCGGAACGAAATTGAACTGTGCCATCAATCTAACTGCTGCCCTTATGTTAAAAATAAGCTTACTGAAACTCTAAGGTTTTTCGCTCCTAATAATGTATTGAGTATCAATTATCAATTGTTCTTGAATGGTGAATTCTTGTATTGGTTTTCCATCCAAATACAATTGCACATCTATGAGCAAATCATCAGATTTCGAAAACATATATATACTGATCGGCGGATCCCATGTATCCTTCATCTCAAACTCACCTACGCCCTTATTAACATCAACTTCAATATATTCTGCTTGCAATATGATAGAAGGGATCATGAGGCCAATAAAGAACGCAGCTATAAGCCTTTTTACTTATTCGAAATACACAGCAAGAAATGACAGATTGTCCTCCTTTTAAACAACGAGAAATATTCTTCCAAGCTATCTGCAAAAGGATCATGTCTTAACTTCTCCCTCTCATGTAAAAAGTATTTCTAATTAATTGGCTGAAATTCCAATCCTGATATTTGCACCTGATGTTGTTTCATTATTTATAAATATAAATTTCAAGTTCCTTTTATGTAACCACTTAAACCAACCAAACTCAATCCAGCCTCCAACATAGACTACAAAGAATTGCAGAAGACCCTCATTCATTTCCAAAGAGCACAACTCGAATTGGAAAAGACTCGCCAAGGCTCACCCTTGAAATCAGTCTCCCCAATGAGAGAAATGATTAATTTCCAAGCCCTCCAAGATGCAGGACTTATAGAACTCAACGAAAAAAGCAAACAAGTTGATGGAGTTAAAATCACATTGGAAGAAATCGAAAAAGCATTCAAAATCCTGGATGAGAAGAACAAAGGCTCCAAGATATCGTTACTTGAATTGAAAAAGAAAATCCCTGCCATCAACCCCAATTTCCCTAAGAGCGAATACAAAGCCTTGACTCAAGGCAAACCAGAACTCAAGAGCAAGGATCTCTATGAGTTGCTCAAGTAGAATGAATTGCAAGATTTTGATCCTCTCGAATAAGCCTTTTCACTGCTTGATCCCAAGGGAGAGGGTAATTTAGATATTAATAGATTGGGGGAGGTCTTCAGTGTTCTGGGCTATGGCAAAATCGATAAGAGGGATCAGGAAATCCTCTTGGAATGCCTGGATGTGGACAAAGATGGCAAAATTGGGCTGCAGGATCTGAGGGAGATATTCGAATCAGAAAGACATAAACAATGATAATTATTAATATATTAAAAAACTATGGACGAAGTTTTATCGTAGATATCAAATTAAGTTTATGAATTTGATACTCTAGGATTGGTCTAACAATACATATTTGAATTGTCAGAACATTTCAAAGAGAATCATAATGCTCAAGTGGATATTTAGCAATTTGTTATGTTTTTCATCAATAAAACCGACGAACAAGGAATTGAAGGATTGATACTGATCTCTAAACTTATTGAATTGTATCAAGAGATATTGTCTTAATAAAATGAAAAAATACTGAAACTAAGACACATAACTGATTATTTGATAAGCACTCAAGAAATCTGTAGCGAATACTTTAATGCCAAATTCCTACCTTCATAAAATAATAAAAATTAACTTACTCGCCGTAATTTGACTGATATAGAAATTTCACCTCCTGAAATCTTAGGATTGAATCCTAGTATGCTTAGAAGATTGTAAACGCAACTCAAAATTGAAATTATTCATATAAATAATCAAATCATTAATGGAATCAAAGGAGATAATGACTTGTTCTTGATTCTCTAATTTTGCGAAAGTGTTTGTATGCTACATGAGTTTTAATTTAAAAAGATGCTGTAGCCTCGTAATATGATAGATGGAAACTTTGTAGTTTATGGCTATTATTCAACCAGACAATAAAGACTAGGAGTCGTATTACGTAATAACACCTTAATCTTCTGGGATAAAAGAGATAATTATACCTATGATTACTAAATCGAAACCTAATTGGAACTATCACACATTGCTTATATTGAAATGCAAGATTAATGGATAACCTCCACTAGTAAAAGCCTATAGATTTGGAATTTGGAACAAGGAAAGCATCAAAACTTATAAAATCAAGTATTTTCTGGAGGAATCATCCAATTATTGGAAGTCATACATTTATAAATGCTAATAGTAGCCTCTAATCCTAATATCATTAGTTGTTGGGATATGTTTGAATAGAAGTTTTTATTTAAATTTCAAGTATCCCATTAAATACTCTACCAAGTTGTATGCAGTAGACAATTCCAATTGATTTTTACTATTGGATTCAATAATTACATATCTTGTTATGAATTGCACGCTTAATATAATGATTATAACCTAAAATGTTAATTGGTAGGTCACTCTTCAACTGTTCAGTGCATTGAGCATATAGAACAGACTGCCTTGTTAATATCAATTGATACTAAAAATGTGGTCATATTGTGGGACATAAGATCATAATAATAGACTTAAACAGTAAATTTGTAAACGAGAATTCTTACTAGACAGTTAATGTTTTATTCAAATAAGCTATGCTTGGTTGCAAATATGTTACAAACTCTGAGTTTTGAAAAAGAATTGCATTTGAATAAATAAATCAAATTGTTGCAAGTGATCTATGATCAATGGAATAAAAGAAATATTATAATAACCAAGGCTGATATCCGTATTTAGGATATAATAACAGGGAAGATTTAGTATATTTTGAGTGACTTTTAGAATGAGATCTCTGCGTCTTGTTTAATTGAACACGGGTATTCGATTATCATTGGTACAGTTGAAGGTGATTTATATAAGGTTTCACTAAAACATGGTTAAATCCTGCAATAATGGGAATCATTTTTTTCAGAGGAAATCATTTCTATTTAATATGATGAGGCCTACAAAATTTTACATATTGCGTCTATATAAGGAATATTGAAATGTTTACCTCTTACTCAATTGAATGTTTGCAAGGACAATATTTTGAAGGACAAGTGGGCAATACGTTAACTATCAGTGAATATCTGCATCAATATTTGTCAACTCTCAATTGTGCAAGGCTTGTTAGCTATAAGTTATGAGGACTTTATTTAAATTTGGAATCTGGAATACTATTGTGTATCAATATAAATATAATTAGAAGATAGTGCTACAGTTACCTCAATGGTATTTTGTGATTCGCTGCCTCTCTTAATAATAGGCACTAATCAAGCTGATATCTTTATATTTTAATTGGTTTAGAAGAATGATAAATTATAATGCACTTTGGAAGGACATCTAAATATCGTGAAGGCTGTTCTGATTTAAAAATTAAAGAGTGTATATCCAGACCGTATAAGCATCATGAGCAATTTGTTCTCCAAGACTTCCACAGAATTGAATGAATTATATGATGAGGGAGATGAACAAATCGAAGTCAAGCATCTTTTCAACAATAAGTATAAGCTTATGACTCATGGATCCTTTGCCTCTCGCTTATTAATCTAATTACATGAGGAAGAGCTGAGATTATACATTGCAACAAACAGAGGGTCAGCCTTGGTGTTCAACATTACACAATTGCTTGAGAAGAAAGTAAAATTTGTCTTTAATATATTTAGACCGTGACAAAGAAGCTTGAACAAATCAGTCAAAGACCTAATTATAATCCTTATAGAGTGGTTTATAATGATTTGCAAGGAAATTTCATCGATAATTACTAAATAGTATAGAACCGTTTGATTAAGGATCAAGTGAAGAAGAGAGAATACAAATTTGAGCAGAGTAGCAAAATTAAATAAAAGTTCAGGAATTCCTTAATTAGATTCAGTATTCTAAAGGGATTGAAAGACAATCCAGAATTAGATATCACTCACACTCTGAAGGATTCCATTTTTTCATTTGATGAGCAACTGGAGACTGCAGATTAAATTCACAATGACATGATCATTTAATTAAATTTCCTTTATGTTGATCCATACGAAATATTATTTCATAAAAAAACTGAACTCTTGATCTCCGGATGTGTAGATGATACTGTTAAAGTATTTACAACTAACTTTATTCAAATTTGCCAGTTTTCAATACATAATCCCACTCCCTACTAATGGGTATCATTGTTGAATGAGAAGAATAAGTTAAAAACGACAATATTGTTTTCCTTAGAATTACTTCAATAGATTCTACCACAATTAAGTTCTGAGAAACGAAGGGCTTATGATATAGAGAATATGCTTAGATAAAACTCCATAAAACATTTAAGCAACAATTATAGATCGCCTGATGTTCTGACAAAGAAGGAACCTATTGGAAATCAATAAAAATTAAAAGATTCTTTCTTAAATAAACGAAAGGTGAGTTTGTGCAACAACGTTAAGATGCCTTAATTATCTCCTAAGTTGCCGCCTTCTCTACGATATTATGATGAAAAAATCAAGTAGAGTAGGTATCATCAAGAGATTCATTAATAAGAATTGATCAATCAACAAAATTAATAAAAAAGATAGTAAGGAATTCAAATTGAGTTTCAAAGACAATAAAAAAAAGAGATCATAGATTATCTGACTCCTGAACCTAGCAATAATGGGAAATTCTTTGAGGATCTTTCAATTTAAGCATTGAGTACTCGATTGAAGATAGATACAAGGACTCATCAAAGCAAAATAACGAAAACAACTAACGATACAAAAAGGACTTTCACTAGATAAAGCTTGGATTTTTTTGATTACGCTGAAAAGAAAGAGATGTTAGCAACCAGAAGTAAGATATCTTAATCTCGATTTTAAGCAAGAAGATAACACCATGATTTTCACAAGATTTTGAATGAATTGCATGGTAAATTGAAAATTTCAAAAAAATAATCATGACTATTTTTTTTTCTTGATTTTTTTTGTGATTTCACTCTATGGTTTTTACTATTGTTATTTAGGTTATCTTTTATTTTCACATTCCGTACATTAACAATGAGATGTACATTTCTTTCCTCTTATGAAACATTCACAATAACCTTTCACACACTTAGTCTTCTTACACTTACACCCCCACACTTATTTAGTATCAAATGAGTCGAGGTCATGATGAGATGCTCTTTGTTCTTTTAATTTAATTTATTCCACTGCCTTTAAGACTTCATCTTCGTGTTTGCCATCATTATAACAATCGTTACACTTACACTCGTTTGTACAGGGTCTCCGATTATGAAAGCAGGAACAATATAATTATAAACAATGTGTTTTAGCACAATGACATGGTCTGAAATCATCTTCTTCAGTTGGAGAATCATCAACATTATAATTTGTTTTAATCACTTTTCTTCGAGTTTAGATGTGAGATAATTCTTCTTACTTTTCTACTTGCTTCATTCCTATGAAGAGTTGTTGTTCACTCTTCTATTTCTGCTTTTTCAAAGGAGAGGGACTTGTCAATTCAATTGACATCTATTTTGTAAATTTTCCTTTCTAATTCCAATTATCATCGATTGACATTTGGGAGCTATTCAAATCATTATACTGAATACAAGATTTATAGCAATTAAGGTGCTTGCGTTTAATCGATTTATTCGACAGAAGGTAGAGAACTGAGGGTATGTGGCTACAATAATTATAGTTTTTCATCTCCACCCTTCTAATTTGCATCTTATCTATTCTCTTCTTTAATTTTCAATTCCGATGGAAATTAAAATTCAGCATTATTGTTAATGCTGTCCTAACTAATCATCCTTAATTTTAAATAAACTAATAACTCTTAAATACTCACGATTATACAAAAAATGTAATATAAAAATTCCTGAAAATAAATCATATTCAATTTAATTAGGCATTCAATTTTTCTTAAAATTAAGCCCATCTCATAATTATAATATATATATATACATACGTTAATAAAATACATCCATTTAGATGAGAGACACTCCTAAATCAATTTCAAAGAACACTAGCCTAAAATAACGATGGCCATTAACATACTATACTAGCAAGTCTAACCAAGATCATCAAATTAAGAATGTTAATCTTGTTCATACTCAGCATCTGCTATCAGAAAAAGCTGTATGTTATCAAAATCATTAAATTCAAAAATTGAAGGAAATCCAAATATGATCTTCGTTTTAATACAAGTTCCAAAATTGATAATGAAAAAGATCAAAAAATCATGCCTATACATTAAGAAGTTAATAAGGAAATATCAATGAATGAAGTAAACCTATAGAATCCTTTAAGAGATAAAGCAAAATTGCAGAAAGCAATTTACAAAATAGGAATATCAATGAAGAGAAAATACCTTCAAAATCGCGATTAAATAGAACAAATTAACAGAGAAATAACTTTATATTAGAAAATAATAAGCAGCTTACTGAAAAAAAAAGAAAATTAAATTAGTAATATGGATTACTCTTAAAATAAATAGTCTTACTCAAATAAGAATAGCACTATTTTTTATTAGAAATAATATACAGATGAGTGCTAAAAGGAGTAACAAAGATAGTTATAAAAACTTCTAATTCAATAAGATAATAATTTGAGGAACAAAAGAGAAGAAATAGAAAAACTACAAATAAAATTGAATAGTTTTGTATCAAGTCTACTAAGTAATTAATATCAAGTACAGAGTTAGTTAAATTATAAGTTGATGCAGTCGAACACTTGGCTAAAAGGACCTTCTTATCTGCAATAGGATTAACAATATTTAAGAAAATTCAAGGAGATAGTTCTGGAAGAAAGAAACAACTTTTCAACAATATTAGTAACTATGATTTATACTAATTTACTTTAATCAAATTAATAAATCATATTGTAGCTATGGCTAATCCAATGCTTATTGCTAAGCAGGATACAACCTTCAATTACAAATGGTATAAAGATGCCTACTTCCCTATATTCAAGTGTTTCTTAACAAAATATGCTAAGAACAAATTCATAATTAAATTCAATGAAGATTCGCTGGCACTTATAACAGCAGCCTGAAATATTATTTCAATTATTTACTTAGTAATATGTTTAATAAGCATAAACAGAGCTGAAGTAACCAAATAACGTCATAAATTCTCCAATCATGGTACCTAAAATTAAGGGGATTGGCTTGTTAAACAATTAAATGAATTCAATCTACATTTCTGGATTGGAATATAATTTAACCGTTTGGATTATTACAAACATTACTCGAGTAAGAATGAAGAATTCCATGTTTACATATATGTTAAACTATTGACTGTCATTATCTCCTCTGCCAACATAACTGATGATATTGGTGTATAAAGCATGAGACATGTCGGAAATGATAGCAAATTTTACAAATGGCTAAGACCAAAATTTAATTTGGAAAATCCGAATCAAATGCCCATCAGTGGCTGGGGCTAAACCTCCAAGAAGTATCAAAAAGTAAGCCAATAAATGCAAATAACTAGACAAAAAAGGCCTATTTGAGATGTAGTTTTGGAGAATTAAGAATAGAAAAGCAAAAATTGAAGAAAACTAATTAGTAAAATATAATTACTTATAAAAATGGTAGTATGACAGTACTTGATGAGTTCTCAAAGGCTTTGATAATAAAATGATAATGGTAATAGGAGAATGTGCCACTAACAATCAAAAACGGCAATGATTAAACAGACGCAAAGAGTGAATACTTACCAACTAATTCTGAATACAGAGGTCCAATCGATTCTATATATATAAAGTATACAAAAATCTATATGTATATAATATTATTTTATTACTATTATATATGTCGTCAATGCACAAAGTAACATAGTTTAAGAATGAGTAAGGTGTGTAGTAGTTTATGGCAATAGCTATTTCTTTTGAGGCAGATCCGATTCTTTACTATCAAGAATGACGTCAAAGGTTATATCAGCACTAGCCCAACAAAAAGCAGATGCAACGACTGCTCCAATCCAAGATATCGATTTACCCATTTAAATTTTTATATAAACATATTTATTAACTAGATTTTCTAATTGAGGCTAAGACACCCTGTTTGTCATCAGTATCAACATTTAAAAAAAGTTGAAACAATTGCATTTTCTTTTCTGAAATTTCAGCTTCATATTGTTGAATCCCTAATTCTACTTCCAGATAAGGCACATCGTTAGGATCAGGCCCATCAGATTCCTTATCTTCTGCTTATTTTTATTCTTCATCTTTTTCTTTTTCTTCCTTCAATTCTTTTTTTTTTTCTCCAGGATAGTCTTGAATTCAGTCTAAAACCTATTGTATTTCCCAAATTAGGGATTGTAGGGATCAATCTTCAAAACTTATTCATGATAATTACTTTCAAATTTTTGAATTATTAGATGTGCCTCCTAATAATTACTATTTTTCATACAAGTGAGAAATACCATTTTTAATTCAAGCATTTCATGATTTGTTTAATCCATTATATATTTTTAAGTATTTGAGAGATGTAATAATAAAATATGTAATCCAGGGATACTTAATATTGTTATTATAGTAACTTCAACTTATTTGAAAACACCTCTCAATTGATAAAGAAGGAGAAGTTTATTAAGGCCCTCCTGTAGACATTGGGAGAAGAATGGAGAATATATGCAGGGTATTCGATTTCAATTGAATTGGATGGCTCTATCAACCATTTGGCTTGGTAATTTTGTTTTGAACATCTCTTATTTACTTGGCTTGAGAATGAGGATTGTTAGTATTAGGAATTTTACGAGAAGGCCATTCTGAGAATCCAGCCATACAAAATCGGTATCATGTAGAGTCATTAAATTAGAGAATGCCTACTTTCGAGCAGTTTTCGATGGATTCTTCTACTCAGCCCAATAATTGTGGTCCAAAATGAAATTAAGTAGGCCTCCCTCTCAAGAATCCTTCAAATAAGTTGAACAGATCAAGTAAGAAGACGTGAGACCAATTTCAAACATCTTAAAACCGCTTGTACTTGTTAGTGAAAAGATCATAAACTATTTCAAGAAGGACGAACAGATGCGCACTCAAGAGTAGAACCAATAGATTCAATACAATCAGCCCACTTGGAAACAAATCTCGAAACTTACTGAAGAGTCTCTCCCCATTGATCAAATAGAGAATGCCTATCTGTACGTGATGTAATTTATGGAGAACTCTTACAAGAATTGTTAGGTAGCAAAGTCCTTCATTGTCAATATCATAGAATTGAATCAAGATGTGCTGGGTAGATTCTATGTATAAAATCAATCGGTTAAGGTCAGAATCATGTAACCGTCCAGTCTAATGTACAACAACCTCTTATCCATTTGGATTCTAGCAAATGCAGGAGTACAACCGCAATATTTTGATTTGATCGGCAGAGCCAAAACCATGTTGGGTGTGAATTGGAAGGACAACTATCAGTATCCCCTGGAAGTCTTCTTCCAATTGATCACAAAGTTGTATGGCAACATTCTGTTGAATCCCCAAATCAAGAGTGACGATTAATTAAATTAATTACTAAAGAGCTTGAAAGTGTAGTTGGCGATACTGTGGGATCAAGATATTGTCCAGCAAACAGTTCAAAATTCACAATGAGCTATATTGTATATAAGAAATATGTATTTTGTAATTGAATATTTTGATTAAGAGGTTCTGTTGCGATGAATTAGCTTATTATTACATTTTATACGGAGAATTAATTAAACAACATGAATCGAAAATAGGATTACTGAATAATTAAATTAATTATTAATAAATAAGATGATAAGAGACACTCCATCCTATTCATTAGATAGTGGTGTTTAGATCAAATTTTAACAGAAACTAATTTGTAAACCCATGTTTTATATCAAATCGCTCGTTAAAAAAAGGAAAACCAGACCCAAAAGTCAGGAGGCTACTGACTCTGATTAATAAAATATGAGTCTTGTTCATGGTCCCTCCAGAAGAAAAAGTTGTTACTGCAATGAATGTGGTAGTATGGGAAAGAAATAATTGTAATTCATGGATCTAAAATTATCCAAATAACCTAAAGCACTTAACAAAAGAGCACAATGCAACATTGATAGGAGATGCACACTCAATATTTAGAGTATAAGTACAATGAATTCAATATTTAAAGATCGTAGTGTATTTTATCGTAGGAACACTTAAAAAAATTCAGAAAAAGTTGAAAATCAAAAATCTCCTACCTGTGATCTCGGCGATTCCAAAAGTCCAGGATGGTTCATTAGACAAATGGTAATGAGAAAATCAATAATAAACGTTCAAAAGTTAATGGAGAACTCACACTCAAAACACTCCTATTAATTATCCCATAAAAAGATTCTGGGTGAGGATTTGCTCAATCCCAAAAGCCAATAGACCATCCATGTGCCAAACAGTATACGTACTATATATCAAAAGTCTTACATAGATAGTCCTGGTGCTAGGATAAAGACCGTGCCAGGGTTCGATTGTGAGAACAATCTGACATCACCCAGAAACATACCCAAATTATCTCCTTATCTTAGTTTCAGATAAATTAATTTCAATCTATTAGTCCCTTTAAAATTGAAAAGCAATTCTTCAGCTAGGAAAACCAACAAGAAGATATTTTCCCACTCTAAAGCCTAAAATTGAACATCATTCTAACTTTATGATTTTTATTGTATTTATCTGTTTTTTGAATTCATTTAATTTATTGAGTTTTTATCCTTATTACAAATTAAAAATAAAAATGAGAGAATTTAATCCACATAAACGAAGAACAGGAAGCATATAGAGCAATGAACCAGATCTCTTATTTCATGTTAATCTCAAAAGCAGAAGAAAAAGCTGTACATGCACTTAATGTGGAAAAGAAAGTGAATATTAAATAAGGTTTCATGATGTTCAGATTTTATAATGGGCATCCACATCCAATAACAATGAATCTGATAATTCAACACAACAGGAAATTAAAAGACTTGAACATTTAGAAAGCAGATTAAAAACCTGTCAAGAAGATTTTGAAAAGTTTCATCTGACATCCAAAAAAAGAAGGAAAAGCTGCCATTGTTCTGAATGTGGGAATTTGACACAATTTGAAGTAAGAAACCAAAATATACCACTATTCAAACCTATCTCTATTAAAAATTGTAAAAATTCACGAAAAGTCCATTAATTAATATCGAACATTAACATGTGTAATAAATATTTTAAATTTTAGAAACAAAGAGTCAATTTTTTAGGAATTTTAAATAATAAAATCATGGATTAATGTATTAGCTTAGTAATTAAACCTCAAAAACAACTACCAGATTACTCAAACAATCCAAACTAAAATTACCTAATTTTGAATCCAGACTATCTTTAACTCCTAAATTAGCAAATTCACCTTTGAGTGAACAATCCTCGCCATAATAGCCTAAAATGAACTCCTTTGATTACACCCTAAATGCTGTTTACCTCAATCCTTATTTGGGATCTTCTAAAAAGTTTCTTTCCCCTCCTCGAAATTTTGCTCCAAAGTTACCTTCCATTACTTAGAAAATAAAAGATGAACAAATGTATTAGAGAAAATCTTTAATGCGAAAACGTGATTGAATTATATATTTCACTTTTTTGCCTTTAATAATCATAATTAATTATAATGAAAAATTAGTCACCCTCCTCTTCCTAAATCATCTAGGCTCTGGCTCTAATGGACACTTACAATTTAGTTTTAAATGAGAGGAAGAGAACTCGTCGCAATACAAACTTTTAAATTAATAAAACTAAAGCCATCGAACAGAGTGTCAAAATTAGGAGAAAAAGCTGTCATTGTTAATTGTGTGGCGATTTGAGTTCCTTTTAATTTGATACCATGAATATCCCTTATAGAAAATAAAAAAAGTCAGCTGAAAAAGTAGAACCATAAATTTAAGAGACTCCCAGCTAAACTACACGTATATTAAAATTTACCATAATAGAACGAAGAAGCATTTTTTATCGATTATAATCATTAAAATCCTTAGAAAATAATTAAGCCAGACTTTCTTTGGAGATTCACGGATTTAGCAAAAATTACTAAAGGCAAAACACTGTGCAGTAGTTTATAGCTGAAAGTCAAGAAAGATCCAGAAAAGGTAGTATCAACAGAAGTGGTTTTGTGAATACTTCAACATCAGAAAATCATTCGGTAAAATCTCTCAATATTAAAAATTTTAATGATTCAAGTCCAACATCAACTAAATCACCTTTAATTGAAATGACTACCAGTAGTAGAACCCTCAAAAGCTCCAAAAAACTCCTAATGATGAATACTTATTTCTCCTAATCAGCACGTTCGCTAAAAACCACTCAATTTTCGTAAATTCACAAATCAAGAGCTTTGATTTTACCTAAACTTATATAAAATGAGAAGCTCAACTGATTCTTATATTAAATATCTTTTGCATTTAAACAAACATGTTACTCTAGATTTAGTGATCTATAATTATTTCTTCATTTTCCTGGATTTATTTAACACATATGATAAATGAAAATATATTCAATATTCTTGACTTTTTGACCAGTTTGAGGCTGTGAAAATTATTGTAATTGAAGCTAATATATGCATAAATGTAGTCACTAATCATTTTGATTATATTAGGAAGTAAATCGGATTGTGTAAGTAATTATAGATTACAATATAAAATATGAATTATTATAGAAGTTCAATCAATTTTTGGAAGATCAATTTAATGTTAAAGAATGACTCCTTCTTTCTTTTGATAGATTTTAATAATTTTGGATCTCATTATATTTTGGACGATTTTAATGCATAAAATATTTTTCAAAAAGGGAATATTAATTAATTTTAATTACACATAGAATAGAAACTTCAGGTCATAAAATATATAGACAAAATGGGAAAATGAGATGTGCTAATATTAATGGATTATTAAAATCTGATTTAAATAGATAAACATTCAAAATAAGTATTCGGAAAAATACATCAAATATAAATTAAAATTAAATTGAACTTATATGATAAAAGAGGAAATACCTGCGATATAATTAGGTTCTCTTTATAATAAATAGAACCTAAAGGGATAATTAAATACATTAGAATGTATAACCATATAATATCAATAATATATATAGTTATACTTTAATATATTTTCACAATTTTGATACTAATGGTTCAATAATTTTCCTACTATAAATATTATCTATGTCTTTGAGCAATAATGAATTGGCAATTGGGCTTTGTAATTATTCAAATTTTAATCCAGTGAATTACTAGATTATCTTTTATTGATTTTCTCCATATATAATCATGCTTCTCTATATTATATTATTCTCTAGATGGACGAAAAAAACAATCAAAGTCTTGCATTCTTCTTTGGCCATGAATTCATTGAACTCATTGATTAATTGATTTTCATTGTATTTTTACATTAAGTCTTATAACTTGATAAATATCACACTGTATCCAACAGTATAAAATTTTTTATAATCTTTGAGCAATTACTAAGTGAGGGAGAGCTGTAAATTCAATTTAACATCATATTTCAAATCTGTAAGATGTTAGTACTCATTTTTAGCATCAAATTAAGGACAGAATGAATTGCACAAATCAAAAATTTGTTTGTCTTTGTCTACCCATCTGATTTGATATTGATTTTGTTGGAAGTTGAAAGTATCTATCAATATGGTCTTCATTATCAATTAGGCTATTTCAGCAATTTCCTATTTGCATTTGTAATTTTATTCCAACTGCATGTATTCTGCCACCAATGTCACTGCAGAACCTACTTTTTCAATCTTTTTAAACTGACTAAATTACTGTCCCTTATCCTCATGATGATCGATGCATCCAATTTGGTTATTTGTATATTTGATGTCGTTGTGATCATAGAGAATCAAATCATATTTATTCAAATCCACCTCGTTAATAAATATCAAATCATCGGCATCGAATAATTCAGCTGTCTCGAAATGAGATCTAAATGATTCTCTATTGTAATTGATGATTGGGGCTGTTGGAGTATGAAATTAAGTCATGTGATAGGCCAAAAGAATGGATCCAATGCACGAATCCATGTCAGCTGTGGGATTGCCCAACACCAATTGCTTTACATTCTAAAGCAATTTGATATTTCGTAAAAATTGATTAATCATTATAATATATATATAATAATAAAATACATATACAAATTTAGAAAATGTCAAATATTGAAGAATTCATAGATTTAATTAGTTATGCCCCTATAGATGTGAGAAGGGCCTTCAGCAAAGTCCGAGAATTGGCAAATTTAGAAAAAAAATACGAAGAAACTTTGGAGTCAACATAAAAACTAGTCTTTCAATTGAAATCTGTGGAGTCAACGGCAGAAAAGGAAAAATTCATCTTATAATTGAAAGAGTAAATCCAAAGAAATCACTTATCATTGTTGGCTTTGCATAGAGAAAGAATTGCGGCTTTAGAAATAATTTAATAAAATTATTAAAAATATATAGCAACACTTGATATTGAGGGAGAAAAGTTTTTGGAAGAACTTAAACAATTGCCAAGAGAATAAGAAGACATATCTCGTAAATCCCAAAGGGACGTCAAAGTGGAACCTCCTGTGATGGTGCAAAAGAGTGACAAAATAAAAAAGACCAAAAGACCATTGCAAGATGAATAAGCAGAAGATGCTCAATAGCACCTATATTGCGTTTGTTAATAACCCAGTTATGGCACTATGGTGGCTTGCGATTCAAAAAATTGTCAATTAGAATGGTTTCATTTGGTATGCGTGGGATTATCTGATGTTCCAGATGAAAAGACGAAATGGTTCTGTCCTAATTGTAGATAGACGAGATGAATATTGTTTTGTAATTAAACAATAAAATATAACAAGAAATCAAAATTTAAATTCTCTTTTACCTATTGAAAAGGATCTCTAATTCCTACTATTTTTTACTGTCTAATGTATTGGATTCAACAATATTTTTTCATTGTTATACTTAACTTGCAATTGCTTGTAATATTATAGTTTATTAATGATTATTTCCAAGTAATTTGAACCTTCCCCTTAGAATAATTCTACCCAGTCCTTTCTAAAAGGATCCTTATTTTTCTTTAAATCCTCAGAAATTATTTCCTCAAATATATTAATCTTATCTCTCAAATCCTAATTTTCATTTTACATCTGATGGTTCAATTATGACAGTGCAAAATTCTATTCATTAATATGTTGCATTTAATCTCTTAATTTTTTATTTTATCCCAACAGATTGTTAATTTAATTAATCTATTCCATCTAAATACTATTCTATTACTATTGAACCAATTGATTCTATTAATTCTACTTCAACGATTTAATAGTATTTTGAGCTATCTTTAACTATTATTCTAAATTTACTATCTGTTATTTTAATTCCCTTATTTATCTTTATTAATCATCTTATTATTGTTCAGGTTATAAAATAATCTATCTAGCCTTTACTCCATATTAGGCAGACTGTTAACATTACAATAAATTGTCATCAGAAGGATTCAAACATATCACCATCACGACATTTGATTTACCATTTAAACTTTTCTTCAAAAGACTTGTTAACTTTGATTGTCTATATGGTATTTATTGAACTTTATCAGCTAAATTTTAGATTACTTACCTTAAATAAAATAGAGACTTATTTATTTCAACACTCTCTTGAATTTGTTATACCTTTGTTTAATTCAATCTTTCAGAACCAGCCAAATCTACTATATTAAATTCACATTACAAATCAGTGGTTTGACCATGAAATGTGTATATACAATGAGACCTGCTTGAAAAATCATTTAGTTAATGAGAATTAATTATTCTGTTTTTATTGGCTTTATTATATAATTTTACTAACTCTTCTTATGAGTGGCATATAAATTTTGTGAGATTTTCTGGTACAAATTCGTTATTCTTATATCTCAATTTTAACTGCTATTTATAAAGCATGTCCAATATTTTTTCATTATAAATTTGAAGCACAGAAAAGGAAATTTCAAATTTACTCTCCAGAATTTATGGCAAAATCATAGGTATTAATTAATTCACTGTATACGTTTTGCCTGACCCTGTTTGTCCATAACAGAAAACCACTTAACTAATTCCATTTTTAAATTATTCAAGTAATTGCCCAATATTCAATCCTACATATAATTCATCTTATTGAGTTTATTCATCTAAAATTACATCAAATTCATAAGACTTGTCCAGAATTCTTAACTAATTCTTTTCAATTGTTATTTTTGTTTCTCCTGGTTTTAATCTAGCAACTGTAAAAACTTTCATGTTATTATTATAAAATTATTAACATAATCATATTTCCTCTCTTAAGATTCTATCCAAAATCTCCTTCTGTGTCTCTATTGTACTAAACTCATCAAATTTTTTCTCACTCTAAAATTGTGACAACACCTTAGCTTCAAAAGCAGTAGCTAATTATTACAAATACTCTAAATACATCTTTCATTTATATTTCGGATTTTCACAGAAAGCATATAAAGATAACGTGTTAATGCTTGTAAATGTAGATATTTACACTACAAAAGTTCATCCTGATTCATATTTGGTTCCTTTTCATAACTTTGAATAGCCTTGTCTACTGCATTTTACAATAAATCTAAATGCTCCGCTTATTCCCGAATTATTTATTCCTAATACTATTAAGGAGTCGTAAAGTGATGCTTTCCAGTATTCAATCCCTGCAATTATTCTTGAAAGTCTTTCATTGATTATTATACCTTTTAATAATTAGCTAATTACGCCTCTTCTTTTTTCAAAATATCCAATCCATCCTCCGATATTTTTTGAACCAATCCCAAAGTAGCTATATAATTATCTAATTTCCTTGATAACTCCTTTTATCCTGCCAAAAGTTAATCCGATGTTTCAAGCACATTTGTTGTATCTATACTGAATATTGTTTAACCCAATGGTTAAAGCATTTGTTACCATTATTGCTGTTAATAGATCTGCTTGAAAGAACCCTTCTATTTTTCTATGTCCGTCAATTTTTGAATCAGCATACTAAATTTGTCTCTGAATACATTCACATCATTTAGTTGAAACAACATTGAATTTTATTATTACTAATAAGGATTTATCAAAGGTTCTTAAACTAATTGGAATGAATTTCCAATCTAGATGGGATTCTGGCCAAACGTATTTTATTATTATTAATTATAATAATTTGGGGTTACATTTTAAGATAGACCAAATAAAATCGGCGCTATGTTCGACTATCCCTGTTATTATACTTATCCATATCCTAATTAAACGTTGTTTGATACCAAAAGTTGATTAATTTTGTGGCGCGATTTACTATTACTAGCCAAAAAGTAAAGGCATTTATGAAATGGGTTATGATTACATAGTCCCAAAAATATTGCTATGATTTGTTTATAAGGAAGGTGGAGGCCCAAATTAAAGTGAATTCTGTTAATTTGATTTTCCCAGCATATTCCCTGAATTTAGGTTTGAAAACATGTATTTATGTATTTAAATTAAATAGTAAATTAATACTAGTGTTTTAAATTTAAATTAACAACAAAGCATTCATTTAAAAAATTGATTTGAAATTGTGGTTTTTTATAATTTTATTTAAGAAAAAAGACTTGAAACTATAAATTATAATCAATTCATCGCAATCATTGTTCTAATTTCATGTCGGATTCTTAAATTAATGACTAAACCTATTGTTAAGTAGGCTCATATTATTTGTGCGCATGGGACATCAAATCACTATGATTATTCTAGTGTACATCTTTATCTTCTGTTGGTATGATACATTTTGATATTCTGATTTATTTTTAAGAAGGAGATTTGAATTTCTTAGGACTTCTTCTTGGACTTCTTTTAGGACTTGTTTTAATGAGGGCCTTGGATTGATTTAGTTTATAATGAGTTTTTTTTGGTCTTTTAGTCTTGATCTTTTCTTCACTTGAGGCTAGTTCATATTTGCTAGCTTTCTTTTTATGGGTCTCACAAAAGAATTTGAATTGGCTTTCCACTAATTTTCCTATGTATTTAATAATAGTTAATACCTGTTTAAGAACTATTCATAAGGCAAGTGAAATGAAATGCTACTGGACATACAGCACAACAAACTGTAGCTCCTGGTCTGCTACATAAGAAACATTTCTAAATTAGATATAATAATTACAGTTTATTTTGATTTAGTCACTTCTTCATCTAGATTATTTGGATCACATTATCCTTGTTTGTCGAAGAAAACCAAATTTTAACTCCATAATCCACACATTTCATGTAAATCGAATTTTTCATTGGGATTTCGATTAGAGGGGATTTACAATAGAGGTCCTAAATTAGAGTCGTTGGCTTCTAAACCACAAAATACACAATTTCCGTTATTTTTTTTTGGATATGATAATCCCTAATAAGAAAACTTTTATAATCTTCCAAAGTTGATGATTTAATCTTTATTTTCATAGTTTGGTTTCACTTTAGACTTTAGATTTTCTTATTAAATCTCTAATTGAGGAGCACTTTAAATTTTGAATTAATTGTTTTCTTTTTAGTTTCCTTATTGTTAACTTTGAGATATCAATAAAATTTATTGTTATTATTGATTATTAAGTTGATTTGTCATTTAGTTATGCTACCCGAGTTTAGTTTGGTTATAATTATTTTGCCCTCCATTTTATGCATGTTTAAAAATTTAAGAAAAATTCTAATCTAAAGGGTTAGTCTTTGATACTAATTGTGAATCTGTCAATTTTTTGATTTGTTCCTGGTCATTTATATCCTCTATAATGAAAGTTTGTGGATTGGAGGGAATCATTTCCTTTAATTCTCTTAACTATCTATCTATTTCCTTATGAGCCTTATTGAAGAATTCCAGTATTTTAAGTTGGTTTAATTATTATTTGTCTCGTTACTTAATATTATTGGAATCATCAAAGGTAGAATTTAGATGGAATCTTCGTTCGATCTTTTCCTATTATTTTCGCTTTAGATAATTTGTAAATTTCTAGATGGTAGCTTTGGTTAAGGCCAACAACTGGTCGGAATCAAAAATAGCTTATTCAATTTCTTCTGCTGCTTATTCTATGTATAAATTCATAATAAAATGAATGATAATTTATATCAAATAATTTAAAGACTTTTTTAATTGTTATATTAAATAATTTTAAAACAGTATTTGTAATAAAAAAATAATTTTTAATAAAGGACTATTTCTTTTTTATGAATATAGCCCATGTAGAGATTGGAGAATCGTGAAAATCTTAAAACTGTCAATTATAGCGAATTTGTGAGGTTCAATTTTTTCATTTTATTTTTCATAAATTTTCGAATTTAAAATTTTATGCTTAATATTTCCATTCTCAAATAAGTGTTATCTCTGTTGATATTTTAGGAACTTATATATTGAAAAATATATTTGGAAGGGAGTAAATATTAATTATAATCAACTTTAATAAATATCTTGAAAATAAGTTCCTTATTATAATTCTTGGCTAAAATAAAAGATCTTTTAAAAAGTATAATAACCGGACAAATACTTTCAATGTATCACTGACACTTTCACTTATAAATGTGAGGAAAACCCTTTAATTTTCTAGTCAAGTATGGAAGGAATTAATATAAATTATTGTATAATATATTCAGTCTTCTAATCGCTTATAGCATTAACCACATGAGGGATGCTGCACAATGTATTCAACAGAAGACATGAGCTTTTATTAGATAATTGAGATGATTTTCAATTTAATGGAGATCAACCCTTGTAATTAAATATATCTGCTAAATTTGCTTTCTTATTTCTTTTGTTTCTGACACTTTTTTCGCCAATGAAACACAATAGTTTTAGCAGTAGCATATTTGATAAAGAGTTTCTTAGCAGCCTATTTAAAACTTAATCCAGTATCATACATCTTTAATTTTAAACCCTTCCTTGAATACAAGTTCACGTAATTATTCCTTGGATTCTTTAGATACTTTGATGTATGTTCTTTTTTATTCCTAAAACATCCCAGGAAATAGATTTTTACGAGGTCTGAGATCCTTTTTTTCTGGAGAAAACAAGATTTCAGATTACACCTTGATTGAAAGATTTTCTTCATGTATACTCTCAAAAATACTCATTAATTATAAATGTAAGATCTCTTCAATCATTACTATCATATATAAAAACTTGATTGATGCGTCATAAATAAAACTTCTCCACAAAACTCATATTTTTACATCTATTGTCAGTTAATCAGTAACCAAGCTAGTTAAGATCTTTCGCTTTTATTTACATTACCTTATCGAGTCTTATATTTCAATTAAATTTATTCTTATCATTAATTACCAGAGGGATAATTTTATTAAAAATATGGTAAATTAATTAACAACCTGTAGCCCATATAAAAAAGTAAAGACTACTTTGCAATAAGGAATCTTTGTTTTCTCTTTGATATAAGACTGTTGGCTACCTTATGGGTAACGAAACAAAATTTTTTTTATTAATTGGTATATTTTGTCTATTGTTGAAACGATTCATTATTAATCTGTACCTTTCCATCAACTTTCCTTCTCGTTTACATTGATTAGAATCTTATATAACTCGATGGTCTGTATTATAGGATATAGCATATATTACAGTATCCTAATTGCATAAGTATCAAATTCTAATCAAAGTCATAATCTCTTAAACTAAAACAACATTTAACGTTAGGATAAAGGCTGTAATTTCATACACTCTTAACTAAGAACAAGATTACCCATATTAAAATAAAACCAAAAATCAAATCCATTTTTTTGTAAATCTTATTACTAGTTTCAATTCGTTTTTACTATAAATTCTTACATTATAACATAATCAAACAAATTTCTAAAATTCTTTTCTAATAGTCAAGATTGCCAATCTTAAATAGGTAATGTAATTGCAAAATTCCACAATAAATCAATTAGTGACATCAATATAATTTTTGAATTTGAGTCCTCTCTAATTATAAAAAGTCATAATTGTTCAATGTATCAATTGAATGTACTTGCAAACCTTTTATTTATACCAAATATGCTAAATGTACAAATTTTTAACCTTTAAAATAAAATGGATAATTACCCTCACTTCCATTTAAGAATTCGAAATTGCCTTCTTGTCCTCATCCCTCCTTCTTTTATAGCTATAAATTTAAGTCAATTTTAAAGTTACATAATGTAAATTTAGTATTGACTTAAAAAGTAAAACTGCTGGACATTACTAAGAAGCTGAAAAAATTATTATTTGGAAATTTTATTATTTTCATAAAAACAGTTTAAAAGTTGATTTTATAAAATATTTTATTAACTAATACTGATACTAATAATTGGAACTTGTTTATAAGTATACAATTGAACTCAAATTAGCTCTGTTCTATTTTGGTGGCATGGGAATAAACAAATAAATTTGAGTATAAATTATATTATCACAACCATTAATAATTGATCCCGGACTTTGTGAAGACTTTGAAACTTATTAAAAAATTAGAAGTAATTATATAAATATGTTGACACAATCTGATTAATAATTTTATTATTTAATTGTTATTTTTATTTTATTTTGATATTTTCAGGTCGATTAATTCATATGGAATTGGAATTATGAATGAATATGAAAGAAATAAAGGAGACTTTCTCAGATTTTAGAATATCTATTTGAAAGTATTGGTTACATATTTATCTATCCAAAATATAAAATTATTAAATAATATAAATCAATTTAGTTAGAGGAACAATTCTTTAGAAGAATGGATTTGCTCTCCTTTTCTTGTGTACGACCACATACGATCTTTTCTAAAAGATATTATTTAAAAGTAATAGATGATGAAGTTATAATATCTGCAGTAACCTAACCTTGTTATTTTTTAAGTTCAGCAATTTCAAGAATCCTAAATATAGACTAGAACTCAAATTATCGACCTAAATTCTTTGGAAAATGGGAAAGTCACATTTAAAAGCATTTGGAATATTTTACCAGAATAAAATCAAATATTTTGAAGCTTCACCTGCCAGTTTGGAATAGTTCAAAAAATTGATAGGAGGAAGAGTAATCTATAGAAATATGGCTTCATTCTATGAACCAACATAATTCATTGGAGAGGGATTGTCGGCAAAGGTATTGCCAAATTTATTAAACTAATTTAGGTGTATCGAAGCATCGAGAAATAAACCTAGAAGGCAGTTGCGGTAAAAATGATTAAACAAGAATTTGGAAAAGAGGAACAAGCTTTGGTAAGCAATTAAATATATTGCATTTAGAACATAGTCAAAACAGAAGTACAAATTTTGCAGTCGCTAAATCATCCGAACATTATAAAGGTGCTTGAGGTTTATGAAAATGACCAGACATTTTGGATTGTTTAAGAGTTTGTCTAAGGAACTCCTTTGAGCGATATATTAAAATAAAAACTACCAACTGAATAGATAAAGAGGATAATGAGAGTATATAAACATCATATATCAATAGAGTTTGTTGGATACTATAAGTTATTTGCAATCACTAAGAATTGTGCACCGAGATATAAAGCCAGAAAACATAATAGTGGAGAAAAATGGCTAAATTAAGGTGATTGATTTTGGATTTGCTGCTAATCTGAAATTTGGCTCTGTTAGCAGTGTGTGTGGAACACCAGGCTATTATGCACCGGAAGTACTTCGATAAAAAGAATCAAGTTTTAATTCTGATATGTTCAGTGTTGGAGTTGTGTTATTCAATTTGTACTAAGCTTTAACTAAATTAGAATGACAAATTAACCCATGCTTAAATCCAAAATGTACAATGCTCAACAATATGTGGAGGACGAAGAAGCTGCTGATTTGTTGAAATAAATGTTGGAAGTGGACCCGACTTTGCGAATAACAGCTTAACAAGCACTCTAACATCCCTTTTTTAAAGGCTTTGAATCACTTAATGAGAAACAATAGTCTTCTGAACATCAAATATTATAACAACAATTACTAATTAATTAATAACAACAATATTAACCATTGAAAAAAAGTAATCAAAGTTTAGATGCTAAAACAATCAAATCTCTCAGAACTACTAACATAATGGACTAATGATTTTACATCAATTAGTAGTTGTACTATATATGTTTATAAATTATATATTTACTTATTGCTTAGAAATTCATTAGAACTTATTGATAATCTACTTAAATTTGCATCCCCAGAATATAGCTAGAAATTCAATCAACATATAATTATTTAATGATTTATTAAGTCAATTTAATTAAAGTCTTTATGTGATTATAGCTTTTCCTTTCAAAATTTAATATTAAAATGAACAATTTGGATTATAAATAATTTATTTCACCATAATACAGATCATTGTCGCTTTTTGCAAAAAAGAAAATAAAAATAAAAGGCCGATCCATCAGTTAAGAGCCTCGCAATCAATTAAATATATTCAACATGAAAGGATTGATATTTTAAAAGGATTCATTAAGAAGAAAAAGTTGTCATTGTAATGAATGTGGAAGTCTCAGTAAATTCTAGTACAAATACATGAATCTTAAACATGTAACAAGTATGAAAAGGAAAATTGAAATTTCATTAAGAGTTGAGAAGAAGAGGAGATAAAGTATTATATTATTATTATAATCAATTAGCCAAAAACAGCACATTCTCCAAATATCGTACTATTATATTTGATCAAGTTAAAAAATGTAGAGTTGAATAGTTGCAAACTGAATCAGTAGAAGCAACTCCAAAAGAATCTACTTGTCTTAAAGAATCAATGCATAAATTAAAATAATATTTCGAAAAATAAGAAACTCAAAAAAAAGAAATTCAAAATAAGGCTCGAAATTTTCGCTATTTAGGTAATAAGACACCTATAAGTTCTCCTAATCATTATAAGTCTCCACGGGATAAAGAATTCCTCCCTTATCTTAGTTATAGAAGGATTGAATTGACAAATTTAAAACCAATAAAATTTAGTGACGCTCTCAAATCATTTTAAACACACAAAAAAACCTTATCAACCTAATCTTGAATTTTACATATATCTATAAAAATAAAATCAGCAACTTATATAATATTTTACTTTAGAAATTAAAGTGTTCTTCAAATTAATCTATCTAAGCTACAACTTCAGTGATTACGTGATAAAAGGTAATACTGACATTTTAATTATTCTTAATTTTTCAAAACAAATTCTCTCATTTTAAGTGATATTTTATCATCATTAATTAAATTTTTACTCATTAATAAAATTAATTTAGGAAAGGCTAAAATTTCATATTCAGGTAAATACTTCCTTAAGTTTGCTTCAAAATTCCTATTAACTATAAACCTGTTCTGATTTTGGAGCATTCAATATTCAAAAAAATAAATCTCAGTTTTTAAATATATAAATTGGAAACTTATTGTCAAGCTGTACTCCTAACTTAATTTAATCAAATTTATATTAAATCTTATTTCATTATAATTTTTATGGATTGAACTATAATGAGATCTCTCTAATTTTTTAAGCAAATTTATTAATTTGATTATTCCATTCGATATCAAAAAAATTAAGTTATGGATAGATTATATTATTTAACAATGAATTAATTTCCAACATTCATAAATTCTATAATCTGATTTCTTTTATTATTAGTATTTCTCTTTTTTGATTTGTCTTTTTAATATGTTTTTATTTTGTTAAAAATTATTCTGTTTTATTAAAATTTAGTCATCTCATTTTTTAACATAAAAATTGAATATAATTTTATTTAAAAATTGATATATATTAATCGCTTTAACATCTATTAATGTCCATATTAAATAAAAATATAATCAAGGTTCAATTTTAATCAATCTAGTTTTACAGATATTCTTCATCTCTTTATTTAAAGTATTAGACAACATTAGTCAATAGGAAATTTGATTTGAGTTATTTTTGTTGTTGCATTTACCTCAGGACAGTAAATAAGGACAAAGCCTTTTTTAACTTGGGTACAGATTGAACAGCTTGAACTGAAGTTTATTTAAGTTGATCTTCTAAATATTTCAATTCTACTAATGGATTGTAAGGTTTTTCTTCATCATCACTGCCCATTTCTTCAATTTATTGTTTGAGATTCTTTTGCTTCTTTGTCATGCATCTATCGAAATCTGAAAAGTCTTCAGATTCTTTTAGTTATTATTTGATTGCATCTCCTGCTCTTAAATATATTATCAAAAACAAAGCATCTATTTTTTTGTGCAATGGCTCAGATCTCCTTTCATCAACGCTCATTATTTCCTTAGTTCTGATCAATGAGAGTTTTTCAGCACATCTACACAAGGCTTCCATGAACTCGTAAAATTCCATTTAGAAATGTCTTAGACTATACAATTCATCAATCTGGGTTTGCATGGACAACAAGTATGCAATATATGCATCTCTCTCCACAAAGGTATCGCAATATAGATCACATCTCAATAGTAAATCTCTGAAATCCTTAAATTGAACCCACGTTTATTTGTAAAACTTTAACTTTGAATTCAACTTGGATGTAAACTTAAACAATAACTTGAGCATAGGCAATCTATCCTCTATGATATATGAATAAGATATTACTTATTAATATATCGCATTGTTCATTCCACAATCTCAAATCTCTCCAATCTTGAGCCTTATCAATTTCCTGCAATCTTATTTTAACTAAATCATCTTCAAATAACTTCAAAACACTTAATTTCATTGATTTACAGATTCCAGTTCTGGTGTACTTGTCCAATGCAATTCTAACTAAAACTTCCATAAACTGATATCTGATCAAGGCCTTCTCATACACATTTGGATACAGAATGTCCTTAACATTGGATGTGGAGATAAAATTCAAATCAATATCACCAGGTCTGAATTTGTCTGTCATCACAGTAGTCTATCCGATGAAATCGAAGAAGGCGTTGGAGGATATACAAGGAATCTAAAGGTTTATGTATAATAATTACACTTGATCCAATTAGAGTAGATGCGTAAAATTTATAACTAGCAAATATATGGGGATAATATTCTCTGAGAAGTTCTTTTACTTCCATTAACTCGTTTGGATCACGGACTATTCTATTGATTTTGGAGGATTGAAAATCGTATTCAAAACATTCGTCAATCAATTCTTCATTATCAGGTTAATAGTTTTTAAATATTGATATTTCGTAACTCCAAAAGGCTTATTTCTTATTCATGTATTAGGTTAGATCGTATGTTCTCTCCTCTTCTCGAGGCTTACTAAATATCTTAGGAACATATTTTTCAACTACACTATGTTTACCCTCAGTGAACACTTCATTCACAAAGGACATCTTATTTCCTTCAATCAAAATATCACCATTATATAAGAATTCCTATGTCCCTTCTGCAATGGGATCAGTGGCAGGAGTTGGCATAATCATTTGATTCTTTGCTGTCGTCTGTATTCCCAATATAGGATTACTAAAGAAATATAAAATCTTCTAATTGGGTGGACACATTCTGTATAGATGATATTCACCTTAGTGTGGTGACATCAAAACAGGACGATACCCATCGAAATTAACATGTAAGAAGATGGGATCATTATTCATTCCTCCTGATTTGCCAGGACTCCAAGTAAATTTCACTTCTTCCCAACCTTCACAAATCCAGCAAGAATCCCTATTTTTTTCAAATTGCTAATTCTATTTTACAGGTTTCATTCCCCAAATTCTCCTGAATCTGTGGACCTATTAAATTTTCTCTTATTTTTTGTCAGGTACTGCTTTAGGGTATTATTTCACATCCTCATCCAGAAGACGTAAAGAAGTCTAAGGGTTTCTTCTGCATTCTTCAATTTTCTTTTAACGAACCTATTCTTCAACTTCCTAATTTCTGAGATGACCAGTAGCATCCACCATAAATTTAGGGCAATTTCCTTCAAAATGAAATCCATAGATATTTTAATTAACGTTCAAAGCCTTCATTATTTCATTGCCAGATGGCTCGTCAAATCCGTTATGTGATACGTCAATGTGCATTAATTCTGGATAAGGCTTTGCTATGACCTTGGCCATCTACTGAGCACATTCAAAAGAACTTGTTCGATTATATGATATATCGAAGACCTTAACACTTGAGTTTTTGTAGAATGCCTTCCAGATATTCAAGCCTCCTTTGCTGTTTATGGTGTTAAAATGCAAATACAACTCAAAAAGCATATTTGATCTTTTCAAGTAATTTGATAATTCAATAGTGCAAGCCTCTAAATCTAACAAAATCAATACCAGTTAAATTGTTTCGACTCAAATTCAACAGAGTCAAATAATCATTCTCTTGCAATGCCAAAAATAAATGATTAGCTCCTTGATCGCCTATCTTGTTATTTTCAAGTGACAACTTCTTAACTCTGGATTTCTACAAGTACTTAGCCAAAGTCTCGCAACCTTTGGAATCAATGCCATTGTTGTTCAGATCCAAATCTTGGACTTGGGATGGGAAATTGGAAACCAAAGTCTTAATTCTAGGGGATGTCAATTGATTATGACTCAATTTCAACTCAGTCAAAGTCTTGCATTGAGGTGATTTGAGGGCTTCTGTGAACACTTTAATCTTTTGTTCGTTTCTCAACATCCCTGATGACTCAGCAGTCTATATGGTATAATTTGAATTAATCAAACCAAGACCTGTTTAAAATATATTGTGTTCTACATTGATAGAGCATATTTACTTTATGAACTCTTGTTTAATTAGAGGTAGATATTGGGTTATTGTTTGTAGAATTCTGCATATTCTTCTAGTTTCTCGTAATTCTTGGTCACACTTCTAAACTCCTTCTGGTTGATCTTTTGAAGATTCTTGCTAAGAGTTGATTGAAACAAACACATACTTTCCCAATCGATAATGCTTCAAGAACTTTCCTCTGTCAGATAGATCATCAAATGGGGCATCTTTCTATTCATTATAGAGAAATGGCGATTGCTTTTTTAAATCCTCTAATTTGGATGCTGCAATCACCGTTCCACCACGTCTTTAAGGCTTCTGGGTTTAATGAGGTTGGTGATGTTTGCGTTAAAAGGGTCGAATCGGACTCTTCTCCTCTTTAAAAGCGAGTCTCTCTGATAAAACTTGTGCTTCATCATTTAGCTATTCAATTAGTTTTTGATCTGCATTATAAAGTTCTTATAATGTTTCGTTTTCGAAATTCTTGTAAATATCCTTTAGCTCTAAACTATCATCATCTAAATTTGTTCTTGCCTGACTTTTTTTATAAGTTGAAATATCTGTTAAACAGGCATACGAACACTATTTGGGAGATGCTACTGGTATTTTAAAAATGTCCACTTGTGATTTAACAGTAGGTGATTTCAAGTTGGGTGATTTATGAGTTAGAGTATTCCAAGTGTGTTAAAAGCTTAATTGTCTGACAAGGTATCTCTCAGCGGAGGGCTCTGTTTTTTAGACTTTTGAAACCTGATTTAGTTCTGGTTTCTGTTCTGTTTCCTAAATTTTACGAACTTCACGCAACTTTTCCAATAATTTGGCTGGGGTGTTGTAGATCTTGAGTTTCTCGAACAACATAAAATTATTATTGAGATTATTAATCACTGTGAATTTAACAAATTGGATATTGGGATTAGATGGGAATGCTCTATGTTTTGGATGGCTGAGAGAAGTCAAATATCGAAATTCAAAAAGAGATATATAAAAAACGTTGTTGTTTTGATAATTAAATAATAATAGATGATTGTTCACAACTAGAATTGATTGAATTAAGATTGGAAAAATAAATGATATTGAAATACAAGAACCAAAATTTCAAAACTTCAAAATTGCCCAGCACTCTCTTTTAATAATTCGTCATCGTGTTGTTCATCGTAGTTCTTTTCCTACTTAATATTGAATAAGGCTTATATCAAATATTGCTTTTACTAATCACTAATGTTCAAAGAGAGCAGATTCAACTCATTCATGTGCATCAAACTCATCTCAGTGATTTTCATCCCTTCAAGAGTGTGTAATATGAAATCAGACTAGGATATACTGAAATCACTTTACCCCAGATATTTTCCACAACTCATCTTACAACCTCCGAGAATATTTAATCAAGGGCATCTTCGTTTACTACTACTATTTTTGATCAGGCGTAGTAGGAGCAGTACGATGATGTTTCCGTTAAGTGTTCCACTTCTTCTTCTGCCTATCTGAGAAATCCGACCCTCTCCTCGATATCGGATTCGATGAAGTGGTAGTCGAGCTGAACAACTCCAGAGGCTGTCCAACTTCCATCTTCTCCCTATTCAGATCTTGAGGAATATAACTTGGAATAATGGGTCCTTGATAATTTGAGTTGGACTTGTAAGGGATTCTTAACTAATTCTGAGGGTTGGGTTCCTCGATGATCCACTGCTTTTCATTCTGTTGCTTGGGTATTCTTAGAAATTAGATTGAGTAAGTACCTACGTTCTTAATCATTGTGGAAGAATGGACACTCTTTTTTGATGCAATTCGGTTGTGCACAAGGTTTTGTCTTGTAAATCAAGGGATGATATTCGTATTCTTTCCAGCCGTGACAATTGGGACAGTTTTCTTGATCAGGACAGCCTCCTTGATCGTACCTTGAAATCTAATCAGTCTTATTCCAATTTGCACATTCCTTCGGTTGAAGCAATTGAGGATCCCTTCTGAAATCTTGCGCATTATGAGCATAAACACAAGTGGCTCGGTCATGTCTTTGTTGTTTTATAGATGTATAGCATACCCTACTATGTATGGACACCATATTGTTTTATAATGAAACATCCAGAATTTTTTGTCCTGCACCAATTACTCTAGTTTTTGGGGGACTCGCAATTCGTGATCGTTGTGTGCAAATGAACAGTACATCCCATACTCGCAATCCTTGTTCTAGACGCAGTATTTGCTCTTATATCTATTTGGGTGGTACACTTATTCTACTTTGTTGTGTGAGAATGCACACAAATCTCCATTCGGACATTGTTCAAACTGAGGACACATTTGGCACCTTCGAATCATTATCAGTATGCTCACTTATATTTGAATTAATGAGGGTCACGTCTGCGATCCGACTCATCATGGTAATATGGGCAAAACTTTTTATGCGCACTTGGATGTTATTGAGTACAAGGCTATGTTTTAAATTGAGCAGAGTCTATCTTTCTTTGCTAATCCAAATTAGTGTACGAATTTTCATGAGACCTGACTTTTCGTAATTGCATTAGAATATATATATATATATTTAATTTTATTTCATGTAAAATCAAAAACTATCAAATTCCAACTTTCAATTCCTTTGTGCTTCCATTGAATTGCGTTTTTTGCAGATTATTAATTCTCGTTTTTTCGCTTACAATAGTTTTTCATTTAATATTACTTACTTTTCGATTTTGAATTATTTTTGTATAAAATTAAAAAACGAATACATTCATGGAAGAATAGAGATTTTAGATTTCGTATCCCCAAATGTAAAGTATGTTTGACACAGCCAATTTATCATCTGGGTAATCAGCTGAAATTTTACATCAACTTGGGTATACGACTTAATCTACTTTAGGGATGTTGAATCAATAATGGTCAAATTAGAAACCGATTCCAAAAATGGCATAGCAGAAGTCGAAGGAAGACAAGAACAATTTGGAAGCAATCGTTTAGAGCCTCCCAAATTGTCCCCCTTCTACAAGTGCATGTACAAATAAACAAAAGACTTCTGCATCCGAATTCTGGCATTCGCTACAGTAATCATGTTCATGATGGCTTTCTTCTCTGAAGAGCCATTTGAACAAATAGTACAAGCATTTTCCATACTCATCGCCATCTGTGCCGTCGTAATCATTGGAGCCATGACCGATTACAGGAAGGAAAAATAATTTAGATAATTATATTTGGAATAAGAAGAACAACAAAAAAAACTGTTTTAAGTAGTTCGAAATGGAAACGTGAATTAAATGAACCATCTTGACTTGTTGGTGGGTGACATTATCACAATCAAACCAGGTGATAATATCACTGTCGATGGACTACTACTCGAAGGCACGGAAACAGTAGAGGTAGATGAAAGTATGATTTCAGGACTAACTGATACAATCTCCAAACAACCAATATCAAAAGGATTAAACTGTTTCATCCGAGGAGGCAGCAACATATTTGAAGGCACAGCCAAAGTTGTCGTTCTAGCAGTGGGTTCATCTACATACTCCAACAGAATGAAACACGATAATCAATAAAAAGAAGAAGGAGAAGAAGAACTGATACACGATGAAAGATCACCATTGGCTAAGGCTCTTGAAACCTTGGCCAAATTCTTGGTTTTCATAGGTTGCATGAGTGCTTTAGCCATGTTTATTGTCCTAGAATTGTACATGGTTAGAGAATTGAATGAATTACAAGAGAAAATATTCTCATAATTTGCTCTTAAGAAAGTACTATCCGATTTCATTGATGCCTTCTTAATTATTGTCCTATCCATTCCTGAAGGATTACCTCTTATTGTCACTTTGTCCTTGGCTTTTTCAATAGCTAAACTCAGATAACATGATATTGTCATCAGAAATTTACATGTTTGTTAAGTTTTAGGCGGAGTCGACACTTTATGTTTTGACAAGACAGGCACTTTAACCTATAACAATCTAAAAGTCAGCAATCTCCATGTCGCTAATGAAGAAAGAGTAAACAATATTCCACCTCATGATCCACTATTTAGAATTTTATCAGAAGCCATACTGTCTACTAATTCAGCCTTTCTACCAGATGAGATTGCAAAATAATTGAGATTCAATGAGCAATTAGATCTGAATTCAAATACAAATAAGAAGACATAAGAGCATGCGAAGATGCTGTAATCAGTTAATGATGCCAGCAAAAAGAGTGATTGGAGTGGAAATAGATTGGATGTTGCGTTAATTGATTACTTGGAGGTTAAGTTGAGAAGAGAGTTTGTGGTTGAATATTTACAAGACCTTAAGAATCAAATTAGAAAGACTATTCCACTTAATAATTATGGTTTCCATGCTGAAATTCTTCAAGTAAGAGGTGACAAATACAGAATAGTTTTGAAAGGGAAAGCCAAAGATATCATTGAGAAATGCAATCAACTCAATATATCGATTCCTGACAATTAAAACTTCTAGATCTATGAACCAGGAAATTTCACAATTTAATATTGCGCTTATTCTAATATGACAACTGAATGTGCAGAACTAGAAAAAAATGCTGTATTGAATTACAATTCTTAATCCTTAAAGACCATCTCTTTTGCTTACAAGGATGTCTAAATACCAAATCTTATTGAGTAAGATTGGTAACAATTGCTTACATAAAACAATTTCACATATATTGGTACTATTGCTATGAGAGATGACATAAGGTAGGAAGCAAAAAGATTGGATAGTGCCTTAAAGATGGGAAATATGAGTGTGATGATCTTAACAGGAGACACAAGAGTTAACACTGTTAATGTGGCTAAGTAATTGGGGTTGGGTGAGTTGTGATTAGGCAGATGCTGAAATTCAAAGAACTAGTGAACATCTACCCAAATCATCTTAATTGGTTAATCAACAAGAGATTGTAATTGATCCTTCAACAGGTGAGGAATAGAAGAGTGCTCAAATTATTTCATCAATAATTGAGTGTCCAAAAGATGAAGTTTAACCTTTGTTATCGAATGATTATGAGAGTTAATACATGAAACAGCACTCATTCAGCAATCTATTGATTTTGAACTTTTAAGAGTACGTGATTAGAATTAGAAAGATATTGAAGGAGTCCAATATTTATTATACTCATTAAGAAGTGAACGAAAGAAATATAGTATCTAAAATACCAGAAATATAGAATGACACTTTAGCATGCGATGTAATCAAATGTTTAATATATGTAGAAAGTATCAAAGTTGAATAACTAATTACAGATCTTGGCAGATTTAAATCAACATTAGAAACACCAGTTCTTGGAGGTATATTCAAACATCAACCAATCTACCATTGGATATATTGGAGATGGTAATAATGATGCCATAGCATTGTAAACCGCTTCAGTGGGTATCACTTTGGGCAAAACAGCCACCAATATAGCAAGGGAATGCAGTGGGATTATCTTAATGAATGACAAATTGGATGGCATTGAACTATGTATGAAATACGGCAGAAACATCTTTTTGAATATCAAAAGATTCATCTACTTCCAATTGAGTTTCTTTTTAAATTCAATTGCTATCATGTTGACATCCTCCATCGTATTGAAACAATAACCATACACAGTATTGGAAGTCATTTGGTTGAGTTTGTATGATTTTATTCCTTATCCTTTTTAGAGTTCAAGACATCTTTTCTGCAGTTGCTTTGAGCACAGAAGTACCCTAAGACGATATCTTAAAGAGAACGAAACCAGCCAAAAGAGGAGAAAACATCATTGATAAGTTCTTGTTGCAGATGACTTGCACTCAAGCAGCCTTTTAATATTTGGCAACCCTAATTGTGTTGTTTTTGACTCCATCCATTTTCGGAATTGAGTACTTATTTGTTATACATGTGATAGACCATCATACAAACATGATTTACATGCTCTTGGAGCTGAATTCATACCAGAGTTTGCTATTCATTACACTTTGGTGTATCATTTGACTGCTATGTTCTAAATTGTGAATTTGGTATGCAGTCGAAGAATTGGACAACACGAATACAATGTTTTTGATGGAATCCACAAAAACAAGCCATTCACAATTATGATCGTGGGTCTACTGATAATTCAGTAGGTCATCATTTATGCAGGAGGTAAGTATTTCAAAACTGCTTAATTGACTATTTGGTAAAATATGTTCTGCCTCTGTTTATCCTTCGGAGCCTTGCTCGTATTTTGGTTGTCTAAATATTTATATTCAATCAGGAAATGAAGCATTAAATATCAATAACATAATATAGAATCAATAATTAAATCAGTTAATCACATATTAGTTTATTTCAGTCCCATGCATTTCCTCTTGTTTTTTTATGAAATTCGAAAATTCTTCTTCCTTTTTTATGAAAATGAGACTTGCAAATAGAAGTAGAGAAATGAGCAATTGGATCACCAATATCCAGACACTCAGATTCTCATTCTTGGCTCCCGTCATCAAGACTATGGACATGATGAATAAAGTGGATGCACTCAATAGTATGGAGATCAGCGAAACCACATTGAAAGTGGTGATGTTCCTCGGCAAATTCGAATGTTTCATCAAACTCATCACTATCGTCACTAGAATCAATACTCCATCGATGATTGTGATTGGATAAGTTGCTAATATTGAATTGCAAATGTATTCCTATTGGCAATCATCCTATGTAATTTTAGCGTTCTTCAATGTTCTATTATTTAGTTAGCATTTCAGCTTAGCGTCGTACTTCAACTTGCACTTTAGCACTTCTCCATTATAGGGAATTTCCTATTCCCTATATGTTGAAAATAACAATATACACAATAATAGGCCTGCCGTTGTTAGTAATATTAGCTGTAACAATGCATTAGCCTTAGAGTTCATATTAGGAAGAATCTAGTTCATTTATTTTATTAATACAATCATTTTATGGAATCGATTTAATTTTTACATTATAAATTTTATAATAAATAGTAAATAAACTATAATAAAATTTATTTCTTAATCTCTGACTGATATAATTTTGGGTATTTTGGCAGTCAATTTTGCAGTCAATTGGTTTAAAGCCAAAGATATTTCTTTATCAATACTCTCATTAAATGGATACTTAAGAATAAGATTAAGATTACGAATTCGAATTAGAATACTATTTCGAGCAAGAATAAACAGAGGCTCATGTTCAGTTTGCTCCAAATTTCCAATAAGAATTGTTCCATAATTAGATAGACTTGAATGATTTCTTGATCAATCACAGTATCTCATAACAAAGGAGAGCATTAATGGTTAAATGGATAATTTACGTATTTGACACCATTTATGAGAACTAAAATAATGATGTATTGATCTCCAGGGCCATACATTTGATGGACATATTCCTCAAAAGAACTTAAGTATCATACTCTGATAAGGATGTTCATCTGATAGGTGCCACTTGCATCTACATGGCCTCAAAGATTAAGAACGACTGTCCTTTAGATATGGAAACTATTTAGGTAACAATCTGTCATGAGAAATTCACAATAGATGAAATCAAAGAATTTTATTTTATAATACTAAAAACTCTGGATTATAATACTGAATTTCCAACTTGTTACGATTACTTGTAAAACCTCTCCTACGCTATGTATGGCTCATCCTAAAAGTAGTTATATGTCATTTTACCCTAGTTATTAAACCTTATAAGTTTAAGAAACAGCCTTAAAAATTCTAAAATTGAGTTTTCGCAGTTACTAATTGATGCAATAAAATTGGCTCATTTTGGTTACCACTGTATTAGGAATTGCGATCATTGACTTTGAATAGGTTAATGGTTATTATCGAGATCTGCAAGGGTAGAATAACTTTTTAAATGATGTAAAATAATATTTCTATTTTAGTAGATAATAAGACTCATAGAAACTGCAAATATCAATGTTGCGGAATTCAAGAATTGTTATGAAATCTTATCATAATTTAATTGCAGATGTTCTGAGATACATTGCAGCAGATTATTTTGAATTTTATAATATCACAAAAGAATTATAAAATTTATTCATTGATATTCACTATCCCCTTAAATATGGGTTATTTTAATTGAGCTAGAATTATTTGAGAGACACAAAGGTGTTAGTATAATTTTGCATTAACAAACTACGCTTTCTGATATGTGCAATGCGAGTGGGTGTTTTTGCAGAACAATTTATATCTTGAACATAAGATAACAGGGGTGATGGATGCTTGTATATAGATGAAGGTAGAATTGTGAAGATTAAGTTGATTTAGAATATAAATATAATTATTTATAGAATTTAGGGATGAGTAAGGATAGTTTGCCTATGTTCAAGTTTATTGTTGTTGGTGATCAATGTAATAGGATATGTCAGACTTAGCTGTTGGCAAGAGTAGTTTTGTTAAATAATATTCGGATGGCCAATTTTCTTGAAGGGATGAATAGAGCAACAATTGGTGTGGAATTTATTAAGAAGTTGGTCATAGTCGATAAGCGGAGAGTGGAGCTATAAATATGGGATACTGTATAAGTTTTGAGCGATTGATTAGGCAGGATAAGAATAATTTAGAAGCATGATCAAGAGTTTTTATCGTGGAGCTGCGGCAGTTTTTGTGTTATACAGTATCAATTAAAGAGACTCATTTGAGAAGTTGCAAGAATGGTTAAGTGAGTTGCACGAGAGTGCTCATGAGGAGATTGTCAAAATTCTTGTGGGGAATAAATCAGATATGGAACGCTGTGTTCAAAAGTAGGAGGCTGAGAAATTCATGAATGCGAACAATTTTAGTTTGTTTTTTGAGACATCTGCGAAGACTGGGGAGAATGTAGAAAAAGTAAACATTTTGATATATGTCTCAAGGCTTTTGTGGAGGCTGTGAAATTAGTGATAATGAGGATGTTCACGAGTGATTCCTTTAAAAATTCTATAAAAACAACAAAGAAGACTCCGGCGAGTTCGAAATAGAACACAAGCAGAAGTGATCAGCCAATTTCAGAGGTGTCACAATTGCCTTCAAAACCAATTCAATTGTAATCCAATCATACTTAAGACAATCATCATGCAAAGAAGCAATGCTGTTGATTTTGACATTTGCAATTAGAATTGTATTTTATAATTAATTACCTTTATGATTAAAGCTTTATTTGCTGCTGAATTCTTGGTCAAAGGTATAAACACATCCATTGATTTCTATTAGGATGTGTAATTACTGCATCTTATCCACAAACAGGTGATTCGGGATTTCATGAGTTGGCATCCTACATGATCCCTGATGGAGTCCACAAAATCAAATAGGATAAATTCTTTTTTAGGATTGGCAATGTTCGATTCGTTTCTGGATAGGTGCAGACATATCATTTTGATTATCAATGGAAACCATTATTGCAGAGTTCAAATCAAACACTCAGTTATTCGGATGATAATGTGCTCAAAATTAGAGGAGAGAAAGAATCTGAATGGTTGGACATCAATTTGTCTAATGCTCAAATCCATGTTATTTCTCATGACTTCGTGTCGATTACCTTGAATCCCGATCTGATATACGGCATCAAAGGGAAATTTACTTAGGATTATTATCTAGCTTGTCTCAGAAATAAGAAGGATGCCACCATTAAAAGAGGCTCTTTGATTAGATCCATTGCTGTCTGTTCATCCGATCTACTTTTCTTAGGAATTTGCGATTAAAAGATTCAGAAATGCTTGGAATAGTATTTCGACTAAGTTGGTCTTGATCATTGGGTGAATGATGCTGACAGTAATCCATAAGCTATTGAAAAAATACTGCAGAAGGGATTCAATGACCTCTCAGGAGATTTGCCGTATTACAAGTTTTCCCATTCCCTTTTGGATTACTCTTCCAAAGAATTAGGCAATTTGTATCCTAAAAGAGCAGATGGACTAACAATCAATGCCTCATTGCTGGAATTATTTGAAAAGTTCAATATGAAGGTTCGAATTCTCTATAGGGCTCTTCTATAATAGAAGAGAATCATCTTCCTTTGTCATGAATGCAGCAACCAAGAAAAATAGATTGGAGATAATATGGTAAAAAGTGACTATATATCAAAAGTACTCTAATGTCTGCAACCTTGTTTTGAGCTTATGCTTCCTTGTCTCCCCTTTGAATATCATTCAGAACATTCAGGGTTACAAGTCCTTACTCGATAAAGGATGGGAGTAATAGAATTCTTGGATCTCCATAGTTTCGAATCCAATTTTTGAATATCGCAGAGAATGGTGGGATATCTTATGCGATGTCAATGCTGGAAAGATAATCGAATCCAAAACTGAACAATCATTGTTTATTAACAATGAAAACGATATAGATTTCTTTTAAAATCTAATAAATCTCATCCAAGTCTCCCACATTAATGAATTATAAGTTAGGTCCATACTCTAGAAGTACACCTCCTCAATCATTGGAAATTTAGTAAATAATTACATTAACATGTAGCCTCAAACCCTACAATTCAAGGGGTATAGGAGAATGAAAATTAAGGAGTTATTTAATGAATAACAATATGCATAATTGCTTAATATCTTAGCAATGATGAAATTATAAAAAAGTATGGAAGACATTGAGTTATTGCAAATGTATGAGACCCTTCTGGATTGTCTAAAGACAGAACATTAATTTAAAGAATTTTTTAAAGTATTTATATCCATTGAATATCTAAGTTGTTTACTGAATCCAATTATGATTTGAATACATTAGGAATAGGAACCATGTGTTCGGATATTGTGGTCCAAGAAAAATGCAGAGACTTTTTAAAATTATTGGAGAAGTGGGATAAACAACTAATGAAGAAAATTAACTTATTCTTTGTAATTTGATGTATTATGTTTATTTTCCTATTAATCGATTTTCTAATTCCTAAAAAAATCAAAAGAGTCAAACATTTATAATTAAAGTTATATATTATAATAAATTAAATTATAAATTTATAGGAAATAATAATGAATAATAATATGAACAAACTTCATTTTCCAAGCTTTCGAATTTAATTTTTAAACAAAACCTTAATACACTTCCTATAAATTTGAAATGCATCCACTCTAATGTATAAAATTAATGAATTCTTGGACTCCTATATAGAATAATATATCGTAGTTCAAAATCATCCAAATATTTAAAAAGACTATTTAATTTTTTGTATTATACAGATTAATAAATGATTCAAATATTTTTTAAAGTTCTATTGTGTATAGAATCATTTAAAAAGGTAAGAGATGTTATTGAATTAATTTTCATTATAAAATTTATAATAATAATATCCTGAAAATATTTGTATCAAAGCATTATACAATCATCGTCTTCATCAATTTAGCCTGGATCATTTAAATTCTTTACAGTTACATACTTCTCATATTATTCTTATTTTGATAAGACCTTGATCTCCTTTTTATCTTTAAATTAGTAGAAAATGATTACTTTTTGGCTTGTCTTATAAGGACCTGTATAAATCCTTTATCTTCAGTTGATCTTCCAACTTTATTGTTTGCAATCTAAAGAGTGGCAATTCCTAGCCCTTTTCTCCAGTTGGCCATTTTTTAATGCAATGCAGATGATACCAAACCTTCTTATCAAATTATTGTCCTAATTTCAATTGAATTTCAATTAATACCTTCATCTTTTTTTAAGTAAACATGTCCAATCTTTAATTCATTCTTAAAAATGACCACATGGCAAGTTGCACATTTAATGCGATTTGAGAGTGCATATTCACACTCAAGGAATTATTTCATCTTCATTTTATATTATATATATTATTTATAAAGTGTTTATTATAAAAATGAGGGTCTATTATTTGAATGACATTTTTAAAGTTGATATTTTATTGATTACAATGAGATGGTTAGGTAATTAAAATATCAAATTCATATTTGTATTTGAAAAATTTCCGAAAACCTGAATCTAGTAGGGTTCAAGCTCAATAGCATCGAGTTAAAGGTAGAAGGCGATGGGTTTCAAGTTGGGAGATGATCTTGAAGAAAGTGAAATTAATAATTTGAAGCCTAAGTAAATAATTTTAATGTGTTAATTAAATAATTAAATTTTAATATAAAAATATATGTGTGTAATTTAATAACATTGTTAAGAATATTTGGCTAAATAGATTTTAAAGTAGGTTTTTGACATCCATCTGTTCTTAATTTTCATTCTAAATTCAATCCTTACTAAAATGATAGATATTGCAAGTTGAAAGAACTGCATTTGACATCTAAAATCAAATGGGTCCAGTAGAGAAACAGAAATTTAACAACTTTTATCTATTTTACTAGCGTTTCTAAGATAGGATTTGGAATCTAAGAGTGTTTTGATAAATAGATGTTTTTGGGTATGACTCACAGTTTTGGTACTGGGGAGTAAACCGAGAAAATATGGTGTTTCTAAATTTATCTGCTAATTTAAATTCGATTTATGAGATCGAAAGGATGTCAATAATTTATTTTAAGCAAATTAAGAATAGATGACCTAATTGTAGAAGATGGACAGTAGATTAGTTTCAGAGTTCGAGAATGACATAAAGGGATCTCAGAGTGCTATAAGAAATGCTCAATGCCACCAAATCTTTCAAGGAAGGGGCAAGAAGTACATGAAGATCAAGTAAGACACCAAACAATAGCTCTATTGTATGGTGTAGAAGCAGGGGATGAAAATAAAGGATGTATGCAATCGAAGTTAATGAGTTGTTTAGGCTGCTCTAAAATTAGGTATTAAATACGCAACAGCGAAGACCATAATATTTCACCAGAGATAGAAGAGGAAGGCGAAAAGGAAATGCGGTGAGAGAATGTGTGGATACACTAGAAAATATGGACAAAGAAGTTCAAGATTGGAAATCATAAGCATAATTGGAAGCGAAGTGGTGCACAAATAAGATTACAATCTGTGATCTAAAATATGGAGTGTGGGTGAAATTATTTAGGCTCACATCTTGATCGTTATTCTTCATTTAGGATTCAGTAAGGAAATGCTTATTATTAATCTCGATTATTTACATTTGTATATAACTACAAGTGTGGATATATATATGTATGTAAATAATCATTTACTGTTTGGCCATTTGATCTTCTTCAATAAATAATCAATTAGAATTTCTGGGTTGTGCATTTTTAGAGAACTCTAATTGATCCATGAAACTGCAGGGGCTCGACGATTCTTTTGTTTCCAGGACACTTGGAATAACAAATTTTGACCATCGTTGTCTTTTCTAATCTAGATAATCTCATCTGCTGAATCCCCTTCATCATAAGAACCCTCTCCGCTGGCTTTGAGAGATTATTCGAATTCCAACACATAAGTCATAACAGTTTGCAGATTCTCAATGGGTTCCCATGTTTTTTCGTTGTCAGAGTAACCTTACCATTTGATTTCATATTCCGCTCGACCATTCTTGAATCTTTTATTGGTGATAGCCTCGACCATATATTCTTCCTATTCGGACACAGACAAAGGGGAAGTGGACATGTAAAATATAAATTAAAATGAGTGAATGTGTGTCAATGGGGAGTTAAGACACTCCTAAATGTCCGGTTTTAATTTGTAATTTAAGTATATATATATATAAAATGGCTGTAGTGGAAGCGGCTATCCAGACAGAAGGAGTGGGGAGATTCGAATATTAAGATGGTACCGTGTACGAAGGATAATGGAAATTGATAGAAGGTAAGAAAGTGAAACATGGTAAGGGAAGGATAGTGATAGCAAGTATGAAATAAAGGAATGATTAAAAGGTTCATTGTCTACAGACAACGATTTGAAGGAGGAGTACAATGGAGAATTCGAGAATGATTAAATGTGTGGAGAAGGTGTCTACATATACAAATCAGGTGCAACTTATAGAGGACAGTTTCGAGATAATCGCCATAATGGCATTGGATTTTATCAATTTCCCGAAGGTTGCACATATGAAGGGGAGTGGGTAAATCATAAAATGCATGGAGAAGGAGTGTTTATTGATAAGGAAGGCAATAGATGGGAAGGAGAATTTGTGGAAGGAATTTATCAATCGAAAATGCAGAAATAACTGAAGATGGAGAAGATGCTAAACAAGAAAGAAGCAGAAGTCAGGGAAAATGCATCCCATTTCTTCACTCGTTTTGTAGATGCATATGCACATTCAGATAAGAAAACCATGAAGGATAATATGACTCCATTCTTTGCAACAACTGAGGATATCAAATTATATGTAAAGGAACCTTATCCACAATTTGCGGATCGTCCTCCTGAAAAATGGGAAGCTGGAATCAAATTCTTATCTGCAGGTTCTTTGAACATACCTCGATCCAATACTGCTGCTAAGATTCTGGATCCTCAAAACATTTTAGCTGCTTAATTCAGTGGAGTAGGTCAAGTGGCTGAAGTGTAAGTGCAAGAAAACACGAGAATTGTTAGATTGGCCATTTGTAATACTGCTGAAGACAAATGGGTTATTGTATTCTATCATGACAATGAGGAACAAGAGATCAAGAAAAAGAAGTGAACATATATAAAAATAATTAAATTATGCCACCCAAAAAAGAGGAAATCGATTTGAATGCCCTGCCTCCTCTCAAGCATCTGTGTGTCAGTATTAGAATTGAAGCAGCCAAATCACGAGCAACCAAACTACTCAATTTGCTTAAAACTTGCAAATCATTTTAAAAGAATATTCAAAGAGATGAGATTCTAGCGTTTTGCAAAGAAAAATAATTGTATGTCGATCCTGCCACCTTGACTGACAAGTAGAAGAAGGTAAACTAGTTCAATATTTAGGATCCCAAATTCATGGCTGAAGTTGCAACTGAACTTACATCTGAAGTTATGAATAAAGCATTTCAGTTGTTCATTCAAGATCAAGTCCTTGCTGTTAGAAAAGCTAAATATTTGGCTGCCCAAGCTTAAGCTGCTGAAAAAGCTGCTCCTCCCAAGAAAGACGACAAGAAAGATACCAAAAAAGGAGCCAAAGAACCTCCAGCAGTTGCACCAATTGTAGAGCCAGAAAAGGTTGTTCCAGAGAAAGAGTACCCCAAGAATTTCGATTTGGTTTTCATTGTCCAAGGTTTTCCCCAAGTACCTCAAGAGCAGATAGAATTAATTATACACGTGAAGGAGAGAGTAATAAATTGGGGTGGGGTTGATATAAATCAAATTGAACAACCTGAAGAATTCCAAGATGATTTCGAAAAAAGAATGGAAGATTTTGTTCCACCACCTCCAATCAAACGTCAATACTCAGAAGAGTCACTTAATTATGCTGCCAGCGAAAGAAGTGTTATTGACGAATTTAAATCAGCCAGAGCCTCATCCCTACCATCAGATCCATTAAGATAATTGACTATCAAGGAACTTATTTTGGATATGGATCTAGATGCTGAAGAAGAAACCATTAAACAATTCTATGAAACCATCTTCGAAGAAATTTGTTAATTCAGTATTGACCAACAATAATATGCCGAATGGATAGCCAATAAGAAACCCATCCCATTAATTAACAAAGAAGCTCCAAAGGATCCCTTCGATCTTGAAGTTGAACGAATCAAGCATGAAGCACAATTGGCTGAAGAACAGTAGAAAGCAGCAGAAGAGGCTATCTTGGCTGAGAAAAATAAAAAGGGAGCCAAGAAGGAACCCAAAAAGAATGAAGCTGAATTAGAAGCTGAACGACAGGCCGAAGCTGAGAAACAAAGATTAAATGAACTTAAAAAATAGTAAATCCAGGATGCCATTGATTAACAATTAAAGATGAAAACTAAATTGCATCTTTAATATTATAAGAGATAATTATCAGATGTCCAATTATAGAAAGTGGGACCAGGAACTCTATTAGAATGCTTGTTGGATTAATTACAAGCCGAATCCACGTACTTGACTAACTCCTAAATTCCTCCCAGTCTTGAGGATTAAGATGACTCAGATTAAGTTAGCAGGATTTTGGCTGGTTTGAAAGGTTAGGGGAATGAATCAGTAAAAAATAGGAAGTAGGAGCAAGTCACAGAATCCCCTAAACAATTGATATTAGATGAATGTGATTGGATTGAAATGAGAGCTTACTTTGCTTCATTGCATGATCAATAATTGGTTGTGGATAGAGAACATAAGATATTTGATAATCTTTGTTACCCAGGAATAGATAGATAGGGAATGCCTGAGATTCCAGAGAAATCTGAAAAAATGAGAAAAGCTATTAAGGCTAAATTGCATCCATTTGTTAATGTTGATGTCAATGAATTTGAGAGAAGATAATTACTATTGCAATTTGAAGAGTTGCTTAAGGAAAATGAACCTGAAAAAGAATGGCATTTTGGTGATAGAATTTATATGGAGAGACACAATAGAAATACCTTGAGGTAGAAGTTCTATGAAGCTCTGTTGAATGATCCATAAGTCATTATGAAATATTTGCCAGATGACGATGCTCTTATGATATGTTGCTATTATAAGAATCCTCCTGGAAGGACTTTAAGGAAGAAATGGTCGGCAGAATGGAGAGTGCTGCCTAATCTTGAATATTACATTTAAGTGAGGAATTTCAATAGTGATTACTTTTATGATATAGACTATCAGAAGATAGGAGCAATTACAGAGAGATGCAAAGTTATGTATCCGACAGATAACTCATTAATTTTGGCTACGAAGTTCACAGTTGGAGAAGAAGAGCGACTTCGATATAGAGTGATCAAAGAGAATATTGTCTTTGGTATTTAATGTGGATTTTATGCATAATTCAAGGAATCAAGAATGAGTGTTCAAGATCAAATCATGAATTTGACTTTTAAAAATGGTTTATGTTTACGATTTACACAGATGGGAGAAGTAGTTTAATAATATCATTATCAAAAAGCCTAAGAATCATCCTAACACTAATTTAATCTCTATGACAATACAGATATCAATTCAGAGCAGGAAATTAAAAGAGTTATCACTGGTCAGGGATCAGTGATTATATATAAGAAGGATGGTTCCATAATAATATTGTATTCAAATGGTAATGTTTCACATTATAAAAATAATATGTGGATTACAACTAATAACAAAGGTTATAGATAGTCACCAAAGGGAGTAGATAAAATACCATGTGCAATTAGAACAGATCCTGAAAGTGGATCCAAGGTTTACATTAGAGATGATCAAACCCTAATTATATACTACAAAGAGGGTTACTAGTACACTTAACATTAAGACGGAACAATAATGTTAATTAAAGGAGATAAAATCATAGTGGAACATCCAAATTTTGCAAGCGTAGTTGTCACCATTGACAAAGCCAAGCAACGTTCTGGAACTATCATGAGAAAAAACAATGTAACTGTTGGTTTCGATAACATCATTGACCGAAGCTTTGATGGCAGAATTGTTGAGACATTTTATCAAGGATGCAAGGTGATTTCATATCTTGAGAAGTGCGAGATACCAGATTCAAAATAATACAAAACTAATCGAATTCATCTTCTGTATACCTAAGATGGAGGTGTTAGCAAATGTGTTGCTGATGGAGAAGTAGTTATTATCACTGCAGAAGAGAGAGTTAAATTAAATAACAAAGGTGAGAAAAGACAGTTAGGTTAAGACATTGATTATTGGGTATAATTGTTTTCTTTGCCTGATGAAAGAAAGTCAGGGGTCTATACCGTAGATTTGGAGAGAAAATGCATTTTCACTAGGGATGAGGAAGCTAACTACTTCGAAATTGACGAAGATGGTCACGTCGTTACTAAATTATCTACAGCTGCAGCATAGAATTAGGAACCTTACACTCCTGATTAAATTCCAGATGGCATATTTGTAGACGAAGAAAATAAAGTTCTACCTACTCCTAAGTAATGGATTCCTCCTAGATTGTTCTTGGTCAGAAATGACAACACAGGCATTGAACTTTATAATTAATAACAATTGTAGGATTACTTTAGATTAAAATCAGAAAACGCTTTTACCACTAAAATAACTGAAGACATGCCTAATAATGTCAAATCGATATCTTTCATTACTGAGTTGAAATAATAGAATAAGAAATTCATAGATGTTAAGATTCCACAGACTTTGGATATAGTGCCTAAAATCATACAAAAGACCACCATTATTGCTCATAGGGTGTTTACTTTTCGTAATTTCCTGGAATATCCACCTTTTGAAAAGGAAGAGAGAATTCATCATGAACTTTCTTTACAGAAATTTGAAATTTGGCAAAAGAACATGTTAAAAACCTAGAATGAATTTGGAATACTGTAAAAGTCAGAGGAGGAAAAAGAAATTGAATTTACAATTTAAATGAAAATATTAGAAAGCAGAAGAACTGACTATTCAACTGAATCATATGATTAAGCGAAGAGCAAAATTTAGATCCCAGAGCAATAGATTACTTCAGTTGAGCCCTTGGAACAAACTCTTCTCAAAAGTGCTAGAGTTTAATAGACTGTTTAATAGGCGTTTGTTGATTTATCAAGAAAAGCATAGACTGTTTAAATCTAAAAGTAATCCAAACCTTTCACAGAAGTTAAGGGATTTGCAATTCATTATTTTGAAACCAGTGAGGGTCTCGATTATTTGAAATAAGCTCCTGAAGACCCCCCCATAAAAAAACAAAGATAAAAGGTAGTTTAAATAAATGAAGAACCATAATAATTATAGCTAATTGAGTAATTTGACCAGCAACCAGAAGGCATTGTTCCTTTAGAATAACCCCCACAACCTTAGTATAATGATATTCTCACAAAAGTCATCATAAAACCTTCAGTATTTACATAGGCAGAAATTGATGATGAAATTAGATAAAAGAGATTAAATGATGAATCGTTGAAATATAGAATGCAGAAAAGAAAAGACATTGATGTTTATGGAAAAGAAAGAAAGGATAAAAAACTTGTTCCCTGTCTATTAAAGACTAATCCAAAGTTAGAACTTAATCAAAAATATATTTTAACTGATGCAACTACAGATAATCGTGTCAAAATAAGTTCCATGGCTACTAGAGTATATCAATAGGCTGCTCCTGTCAATCAAATAAGAAATGAAGGCATGCATTAAACCATAATTAGAACTCTGGATAAGAAGAACAATTTGGATGAACTCATAGATAAAAAGAATCTGATGGTCACTGGAGACATAAATGATAGACTCAAGAAAGACCTCTTGATATATCCTGTTTCTGTTTAATTTGGAGAACTTAGATAAAATGGAAGATATGAATACAAAATCAATGTAAAAAATGAGGACATCATGACCCAAAGAATTGTCCTAAAATAACCTTAAAACAGCAACATAAAAGTACTGATGAAAATAATGGGACCGGTAAATATCTGTTATATCTTATTTTTAGATTTCTTTGGGATTAGTGAGGGAAGTCTTCATCCAGGTATCAGCTGATAAGGTTGGCCAATTTTCTGATGAGTTCTAAATCTTGTCTAAACATTCAATTTATACAATTCCTTTCAATGGTAATGTGCTAGAGTAAAATATCTTTGACAAACTTAACACTGAACAAATTAAACTATCTAGCAAACCATTGTTGAAGAAAAATGTCAAAGATTTGCTTTAGGTAATATTGAACCCTATAATTTAGTAATTTAAATAACAAGATATTATCGGAGATAGTTAAGATTCTGATTTGCTCCCCAAAATTAATTATGATAAAAATTATAAAATTGATCCATTTCAAAATCAAAAGAAAGAAGATTAATCATATGATGATGAAAATTGATTGCAAATTATCTATTTATCTATTATAATGGAGATTTAGAGAAATTTAATATTGTTAAAATTTTCATTTCATCTCTTTGTATAAATTTCATTCTCGCAGCAACTGTTCATTGATTGTAATATTATGGTTTCTTTGATGCAAAATATGGTTAAAATTGTTGATCTATTATCCATTTTCCGATTAAATTATAATTATTTACTGAGGATTTTAAGACAAAATAAAAAATAATTTCTTTTATATTTCAAATTATCTAATAATCAAAATAAAGACATTCAACCTTCCGCTGTCAGTTAATAATTAAGAATTACTATAATTCTTAACTTTATCAATTTTCATAAATCACAAAAACTCGATTTATAATTTAATTTTCATAAAACTTTGATCCAAACTCAATATCATGGAAGATAGTTAAATAGTTGATTCAGTAACCACTTTATTCTTCAAAAAGTATTCAATGCTCTCAATTAATTTTTCTGACGCAATAATAGATATTGGTTATGAATTCGAAAGAAAACAAAAGAAATCTCTCATAGATCATTATGGACAAAAATAATTTACAGAAAAATAATGTTAAATTAATAATTTCTAAATAAGAGTAAATATATTTAAAGAATTGGCTATTCCCATATGTCTCTGAATCCCAGGAGCTCTCCATAAATCCAATCAAATATTGCATAGAATTCTATTTAAGATAAATGAAATTAAGTCATTAAATTATAAATAACCATAATCATTAAATTTAATTACAATTTGATGGACGCTTAAGATATTCAATTATAAGATTAGCTCTTTACTTAATAGAATAATGTAATAGATTTTGAGTGTTTTGACAAAATGGAGAAATTCCCTATAAAGGAGAAATTTAAAATCATAAAAACCAACAATAATGATCTGTTAATAGTAAAAGAAAATGGAACAATCATTAAAAGGTTAACAGTTAGTGATATCAAAACTAGCGAGATGTTCTTTTATTAATAAGATGATATTCCAGCGAACTTTATTTTGAGGCAGATAAAATTTTTTTAATGGGTTGGAAATTATGAAGAAAAAAAAAAAGTAGGGATATGGTCAGCTAAATGGAACAACCAAGCTTTGTTAGATGTCGGAGGTTAGTATTGCAATAGAGGCAAGAAATAAGGACAATGGAAAGAAATTTTTAAGAATTACTCTGAGTAAAGCAGGTTTAACTACTTTTAGAAAAACCTAAATCTATGAAGAAGGACTATATAAAGATGATCTAAGAATTGCTATTTGGAATATAATCTATGAAAATAGTCGTATGTATTAACTTTAGAAATTCAATCAACCTTAGTGGTGGAGGGTGTTACAATGAGCAAGGCTAGAAGACTGGTCTATGGTAAGAGTTGAGCAATACATTCTTTTGGTAAATTTAAGTTAATCGATATTCATTAATATAGCGATAATTAAATACTTTACTTTGGGGAATATTTAGATGGCTAAAAGATCGATGGTTGGGAAAGCCTTAAAAAAAGGTTACCAATATTTCTTAACCTAAATGGCTGCAAGAAAAAATAGAATTAGCCATTTGAAATTATGTAAATCATAAACAATATATCTTCAAAATAGAGGTTAGTAGTACTATGACAAATAAGGGAAAAAGAATGGTAAATGGGTGCAAGCAAGTGATCATTTTAAAGAGTTTATATGATACAACTTCATATTTTAGATCTGCTCAAATTAGTTATTGTGGAGAATATAGAGGAGAGAAGAAATGTGGGATTTGGGATTTTAATTATTAGATATATAGCAATCGGCCATCTAAGTTAATGTAGATATATTATTAAACAATAGAGGATGTGGAGTGTATGATGGGCAAGGTTGTAAAAACGGCAAATGGGTGGAGCCATGCGAATAGTTTTCTGAGTTTGATTCATTAAATTATAAGTAGAGATTGCTGGATTATCTCTGAAGGATAATACAGGAATGGAATAAAAGTTGGAAAATGGGAAATATCTTGTCAGAAGGTAGAGTAAACAGACACAGAACCGGAAAAAATGTAAAAAATCAGTATAATAGAATAACTTAGTGGCTATGGATTTTATGATGATTAGGGCCTTAAAGTAGGTGTTTGGTTAGAATTGGATGATAGTTTTTGCAGGTTTTGTTTGTTTTTATCTATGAGAACTTTTAGAGAAGTTATTTATCAGGGAGAATATAGGAAAAATCATAAGATTGGGAAATGGGAAATAAAATACAAACGAGAAGCTTTTAGTTAAGTTGAATCAATGTAAATCTATCAATACATAGATTCTAATAAGTGCTGGAGGATCTTATGATGAGCGAGGCTAGAAGATTGGTCTTTGGAAAGAGTTGACTGAAAGATTTTGGAAGTATGAAAATGAGTTATTTAATTAGTTAGAATGAGCTGATTTTATAAGGCCAATATGACAGAGGGAGAAAAATTGGTCAATGGGAAATCCTGTTTAGATTCTCTTAAAGATATTCATTTGATAATATGTAATATGTAATCTAAAATTTCAGCGGAGGTGGATCATACAATTAAGCAAATTTGAAAAATGGCTTCTGGATAGAACAAGATGATGACTTTTCACAGTAATGACATGAATATTTTTGTAGGATTAACACAATACTTCATTAAGGCTAATATTAAGATGGCGTAAAAGTAGGATAATGGCATTAAGAAAAATTAAAAGACAGCAGTTTAAATATTGCCCCTTATCATGTAAATAGATGATACCATATTTAGCGATATTATTGAGTCTATTTTTATAGTTCAAAATTTATGTTGATCAATCTTTTAATTTAATTTGAAAATTGTTTTACTTTCTTTTATATTCAAAAGTAATTTTTTTAAAAAATTGTTTAAATTGAATGGTTAATTAAATCACATCTTCACTTTTTTGATTGGTTTGTGTAGTATTTTTGATATGTTTTTTGTTTTTTCAACGAAGTCTAAAACTTTCTCGTTCTCCTTATATAGGGTTGACCTTTATAGATTCTCAGCAAATGATGTCATATCAATTTTCACATTGTCCTTTACACATTTGCATGCTTTAGCCTTTAAAAGTAAAGGTAACCAATTTAGTGTCGCTAAATTGACAGCTTCTGCAATATTGAATCCACAGTTAAAGCCTTAATGATAGGCTCCAGCAAAAATGAATATATATTCACCTTCATGATGAGACGTCTTTGAGATTCGAATTCCTGGAACCTTTTCTTTCAACAAGTATGGATTTATTACTGTTGTTTTATGTCTCAAGAATTCCGAACATTTATTGAAATGATCTCCATATGTTTACTTTGCATATTTTTCTAACAAGTGGCTGTCAGATTCAGGAATCGAATACCAAAACCTATAGAAATAATAATTGTTTAATACTTATCCTTCCCGACATGGAGATAATTGATGCTGCATAAGTCAAGGTCCTCTTTATGCCAAGCGAAAAAGGTTTTCCAGGAACCAACATAAATATACGGCTCATTCACTCCAGGTATTTTGTTTTTGAGTCCATAATTTAAAAGACTTGTAACATTATTCAGATTCCATGGATTGTTAACATCCATTAATGATAATTTAATATCAGCTCCGTACAATGGAGGACTAAAGGCTAGACTTTTCCAGAACAATCTCTCAAATTAATCAGAAGTGAGTTTTTCTTGTTATTTATCAATCTCGATTTATTTATTTCTGTAATCTTTTAAAGGCATAGATTTTTTCAGAATGTGAAGACATTCATAATTACCTCCTTTTCCATAGACATTCTACTCAATGGGGCCATTGATGATGAGATTGTCAAGCGTTTTATTATAATCTTGCATACGAACTCTGAAGTTCTTAGGGGGAATGACCTGAGATTTATTCAAATGTCAGAAATTACTTTCACCATGCCAAAGTTTGCCGAATACTATTTATCAATTTTCTCTATGTATTCATAGAAGTTTTCAAACTCTTACTGAGTAGGTCTTAAAGTCGGACACTCTTCAATATTAATCATGTTTTAAATAATTCTTAAAATTTGCAATCAAACAACGTCTTTCAATACCCCGGTGAGAGCAATACATTAATTATTATGGACCAACTCCACAGAACTACAAATATTATTATCTACTCCATCGAAAGAAGCCTAATAACCTTAATGTAAAACAAGTTAAATTCCCTATTAAATTCTAATTCTTATCTTAACCAACTTCACCTCCTTCATTTATATTAAGTAATTCCAATATCAGAATCAATTGTTTATTATGAATTGATAATTATTGTGATTGTTTTCATCTACTAAATCTTATTGCTTGAACATTATATTGATGTTCAAAATTCATTCATTCCTTATTCTTCTTAATGATTACATCCCCCCCCACAAAATGAGTTAGTGTGATTTCTCAATTCATATATTATAAATTTTACATAAGAACTCCTTTGATTAAGTCTTCAAAGAAAAATACACAAGTTTCCATATAAATAACTACAAGAATGTGTTTAGCCTTCCTGATATTCTTTATGATTAATTTAAAATGTCAAATTCATCCCTTCAAACCATTTTTCAAAACACTCATCTAAATTTTACATGCCTATTAATGTTTAGAAGAGAATTCATTTCCAATAGAATAAACTGGTTAATTATAATAGATATTAATTTGACTACAATATCATAATGAGTATAAAATTACTGTCTAACTTTCTATTAGTTTGGAATTAACATAAAATTAGATTATATTGTGTATTCTACTTAAAATCATTTTATACATGAACGTGTACTTACTATTTAAATATTAATTAAAATGAATAATAATGCACTTGCTCATATCAGAAAATTGCAAACTGGAGAAAATAGATATTGTTTTGAGTGTCAAACTGGTAGTCCAACTTGGGCTAGTTTGCCTTATGGAATTTATCTCTGTTACAATTGTTCAGGATTTCATAGAGGGATGGGTGTGCATCTCACATTTGTTAGATCAATTGAAATGGATTCCTGGACTGATAAATAATTAGCTATGATGCAATTAGGTGGAAATCAAGAATTAAGGATCTTCTTCTAATCTCATGGAATTTAAATTACAGATTCAAACAAATGGAAAACCAATGCTGCACATTATTATAGAGAAAAAGTAAGCTTAAAATTGTATATTATTTAGATGAGAGCTTTAGTTAACGAAACACCAATTCCTGAAGAACCAATTGATTGGACAGCAATACAAGAGATCCCAAAACCATAAATATAATAATAATAATAAACTCAAATTTAACAAGATATCTCTCCTGAATAAAATGTACTACATCGATGCCTATAATAGTTTTGGGAATAAGCATCTAAATCAACAAAAGAAGCTTTCGCAATGATTGATGAGAAGATATCTAAAGTTCAAATTAAAGAAGAGGCAGTTTAATTGGGATAACAAATCTCAGCTAAAACTAAATAATTTGGAGTATATCCTTATTTTAATTAATAGGAAAAATCATCAAAAGTTGCAGATAAAGCATATTAGAGTTTAAAAAGTGGATTCAATGAGGCTTTTGGCTTTATAAAATCTAAAGCTGATTAAGTAATTGGAAAAGAAAAATAAGAATAATAATAATAATAATAATAATAATAATAATAATAATAATAATAATAATAATAATAATAATAATAATAATAATAATAATAATAATAATAATAGTATTAACCATAATTACAATGGCCATAATAATAATAGTAATACTAATAATAATAATACTAAGAATAATAATAATAATAATATTAATAATAGTAATAATAGGTTAATAATTTTGTAGATAATCAATAATAGTTTTATTAGTTTTAGACAGATGGTTAAAATTAAAAATAAACAACAGTGAATTAAAATAACAATTCTCAAGATTTATTTTCTTTTGAAAATAATATTAATTAAAAGCCTTCTCCCGCAATCCAAAATTAATAATAATAAATGAATATTATGGATTATTCTGATTATTTCAATGATGGTCCCTCTTCAGTTATAATTTATGAAACTCCAATCTATAGTTAGTAAAATAAATAATAAGAAAATTTAATTGATTTAATCCAAGATATAAAATAACCTCAACAAATAAGTGGAACACCCAATTTACTTGATTTATGAAATTTTTCTTCATCACAGCATCTATTAATATTGATTGTTTTATCATTGTTAATTTAACTAAGGAAATAGGATTCATATGTTTTTGTTGGAGATGGAAATGTTTTTCGAAGTTTCGTTATTCTCTCCTCACTCAGAAGTTTTTTAATCTCGAAATTTGGATCTTCATTTTCTGAACTTATGGTGATTGTCAAATTCGATTTTTTGGGCTAAGAGCATGTTACACCCATTTATTTTTTAGCAGTTAAAAATAATTAAATAAATATTATTAAAGAGTTCGGTGCAATTGATTATTCATTCTGTTTGTATATTTGTATATTTAATTCTAAATTAATGGCATAAAATGATTCTGAAGCAACGAAACAATCTAATGAACTCCTACCGGGATCAAAGAAAATACTGAAAAAACAAGGACACTGGAATGAAATAGAGCACAATACTTATCTTAGATTTCTTAAAGAAAATAACAATCACTCTAAGGGTTAAAGATTATTTAAGAAAATGAGTTAAATTGTAGGGACAAGAACTCCAAGTTAGTGTAGGTATATAAGAACACTATAAGATCGCATCATCAAAAATTCAATCCGTAAAAGACTAAGTGCCTTTCAGAAACTGGTATTATGAGATCCAAACAGTATGCTAGACAATATTTTGCTTAAAATAAAACTTTAGACAATGATAGTGATTGATATTGTTTTTATCATATACTGCAAGATTCATCTTTACAGCATCAATAATTCAAACTAACATCAAGAAGATAGAAACATTGTAGCAAAAATTAGATAAAAAAAATATTTTCTTTAATGTCATCTTGCCTTCTTCGATTTTTTCGATCCTACTAATTAGCTCTCTTCTGCAAGTTATTCGATATTTGTATCTACTTCTCTCAGACCAAAATCCTCATTTCTTATATGATTACTCTTGTCATCCTTACAACCACTATAATTTTAAGTCTATTCGTCTTTTTTATTTGAACTGAGTTTTCTAACAGTCCTGACAAATTGTAGTTCTTGATATTCGAATTCATCGTCATTCTTTTGCTTTTTGTAAATTTCGATAGTATTTTTTTTTAAGGTTTTATACTTTTCAGCATACTTTCTAATAATTACATAATATTCTTTACTCATTCCATTTTTCAATTGACTCTTTGTAATCTTTCATTTTCCTTTCGAAATCTACCTCCAATTGCTCTCGAACTCGTTGTGATTATTTACAATATTCATCAACCAAAAGTGAGAAGGACTATTTCCAATTATAATTTTTAGATGAAAATTTGTGTCTATTTTTAATTACATACTCAAATTAAGGAGTGAGAGGCCTTTTAGGTTTTGAAGGTATATTTTTGAGTTCATTCAATTGGTTGATTTGTTTTTGATCTCCTCCATAAAAGTAGATGAGCTGCTCCTAATATTTGTCTTCACATTATTCAAATTAATCTTCGTAATATTCATGCATTTCAGATGACATTTCCGACCATGCCTTTTAGATTTGAGCGCCAACCATATTTATACCTACTCCTTAACTCAACAATATTTTTAGTTGCTCTTTATAAAATATTTGATATGGAGAGATGTATTATCTTTTTGGAGGTTGATTTAATTTTCCACTTCGAAGCTACATAAATTTAATTTAACAATTACACTAATAAAATTAGCAGAATTTCTATGAGAGTTAAAATTAAGTTAAATAATTTTCGTAATAATAAATCTATTTTATTTCATATAAGGATAGCGGAGTGCAGTTAGAGAGTTTCAATTATGTAATGATGTTTAGACACATGTATTTTTATATAATTAATATTTGTATAAAAATTAAATGAGATTGAGGCTAGTGTGCAAGTAGCTGTTTAGTACATCGAAGAAGGCTCCCCCAAAACCTTCGAGTGTTATGGGTGCTCAACTTTCCCAAAAGTAAATGGATGAATTGATGAATCCTTTAGGATTCTTAAAAGAAAATGAAAAAGGGGAAGTGCAAGAACAAATCGAGAAGGCTAAGGAATTGAAGGAGTTGATTGCAAAATACAAGATAAGCTAGAATCAATAGAGTGGGAGTCAAGGCAAGCCATATGAATTGGATAAAAATGGGATGCCTCCTGAGGTAGGATTCAAAGTCAAAGGTCCAGAACCAACTAGATATGGAGATTGGATTGGAAGGGGAAGAGTAACAGATTTTTGAGATGCTCTTAATTTTAGATATTTAATTTAATTTAAAATAAATGGAGTATTGTGATTCCTGCAGGGCAGTGTTGAATGAGAGACTTTTATTGGAGGAGTAATTGGCCAGGCTTCAGAATGAGTTGGATATAGTTGCGACACAATTGAAGTTGTTGAGGGAGGAGAATGAATTATTAAAGAGTAACATAAAAGTGCCTAATAAATAAAGACGCAAAAACAATAGGACGAAGGCCGAGCTTGATTAATGCTAAAAGGAGATTTAGAAATTGCAAGTGATAATCTAGCACAAAGATCTGATTATCCAGAGCCAAGTACGATGTGATATAATTAGTGAAAGCTCAATTATAGATATGGACTCAGTGAAGAAGAAGGTGAATCTTTGAATATAAAAATGTATATATGTCATATACTAATTTCAATGTTAGAGAGTTTTATGGAGTTTAACATGTGGAGTTCGATTTTCTTGTTCAATTCAATAGTGATAATGAAGTAATGCGGTTATTTAAAGTTAGAGTAGAGTTTAAGCTATTACAGTCTCTTCATGCATTTGGTCATTTGAATTGTGATTTGATATACTTGATATAGCACTTTTGCTTCTTTAACAGGAACCTTCAAAATAAATACTAAGACATTTATAAACAACTTCTACTTTGCAATTCCTGCATAGCTGTGGATAAGAAATTGTAAATGACGCAAAAGTCTTTCAAAATGCAAGTCCCCAATTGGAGAAGGAGTGGTGATTCTCTGCAAAGCAAGTAATCTAATAATTTTACAACCTGATAAAAATTGAATATATTACTTAAGACAATTCCTACAGCATCTAGGCCAAGGGATATAATATTTGGATTTGAACAATTAATTCGTATTTCAAGAACTTGACAATATTATCAGTTTCAATAAACTCTATGACTTCTTTGTAGTAATCAAAGTTTTCGCATAATTTGAATAAGAAATTATAATAGTAAATAGCCAACCTGGACTTATCTGTGTCATCTCCAGGAATTAGCTTATTTTGAATAAATCTGCTAGCGAATTCTTACTAGAGTTAATAGATCAGTTTGTGACAAAGTACTAAAAACTTAAAAGACCCTATAGTGCTTAATGAACTTTGCAAGATGTCAAAAAATTTGTTAAAATTCTCCTCTTTGATTTCTCCTTTCAATTCATCAACGATACCTAGATTAAGTTGAATGCCAATCTTACATTGAATATGCAATTCTTATAATTGAGAGTACCTTTTACTTTTTTTATATTTCTTTAAGATCTATTATAACCAATATTATATCAATAAAATACATGGATGAAGTCGGTCTAAGCTCCTTGAATCATAATTAAGTAATTTTAGATTTAATGTTCTAATTTTTTTATAAATAATATAAAGAGTAAAATTAATATGAAGAAACAACATCTAAAAAGAATACTCATCAGAAAATCAACTCAAATAATCAAAGATTAAATAAATGAACTAAAATCCAAAAAGAAAGCTACTATTTTTCATTTCAATAAATCTTGATGTTAAGGAATTATTGAATGAATGAACGCAATATCGGCTAATTTTGGATTTAAGAGCCATGTTTATTTTGAAATCTAGGGCTTTTATACTTATATACATAATTCTAAAAAACATACATCTGTGTGCACCATTGAATACATCAAATTCTTGAATTAGTTTTCAGAGTTTTATATAACCTCTTGAAGAAGTTTATTGGTAAAACTACTAAAAGTCTTATATGTAAGAAAGTTATATTAAATATTCTAGAAGTTCTTAAGAATCTGCAACCAACGTTGTTCTGATTCTAAATTTATTATAACAATAATGGCTAGCTAATTTTATTGACTAATTACTTCATATAGAGACAATTTAAGATCCTTCTGTTATGAAAATGAAATAAAAAACCTAAATAGATTAACCAAAAGTTGAGATAAAGTTCTTATATCAAGATAAATTCACCAATCCTATCAGATATGCTTTTGCTCATTAAGGAAAGGTATTAGGAAGACTTATTGTGGAATAAATAAGTCTATAAGGAATAAACTAATTTTTTAAGATAATTATTAATAAACAAGTTTATCTAATCTCCTAATTTTTATATGTTCAATTCTTTGCAACCATATAATAAACATAATCTTTGGAATATTTAGTTGCTTTTGGTTGAATTAATTTGGTATAACGATAAAATTTTAGTCTTTAAGAATTCTTAACACTTAAACCTAATGAGCTAATTATTCTTTAAATATTATATATGAACAATACCTGATTACATTTGAGAACTTGAATAGAATCCAAAATCATTAGATTTTACATAGATCACATTTCATGATTTCAAAATTAATAAAAGAATTTCTTTGTTATAAATAAATCACTTCATTCTAGATATCATATAAGCCAAACGAAACGGCAATCTTTTTTATTAGAATTCTATTTTTAAATTTCTAAGTGAAAGCCGTTTCATAAATAACTGTTTCTAATACGTTCTTGATAACTTAAGTCTCTTAGAATTATGAACAGATTATACATTATTTGTTATCTCATAAAAAGATTTTGAAAAGGGATGAGAAACAAATAAAACCTTAATATATATAAAATTGGCAAAAACGTCTAATATTATCAATTGATTTAAGGAGAATTGATTTCAGATAAATGATGATGAGTTTTTCATATATTTGGATCATTTTATTAAATAATCTAAATAAAAGTCACTCATTCTCATTATATTTAAATTTCAACTATATATTAATCCTTTAATTTTAATTTCATAATCTATTAAATTAAATTTCTCTAAATTTGAATAATCTATCATTTTATTATTGAAAGTATAGTTATTCAAAGTTAGTTGAAATTAATTTAAATTATTTATTAAAACTAAAATAATTATTTATTTGTTCTAAGATATAAGGTTTAATTGGTTCAAAAAAAGTAAATTTATAGATAAACACTTTATCAACAAAATAAAATTTTAATCCTTTTCATAGTATTCAGTAAGAGGGCTTGAATACCATTAGAGCTTTAAAATAACCATTTATATTGATATTGTTGGAGGAGTTTTCAAAGTTTACTTGATGATTTATTATTAAATCTTTTAAAAAAAGGATTCAAGGAAATAAAAATATAAATATACAGATATTTTTAAATGATATTTCTTATATATCAAAAACCTCCTCTCAATTAAATGACCATATGGACGGTGTCTCCAGCTTACATTTAAGCATCAGAAATTTTACATTCTTCTTACAAATGTCTTCCCTTAAATATCAGCTAAATTATTTAATGTATGGAGAAATACCTTAAATTATTCTGAGCTAATTCCTTCTTTCTCTTATAATTGCATTTTAAGTTATTGAATAGTATTATCAGATTCTATGTTGTATGAGACCTTCTTGCCTGCCAAAGTTTTAATGAATATTTGCATCTATTTTAAATAATTAATAAATAATAATAATTCGTAGGTGATTTTCAATAAATAAATTCACAGAAACCTGATCAATACCGTGGCTCCATTGATATGATTCGATGAGAATTCTGAATGAATGGATTGGAACATTGTAAATAAATGAGAACTGAAGTTGAAAAATAAGAAGGTGATTATTAGAAGTGAAATTAATCTAATTATTTAGCATTATAATTGATTTTAATTCGAATTATAAAATATACATGTTAGAATATCGTCAAAATAACATCTAAGTTATAGTAAGAGTAAAGCCTGAATCAGGTTGTATTTAGGTTGACGAGTGCGATTCAACCGCATTATCAATATCGAACAAGCAATATCGTTACGATCATGTGATTCCTCCAAGGGCTTCATAATAGGATGTATTCACATTGATAGGACAACCACTGATTAACAATGCTTTATAAGGCTATAATGGGTGTGTCTTTGCTTATGGTTAGACTGGAAGTGGCAAAACTCACACCTTAATTGGTAATAATGATGGATTGCTTCCACAATGTCTACAATACATTTTTGCTTGTTCTATTGAGGATCACAGTGTCATCATCAAAGGTTCTTATCTAGAGATCTACAACGAGTAGATATTTGATCTGCTTTCATCGTCTTCAACTTCTTTACAAATAAGAGAGGATCCCAAGAAAGGGATTTATGTCGAAAACTTGAATGCTGCTGTCATTTCAAATTACGATGAAGCTATAGCCTTGCTAAGAAAGGGCAATTCTAATAGACACATCGCGGCTACTAAGATGAATAGTGAAAGTTCAAGAAGTCATGCAGTCTTTTTAATTCAATATTCTACTTCGATTTAATAAGAAAAATGTGAAGTTCATTTATATTCGAAAATGTACTTTGTTGATTTGGCTGGATCTGAGCGTTAGAAAACGGCATAAACAGAAGGACAAAGATTGAAGGAAACTCAAGCTATAAATAAAAGTTTGACTCAGCTTGGATTGGTCATTTATGCAATCGTAGAGAGAGAAAAAGGAAATAATAAAATTCATATCCCATTTAGAGATTCTAAACTAACTACTCTTTTGAAAGATTCACTCGGAGGCAATTCTAAGACATTCATGGTGGCTGCGGTTAATCCATTGCACGAAGAGGAAAGCATTTCAACTTTGAAATTTGCAGAGAGAGTTAAGCAAATAAAAGTTAAGGCTCATGTCAATAAAGAATATTCAGGAGAAGAGATTACTAAGTTGAATCTTCAAATACAATAACTGAAGGAAGAATTGGTTAAGAAAACTAGAGAACTAGAAAACGTGTAGCCTAGTGATGCTTTGTAATCTTAATTACATATGTAATTCGATGAAATTTAGAAATTACTTTAATAGATTCACCAAAGTGCTATGCAGATGGAATTTGAAACTGTTGAGGGACTATTGTAAGAGTATGCTGAAAAGAAGAGTTATATTGTTTAGATTTTAAAGTCAATTAATTTATCATTTAAAGAAGAGGAAACTACTAATTATCAGACTTTGAATGAAAACATTGAATATTAGAATAAACTGAAGATACAATTGTTATAATAAGAAGATGTCATTTATAAATTACAAAAAAAGAAGAAGGAATTGGAGCAAAACATAGTTGACCAATAATAGGCTCATAAGACTATTCTTGCTTCTACTTAAAAGGGTTTTGAGGATCAGATCAAAATGAAGGACTATCTCTATGATTAAATCAAAGAGGATTTAGATTAAATGGAGGTCTCTAAATTATCACTATAACATCAACATGATAAATTAAAGGAAGAAGTTCAACAATATATTGATAAAATTGAACAAATGTAGATTCAATTATTTCAAAATGAATAGCATCAATCTTCTATTTATGAGGAGAAGAATCAAAATATATAAAAACTAGATTAAGATTTATAAAAACAGATAGAGTATAATTCTTAATTGAGATTGCAACTTGAATAAATTCATGTCGAAATCTACTAAAATAATTAATAATTCTAAGCGGAAACAAATCTATTGAATGCTTAAATTGAATAATAACAGCTCGAAATTAATAGATTAATGGAATGGGTCTAGAAATTAGAGGCTGAGAATATGAACATCAAATCAAATAATGATTTTAAAAGAGAATATGATTAATTGACATAGCAATATTCTAATCTAAAAACATAGTAATAACATTTAGAATAAGAATTGAAATCTTTGTAAACTGAGAATTAGTATAACCTAAGTGTTATAGATAATTTGGAGATGTCAATTAAATCTTTTGAACTATTTGAGGATAATTTGAGGTAGGAAAATCAATTATATAGAAACACCATCCTTGAGTTATAAGAATAGCTCGATTAGAAATAAGAAATATTCTTAAACATCTAAAAATCATTTAAATTAGATAATTGTGAAAATATAATTAATGAATTGAACAACAAAACTAATTAACTTTACAGAAATGAATAGAAATTGAGATAAGAAATATCATAATTGAAGTCAGAATAATAATTGTATATCTAAAAACTACAAATTAGAGATTAAACTATATCAGATTTGCAAAATGAATTATAGGATTTACAAAAAACTCATAGAACAAGTGAAGTGCAAAAGTAAATAGAATAAAATGAAAAAAGCTAAAGTCAAAGGTAATTGGAATAAAAGATAGCATCCTTGAAATTAGAGTATGATAAGATAAATAAATCAAAAAATGCATTACTGGTGGAATATACAAAATTAGAGAACAACCAAAAGGAGTTTGAGACATTCTTACTAATTCTCGAGAAGAAACTCTAAGATTACGTGTCCAACACCTTTAGAAAAAATAGAGTGATGAGTTAAGAATAATAAATTTTATATTTGAAAACTACTTAAATCAAGCAATCCAAATTTGTGATCATTGAGGCTTTGGTTGATATAGTCATAGTAATAAATTATAATAAATTTAGTTAGATACAATTGATAGGTAAATCAGAACATTTTCTTAGATAAGAATAAATTGAATGTTTATAGTTTCATAAATTAATTTTTGATTTTAATGAAAGAATTATTTTTTTTAATGAAATCTCTACCTATCATTCTCTGTATAATTTTAATTTTTATTGAATGAATAGAGAGAATTTATAAAATGTAAACAAATATTATCAAATTTGATAATTGTTCATAACATAAGCTTTTTATATATTTAATTTACATTAAAAATAATATTTGAAGAATGTTTTACTATAGTTCTCCCAACAATATGAATTACCATCATCTGGTGCTTGAAGTAGCTTTAAAATAAAATACCACTCTTATTTTAACTAGCGAATGTCCTTCCCATTTTTAGTCTTGCCTATTGAAATAAGGAATAAAGATGGATGATTTAATTAAGCAATAAAAACTACAGTAAGATTAATTTTTATACAGAATCATAGATCTATTCACATAAAACACTTTGTGGCAAGAAGAAGAATTACCACTAACTGAGACAGCTCCTAAATTATGGTCAGACCCATAACCCTATTAAAAGGATCTGTCGAATTATTTATTGAGCTAAGTTAAGTAGAAAGTTGTCATTTTGGAGAATCTGTCCTTCTTTGAAATAATGTGTAACGAAAGAAAACTAAAACCTTTAAAAATTATAGAAGAATTATTAACAAAATGTGATTAATTGCATATTTTTGGTTCTAAATAACCCTTAAGTTAAGAAAGCGTGTCTCTAATCAATTTTATCATTAAGCATTCAATAAGTGTGACCAATCTATTGCCTAATCAATCTGGATTCTCAAAAGATATTGATGGTTAAATGATAGTTGAAACAAGACACGATGGAGGAATATGCTTTGAAAAGTCAATCTACAGTTTAGATTAGAATAAAGTTAATTATTTGAGTGCGTTAAAAATGATATGAATATCAACAAAATTATTCATTTATTCAAACTTTAAGCTTTTTCTTATTGTTCTTTTTTAGGAGAAATAAAGTAGCTTGTTTTATTGGTTCTTTTTATTTTTTCTTTTATTTATTCAATATGTCTATTTACTCTTTCCTCTGCCATCTTAGATTTAAGAGAAGGCCTTGTCTCTATCATCTTTTAATATTCCTCTTTGAATGACTTAACAAGTACCCCAATTTTAGTTTAATTATTAATTAAATTATGATCATATACTTTTGAAGTTGTTTAACCACTTTTGCTCCTTTTGATTCTATTTTCTTTTTTGCAAAAATTCAGACAATTTGTAAGCAATGAATACAAATCTTTACCTATTTAAGTTTGTTTATTGAAAGACTTTAATAACATTTTTTCACAAAAGAGATAATTTTTCTTATCGGTGTTTCCTTGAAGAATTCTATTGATTGCTTAATCAAAATTCAATTTGGCAGCGGACCAATCATCTTCAATTTTATTGGTTCCTAAATAAATTAAAGCCTTAGTATAATTATAAACATCTGAAGTAGGCTTGAGTAAAGGTGAAATTTTCTAGTAGATTTGTTACGATTATGCCTAAATGAATTCACATCTCATTAAGGAAAATAAAATTATGAATAATTATTAGAAGCAACAAAATAAAGTATAAAATTTATTATTTATAATAATATTTAATTAACAAATGATAATTAAATAATTGTAAATTTAATAACAATATTAAGTTTGATTAAAGATTTTTAGTAGAAAATTATAGAAATTCTGCTTAAACTAAATTACTTGGAATTATATATGTTATTGTAGAAATAGTATCTATCATTAAAGCAGAAACTCATTTTATTGAATTTTATGAAATGAATGTCCTTGCACTTAAATTTATGTTCCAAAAATAGGTTTTTTGGGATGAAAACCTATAATATCTTAGGTTGCTGTATTCCGTTTACTGGAAATTCTTGATTGCCTGGGAGATTTTGAAGAATGTCCTTTTTTTATATCGGTAGTCTACAATAGTGGCTCATCTCTAAAATGAATGTGAATATATTATTACATAAGCTTCAGTCTTCTTTTTATTCTTAAAGCTTTATTCATAGCCAAATTATTGAATGTATATAATGAAAAATTGTTTCCGAAATTTTTCCTCTTATCCATATTTAATTTTAAAGTCCTTATAGCCCTGGCTACGACAACTTTAGGATTATTCCAACTAAAATAGTATTAGAAGTTCTTTAATGCTTCAAACTCTTCTAATTCCATAGATACATATTACTCATCGTAGAGGGGAATAGACAATTCTTAATTTTACTACGTATGAGTATGGTTATCTTAGACTTTAGTTTTAAGTGTCTTGGCAGTTTTACTTCTATTAGTTTTTGTGGTTCTTCTTCTTAATTATTCTCTTTTATCGACAGACTAGGTGGAAGGATATAAGGGAATTTCTTATGACATTTCCCTAATTTCTTTTAATTTAGGTTTTCTAACAGGATTCTGATTCTAAACCGATTATCCTCTATCCCTCACTTCAACCTGAGTTTGAGAAGAGAAAGGTTTGTATGAATCCTCCTTTTTCTGCTTGCGGACTAGAGTAATTTTTTTACCAGGAGTTCTAGCCGTTTCAGCTGGATTTGGCAATCCAAGGGAATCATTCTTCATTGAAAATTTATAATCCTCTAATTTTTAAAGATTGGATTAAGTTTCCGAAATCTACTCCTCTTAGATGGATACAAGTCTATTGTGAAGAGATTCGCTGACGCCAAATCCAGCAGTTTAAATGGTTTATTTAACTTACTTAACTCTTGGCTTATTGGGACTGACACTATCTTTAGAACTATCGCTTTCTTAAATAGGTTATAGATGATTGTCTTATGAGTAACTTCTATTTTGGGATTGCTATCTAGAGATTTTGGACAAGCTTTTAGTAAGAGAGGCTAAAAATGTTAAGGTAAAGTACAATATTCTTAAGGAGAGATATCTTATTCATTATCATCATAAGACACATCTAACTCATCTTCCATGACTGTTACATTGTCTAAGACTTATTTGGTTTGGAAATCCCTGATTAACACCATAGTTTTTTTGCATTCTTTGAGAGTTTCAAACTTTTTGCGTTCTAATTTCCTCTGGTAATTTTGATTCCTCTCTTGCAAAATAGGGAAGTATTCTTTTTTGAGGACTCTTTCTTGATCTGCAACATAATGCAAGACTGGACAGTCTTTTATGAGATGTGTGAACTTTTAACAAGAATAACAACTTAATTTGGAAGGCTAGTAATTACTGGAGAGTAGAATGCTATCTCTTACTTCACAAAATCTTTCCTGTTAGTTAATATATACTATTTACCAAATCAAGGGGAGTTTATGCCAATACAACCAGTAATTATTGTCTGGATATTTTGTAGGCTCTTGAAAATCCTATGCTTTTAGCTGATGCAGTTCTATTCATACCTGTGAAAAATGAATACTCACCAAAGGATTATCCCTTTGCGAGATATGATAGAGCTCTTGTGTTGCTTCCTTAGTTATCATCTTAAAATTATATACATACTGTGCCTTTGGTTATTATATATAATGCAGCATCATCACACATACCTTATTGTAATATTTAATCTTCAGGTGAAAACCTAACCTCTTCGATTTGAAGAGACAACTATTTCAAGACCTTCTAAGAGAACTTGGTCAAGACTTTATTAGTTTTCATCACATTGTAACGTATTTCGAAATTGAGTTCTTCCTAAAGACTACTTGACAATTTTGTGGTAATCTGCGAAACCTCTTCATCATTGATTTCCTGTTCCTCTTGAAATATATAATCGTAGTAGTTCCTAATACGTGATTGCAATTCAATTTTAATTTGATTCTTAACCAAATACTAATTCAATAAGTTAATGCTTTTTTTGTATAACACTTATCTGGAATTTAGATTGCTCAACATCAACCCAATGGAATTGAAGGAGAAGGCAAAGACTCCGCAGGCTAAAAACATGCTAAGATTCGCACAGATTCTTTCTGCATTGTTTTAAGGAGTCAAATCGCCATATCCCACAGTGATCATGGTTTATACTGCCCAATAGAATGCATAATTGTACACAGAAAACATATCAGGCTCTTTGACATATTCATCTATCCAAGTTTAGCGATAACCCTATTGATAAAATGCAACGCCATGCCATAAACAAGCAAATAAATGGCCTACATACAAGACCATAAAAAGCAGTTTAGTTAATTCTATAAAATCTTAGTATGAATTGGTGAAATTGAAAAACCTAAAATCATTAAGGTGTAATTTACTCTTCCAATTTATGCACTCGTCCTTGCAATTTGAATAATCGACAACAATAGTATATACAATAGGGACACAATTGCCAACCCAATTTCTCACTTGACGTGTCTATCTCGAATTCTATTGCGATCAAAAGGGCACCAAAAGAAAACTAAATCATTATATTTAGTATCCATACCAAATCATAAACTGCTTGTCCTTCCAAATAGTTCATAAATATTTTCCGTCTTGATTTTATAATCACTCCCTTCTCTATATATGAAGTATTTATCACTATTAAAGCATCTATCATTATTGTGATTAGAAAATAGTCCTCTACATCCTTGACTGTAACTCCACCAAAAACTACTTGTTGATATGTGATTCCAAAAGAAATGTTGAATGGAGTCCAAAAAAACACTGTTATTATTGTCAAAATGTGAATGATTTGCCATCCTATTACTAAATAACTGCTTTAATCCAGAATTGGAAAGAATCTTAAACGTTTGCAGATCTTACTTAGCCAGTGTTTTGTAGATCTGTTGTGCTAATAAATGTACCGAAGATCATCCATTAGGGTGTTTTGAAATTGAGAAAAATGTGATGGCTTCTTAATATATGACTTTTGCAACATGTTTTCAATAAATCGGTTTGTATAACTTTTTGCAATCACAGCTTTTAAAAAATTTTTCATTATGTCTTTTTATGTCGAATTAGTTTGACTGAGATCCTTAAAATCCTTGGTGTCCTTCTACAATTCGGGCTTCTATGTGGAAAACAAAGGGTTTTCTTCAATTACTGAGTCAGGTGGTGATAACTACAGTATTCTCGGAACCTTATTAACATCTGTTTATTATGGGATAGCGTTATCAATAAGTTAACTTCCGACTGTTGGTGGTTTCACTGTATGATCACCCTCGTCTAGGGGATCTATTTTGCAAGTAAATCGAGATGGACCCCTAAATTATTTATTATTTGAATCCTCTAAATTACTGATTATTCTGCTACCATGATTGTGCTCCTGATTGTAACTATATTCATACTCAAGAAAGAAATCAGAACTCATTAATTAATTTATATAACTAAATACTCAAATTAAAATCTCATACACTTTTTAATTATTTCTAGCCTAACTCATTTGAACATCATAAATTCTGGAAATAAAACACGAGAACATCACATTCGAATATTCAAACTCCTATTCAATTAGAAATCTACTATTTTTTTAATTTCATCTATCCTATTTACCCAGCTTAAAATAGAGAATGAAATTTAATTATTAATTCAATCCCATCGGGAGATTTTTCAATTGAATTTATGTTAACCATTCCCTCGTTTTGTTATAATTTTAATAGAACATGATTTATTTGTAACATAAATTAAATACATCATAATTGCAAATATATCTAATTTCAATTTCAATCGCTCCTGAAAAAATGATGGTTCTATTTAGCAATAGTATCCGAAATTTATCGATCTTTCAACAAATTACCATTTTTAGTATTTACTTTTTTTTATTCAATATTTTTTCATCTCATATAATAGTTATTATTAATATAATAAAATAAATTAAAAATTATAGAATAAAATGTTAATCTTACCTTTCCTATTTCTTTAGTAACAAGGACCTATTAATTTTCTATATAGCCATTCTTCTTGTTCTTTCTGATATATATAATTCCATCACATTTAGCATCCAACACACCCGATCAATTTTATTAAAATGTCCTTCAAAAAATCAGTCATACTTACGCTAGACATCTTTTTGTATGTATGCAAGAGGGAAGATTGTCATTTGAATTATAGAACATATCAATATATAGTGTTATTTAAAATTATTAGTGGGATGAAGAAAATTTATAAAGACATTTACAATATCTTTTTAAATAATACTCAAGTCGACTCATTATAATATAAATTCTAATTTACTTTTTAACAATAGACACAGAAATGCAAAGGGTTTCTGTTGAAAAAAAAAGTTATCAAATAATAAATTATCATATACAATATATTTCCTAAAAGCATTTAAATTCTTGTAGGTTTTATCTATTCTAACTTAAACCTTTCTTGTTATTTAGGATTGGAATTTGAAAACAATGTGTTAATATTATTCATTAATCAAAATAAAAATCATTTAAACTTCAAACAAATTCAAGTTTGTCTCTTCTTATTCGAGAGTGGATGAAAGGACACGTAAATTTAGTGTAGGGGAGCATGATAAAGTGTATACTTATAATATTTAAACAATTAAAAATGAAAAGTTGTTCAAATTTCTCTAAATATTTTTAAGATTGCATTTCTGTATTCTAGGTGCCATTAAGGATCCTTGATCTTAGAATTAAAGACGTAGCCGATATACTGTTTCTTAATAAAATACCAGCTACAATTAAAAATATATTTAATACCATATTTTCCTAAAGCATTGATGGAGACAGTTGACTTCTGGATTTTTATGTGGTTTGACAAGTCTCATGAGTGAAGGGAGGTTCAGAATATTTTTATTTTTCTTAATGAAAGAAAGGAAAGTTTTGAGGTTACATTTGATGAGATCATTGTAGTATCCTTTAAGAATTTGCTAGGTAATGACCTTAGAAATATTTTTTGGTATGTTTTTGGACTTAATAGATTGGCTTAGCCTAGGAGCAGACTTTTTGATGGGGAGTTTTGTCAAAACCATCTTTCTCATCTCGACTTTCCAATTGATTCTCCTTTAACTTGTCAAAGGTGTATCACAACTGTCGTTGTTTTTGTTAAGAATAGCAAGATTATCTTCCACTGATTGTGTGACACTCATGTTCTATTTATTATTTAATTATTATAATCAAAATTTGTGAGGCCTATTAATACCCTTATCGTTTGGTGTTATAAAGTAATCGTTGGTTACAAGAAAACTTTAAGTTTCTCGTTTTGCTCTATGGAAAATAACATGAAAACCGAATTCAATGGATTTTTTGATAGCCACCTCATTATGGTGGGAGCCGGAATCCCAATAATTTTAGATTTTTTACAATAATTGAAACTTAACATTTAAATAATATAAAGAGAAAAAAAAAATTAAGAAAATCAAAATCTGTTATGTTTGGATGATTTAGAATAATAGAGACGATTGAAAACAAATAGATTATAATTCGGTACCTATATATTTAAAAGAAATATTATCATTATATTAAATTATGTAATCTAATTATTTTAGTATCAATATTAATAAAATTATCATATTCTCAAAGTCTCTCCAAATTAATGGAAAATGATGGGTAACATCAAACCTTATGATATATATGATGTCCATATCTCATTCATCCTTAAAATACCTATATTATATTTTTTAGTTGTTTCTTAATTATCGTCGTGTAATTCAATTTAAAATTCGCTGAATGATAACCGAAGTACTTATATTCAAAAAACATGAAGAAAAAAGGGGGTTAAGTTTAAGTTTTAGAAAAAAGTTCAATAATTATTTGATGCAAGACAATACTTTAAAACTAAAGAGATGCGATCAGATATATTGATTAATTACAGAATTTCTGGAATTGGAACTTTGGAATACTATATTTATAAAGTTCATAATAATTATAAATTTAGTTTATTTTTATTTATTAAAATTAGCAAATTTATGGCAATTCCATTCAAATCTATTATTGGAACTTTGCTTTATTAATTGTGGATAGTAATGATGGGAATCTCACTTTATTTAATTTACAGAGCTTTAACACAGGATTATTGGTTGATACCTATCTTATTGGGATTTATTGGATTCTAATCCAAAGTATAGAAAAGCGATACATTCGTTCGACTTTTTAAATCACTGGAGATAATGAAATTCTTCAATAAAAATACTATCTAAACTCTTGAAAAAGTTAGAGATAAAAATGTGATAGTAAGAATACAATTTAATCTTAGTTTGCTTTTCATCCTCATGGTATCTACAGTTATTCAACCATATCAAATACTCATACAACTGGAACATTCTTTGAAAATATGGTCTTATTGGGATCAAACATGGCATTATTGTTCCCCATAGCTGGATTATTTTTGAAACTCTATGGAATTCAAGGAGCAAATCCAGAAAATTTTAAGAGATTATTAACATCAGGAGCTTAGGTAGGATTGTTGCCTGGAGGATTTGAAGAGGCCACAATAACCTCTCCAAAAGAAAACAGAATATTTATAAAATAACGAAAAGGATTTATCTATTATGCAATGAAGTATGGTACTATAATATACCCTGTATTTGTATTTGGAGAAAACACTCTTTTCAACACAATTGATTGGTTCCTCCCTCTTAGACTTTGGCTGAACAAATTCAAATTAGCAGGAACAGTCTTTTGGAGCAGATTTCTTACAATACCTGTATATATCAGAATAATATTGCATATAGGAACCAAATAGAGAAATTCACACTGTTTGTGGCAAGGGTATCGTGTTGCCTTAAGTTGAGAAGCCTTCCCGTGAAGATGTCGAAAAATATCATTAAATTTACATTCAAGCTGTTAAAGATCTTTATGACCAATATGCTCCATTGTATGCGAAGGGCATTCCTTTGAAAATATATTGAAAATGTAAAATATGTATTGAAGAGTATTTAGTAAAATATATTTATCTGATATATTATTAAAATTAAGTATAATTTAAAACACTCTGGACTATTGGTGTTGAAAATAGATATGTAGCACATTGGAATTTGTAGGGAATTAAGTATTATAAGGATTGCATTATTTATATATATAATTTATAATTAATTAAGGCTGAAATGTTAAGCAAATTAACAAGAATTTCTCGTTTTAGACCCTTTTTTGCATTTTGCAATTAGAAGCCTCCCTAAGGTAATCATAATTATGAAGAAAGGCTTTGAAAAATTTCAGAGAAAATCTAGACAATAGCAAGCGCCTAAAGAATAGAAAATAGAAAATCCATAGGAAGAAAAAATGGAAGAGTAGACTCAAGAAAATTAGTAAACAAAAAAATAAGAAGAGAAGATTCGAAGGGAAAGACCTGAAGAGCCTCAATTCGAACAACCAAAATAAGAATAGCAATAAAAAAAAAATGAGCGATTTTAATAGGAATCATTCTAATTTACTAAGCGAGACAACACAAACAATTTTGGATAGAAACCAAAACCCACTGGACCAGTATAAGATGTATAAAATCAATAGTAAAATAGCCTAATGATCCGTTCAAGCAATATTTGTTTATGTTTTTGGCCTCTGCACCTCTTGCTTACTTGTTGTATAAAGTCTATGAAGAAGGAGAAAACCATATATCGTTTAATGAGTTTCAAAGGGATTATTTGGAAAAACAAATAGTGAATTCGATACAGGTTTAAAAATTAGATGGGGAAACCATCGCCATAATATACACAATAGAAGGAAGGAAGAAGTTGAAAATTACAGATTTGGACTTCTTCTTGCAAAGGATTGATGATTTGAGAAATGAAAAGCATTATGAATAATCCATACCCATTTCCTTTTAGAATTAAGATGAAACTCAAGAAACTACAGCAAATATGGGTAGATATGCGTAATTATTATTTTACGGTGGATTGATCTTCATAATATTCCAAATTTATAAGAAAGTGTCAAAGAGCCTTTCAGGAATGGCTGGTGATATGATGGGTGGTATGACTAAAATGAAATCAAAATAATTTGAATAGAAAATCAAAATAAAATTCAAGGATGTTGCAGGCTAAGAGGAAGCCAAGGGAGAAATAAGAGAATTTGTAGATTTCTTAAAAGCCCCAAAGAAATACAAGAAATTAGGAGCTAGAATTCCAAGAGGAGCTCTATTAACAGGTCCTCCTGGAACTGGAAAAACCTTATTAGCCAAAGCTTGTGCAGGTGAAGCAGGAGTACCTTTCTTCTATGTGAGTGGATCAGAATTTGTTGAAATGTATGTTGGTTTGGGAGCAGCAAGAGTGCGTGAACTCTTCAAGCAAGCTAAATCTAAAGCTCCAAGTATTGTGTTTATTGACGAAATTGATGCTGTTGGAAAGAAGAGGAATTCAAAGGGATCTAAGAATGAGGAGAGGGATAATACATTAAATTAACTATTAGTAGAAATGGATGGTTTTGGAACAGATAGCACTGTGGTTGTATTGGCAGCCACCAATATGAGAGACTCTTTAGATCCAGCATTGACTAGACCTGGTAGATTCGATAGAAGTATTGAAATCACATTGCCTGATATCAATGGAAGAAAGGAGATATTTTTAGTGCATCTTAAACCAATTAAATTAGACCCCTCTAAAACCATAGAAGAATATGCAAAAAGGTATTTATATTAAACAACAAATTATAGATTAGCAACATTGACTCCTGGGTTTTCAGGAGCAGAAATAGCAAATCTTTGCAATGAAGCTGCCATATTAGCTGCCAGGTAGAATAGTACATATGTTACATCATATCACTTTGAACAAGCATCTGAAAGAGTAATGGCTGGATTAGAAAAGAAGAAATTCATGAGTGAGGAAGAAAGAAAAGTGGTTGCTTTTCATGAGAGTGGTCATGCTGTGGTGAGTTGGTTTTTAGCAGGGGGAGATCCTTTATTAAAAGTAAGATTACTTTAATAACAAGCTTACAATTATTCCAAGATCTAAGGGATCTTTAGGTTATGCATAGTATCTACCTAATGAGAGCAATCTCCAAACTATGGAAGAGTTGTAGGACAAGATTTGTTGTGTTTTGGGTGGCAGAGTTTCTGAGAAGTATTTCTTTTAATCCATCACTACTGGTGCCAGTGATGATCTCAAAAGGGCTTATGACTATGCTAATGCCATTATTACTAAGTTTGGAATGAATGAAACCGTTGGATAAATCGGATATTAAGAGGATCAATATTCTAAGGATTTCAGTGATAAAACTAATGAAGTAATATATCCTAATTCTATTTCATAGATAATAGATGAGGAAATGTTAAAGCTTATAAAGCAATGTACTTAAAGAACTGAAGAATTAGTGAAAAAGTATGAAGATAAAATTAAGGCTCTTGCTGAATTACTCTTAGAAAAGGAATCATTAGACTTATAATAAATAATAAATTTGTTGGGGGAAAGACCTTTTCCACCAAAATCGAATTATAAGGCATATTTGGATTTAAAGAAAGTTGAATAAGCTGAGATCAAAGTTGAAGAGGCTAAAGAGAAAGATTAAAGTACCGAGGACAATCAAAGTTAATCATCTGACAATCAAACTAAAAGTAATGAGTAAGAAAAGCCATTAAATCAAAAGGAGTGATTTTATTTTAAATATATTATTTTTATTCTTCTATCAAAATTTTTGAAATTATGGACAAGTATATGACTTTTTAAACTAGTTTAAAGTTGCATAATAATATTTTATCTTCATTATATTAATAAAATATTATTTCAATAGTTATTCTTACTTTATTGCTTATTATCTAACTTAATTTAATTTTAATGTTGAATTTCCCTTTTTTAAGTTGTTGTTCCCATATTAATTCATCATTCTTATTATATAACTTAATAATCCATATATATATATATTGTTAATCATAATTATAAATATTCTAAACTATTATGATTACTTAAATGTCTATCCATCATGAATCTATGAACTTAATTATTCATTCTCTCATGAATAATATAAATTATGATTTAGAATAATACATGGATTCCCACAATTTAATAATGGTATGAAATATAGATAATCTTCAAAATTTAATAATCCAATAAATTTAAATACATTAAGTACTTTGATGTAAATAAGAATAAAAATCAAGGGCTGTAAAATCGGAGAGCTGATTCTTTGATGTGGTATTTTTGTCTTGAATAAGGATTAATATATTTATACAGGTATTGTCTGCTAATTTATCTGATCTTTTCATAATCATAAGGTAAATGAGTAACTTTCATTTATAATTACGGATTCTCCTTGACTTCAATTGATGGAAATTTCAATAAAGCTTCTTGTCCAACTTCAAGTTTATGCAATTTTTCTTCCAATGTTCTCTTGGGTGCACGCATACTCTTATCGAACTTAAGCCATCCTCTAGTTAAATACATCTATTCTCTGCTCACTTATTTTTCAAAGTCAGTTCCTCCCTTTATTGAATGCTATTTCATATGGTTGTTAACAGGACTCGCCCTCATGGTCATCGGCATCTCTTCAATAGGTTTACGAACACTTCTGGGACTGCCGAAATTGACTTCATATCGATGAGTGTCAAGACATTTGTAGGATACATTGTATTATCCAATGCTAGGGCTGATGTTATGACTTCGAGTAATTTTCAGATGTTTTTGAGAAGTTTGGCAACTCTGCTTGGCATCACTTCTGATAAAACCCTTTTATTGGTCATCAACAGAACTACATTGTAAGTAATATTTGATTTGCTTTCTAAATTTTGATTAGATTGCATAAATTTGGACAAATTTTGATCATACAATTCTGTAATGGACTTAAGCATAAATTAAATTATATATATATATATAGAATAAATTTGAATAAGAAATATCAGCAACACTTCTTATTTAGTTTGGAACATTTCATCTTGTGTCTCAATTTTGATTATTTATCTCTTTCTATGGCATTGATCTCATCGTCACTTGTGCAAGTATCTGAACTCTCCGATTCTTCAGCATGTGGCTTATGATAAATACAACAAACTAAATGTATTTATAAACATACTATTTGATTTGAGTCTTCCAAGGTCTTCGTTGTCAACAGTATCTTCAGTCCATTGAACAGATCTCCTCTTTTTTGTTTCTTTCTGTTGTTGTTGTTACTATGTCTCTTGTGGCTGACTATTATTGAGATGCAACATTGTGTGAGTTGTTTGATTAATTGTTTATGTTTATGAAATCATAGGGTTTTGTGAGAATTATTATAATTTAATAATTATTAATGTATATTACACAGTGTGAATATGCAATAATTAGATTAAAAAACTCAAATCCACGTGATGTTAATAATGTACTGTATTTTTAAAATAATTAAATGAATAAATGAATTTAACAACAATTTTTATTTTTATAACAAACTAAACTAGAATAAAACAATAAATATAGAATTCATCGAAAGCTTCCCAATTTTCGAGGACGAATAAATTAATTGATGACATAATTCTAGTTTTCAATAAATTGTTCAGGATTATGATACTAAGAAGCACTTCTTTAGGTGCAATCTCTTGAAGGAATTTAGTGTTTGCTTGTAATTATGCCTAACATATTATTGTACTCTCCGATGTATTTGTTGGTAATGACTTTGGTGGTGTGTTGAATTTTGGGAAGAGCGAATTGTTGGAGGTTGATTCTAATGTGGGCAGGACTTCCTCCAGGGGCTTTTTGGTTAGATTAGAGTTCTTGGGTTGTGTGATTATTCAATTGCATTAGGGCACTCCTCTAAAGCTTCGAGAGTTCATGGTGTAGGGAGGATCTCCTTGAGAGAACCTCTTTGAGTTCTTCCCTTTTGTGCAATTTAAGCATTAAAAATATTTATTTTTCTCATATTTATTATAATTTTGATGATTTTCGATGTTTATATTTTATGTAATAAATTTATGTTTCGCAATAAATATTGATTAATATAAAATATGAAGAATAATGGAAGAGTGCAAGTGTACGAGAAATTATGTTAATGCCTCACAACTCTCGAGCTGAGGAGATACAACCATAATGCAAGAACTCCCGAAAAGGACATCACTTTGATTAAGGAGCAAATCAATCAGGTATTATAGAATGATAAATCTTAACACAAGTATCTTAAACAGCATTTCAAGACACTTTGTTACTCGACAGAATTGCGAAAGACTCTCAAGAAGATAATCCTATAGGGTGAATTGCATGAAATGAACTACAATTGGTACTACTTTGTTTTCAAGACTTAGGGTATTATTGGAGTTGTCTGGGGCAAGAACAAAGAGAGTTTAAAATCCTGATGTGTATGATTAAGTCATCAAACTGAGAAATGACTATCCACAGTCTTATTTTCAAACTATCTAACTGGTATTTTTGGCAAAATAAAATTAGAGGATGTTGTAAGAACTGTGTCCCCCTCTTTGAGAATTCAGAATAACGAGAGAGTTTATGAGAGGAATCATGAATACGAAGCCAAAATAGAAAGGATTTTAGTCGCATATTCTATTAGAAATCCATTTGTCTCCTATTGTCAAGGTTTAAATTTCATTACGCACTTTTTGGTAAATAAATTGAAATTTTCAGAGGAGGACGTAAATAATCATACCTAGATTAATAGACCTTTTGGGCATTGAGTTCATTGATCGAGGAGATAATGCCATTGGATTATTATACAAACATGATAAGTGTCATGGTAGACACCAAAATCCTGGAGTATTTCAGCAAGATCTACGTGCCTGAATTACTCCAGCATTTCAAAGAGATCTACTTGGAAGCTAACTTTTATGCCATACAATGGTTTGTCTGTTTGTTTACTCCAAATCTGCATTTTGACATAGTTAAAGAAATCTGGTTGAGAGTGATGGTGCAAGGAAATAGAGCATTGATAGCATCAGGAATTGCAATCTTGTTTATTTTTGAGAAAGAATTGATGAAGTTTTCAGATTTCGGAGATCTATTGGAGTTCTTTAAGAAGAATCTCAAAGAATACAACAACATTCAGGAATTCAGATTTATAGTGAATCAAATCTAAATAAAGAAAAAGCCTCTGTTTGAAGCCAGAGACATGTTTAGAAAGATTCTGGAGAAAGAACATGAGTAGAGTCTTGGAAATGAGTCACCTAGTTTGGGAAGAGTGACATGCAATCCCCAGTGGACTGTTTGTAATCAAGTTATGCATTTGAATAAAACTCTCAAAAGGTCATTCTCCTTCTTTGTTTATTCCTAGAAGGAACCTTGCAGAGTGATCAATGACTATTGGGATAGATATGATGATTCCAGTAGTGTGTGTAGCAGTACAGCATCTAGTCCCAAGAAGAGGAAATAGAAAGAGTAGGGACCTTAAGTACTCCTTGGAAGGCAGTTCCATATTTGTTAGAACAACGACTTAGATGAGAATGATAAATATTTATATCGGTCTACTTTGTTGGTGCATCAAGACTTAAACTCAGAAATATAAAGTAATGAGGATGAAGAAGAGGAGGAGGAGGAGTTTATAGAGAACACGATTGAGTAAGACAATGGTCGAGGAAGATCTGTGACAATGAATAGATACATGCCTCGTTTGAGTGAACAAGGCTATGATGGATTCTATAAATAGGCTGTTTATATGATGAAGTAATAACAGCCTGCAGAGCCTAGGAAGATTAGTGGGGAATTAAATTTATTTCCTGAAACTAAGAATGAATAGGTTTAACAAAAATTTAGAGTGGCTAGATAAAGTATTAGTAGCATTGCTTTTGCTACTTAATTTGTTCAAAAGTGAATGAACAACATATATATTTAACAAATAATTATAAATTATAATTAATTTTTAATGTACGAACAAGAACTTCCATCCAATTTAGACGACTTTCCTAATTATAATCTTAAGCAATCAACTGAATCAGAGAAAGTCGTTGTAGATGATGATCAAAAGAAAAAAGCTGCCTATCAATTCATGCAATCTTTGGAAAAGAATCTCAGAACCAAGATAAGCAGTCCTCAACAACGAGTGCAAACATTGGCTGTGTCTCTTGAATTGTATGATACAATTTTCAATAAAATTTATTGCAATACACTTTATAAGGTATCAAATTCATATCACATCAAACAGGACACCCTATTCCCATTGGCTGAAAGTTTGGAAGAGGCTTTCAATGACGAATTTGACTCGATTACCAAATTGCTCTTCAATGAGAGTTGCTATAGACATGCATTCTAAAGTGTGCAACAACAATTCAATTTGCAAACTTCAATAGAGTCATGGCAAAATTACTAATTGCTCTTTGCAGCACTCCAATAAAAGTATACAACATGCTGAATTAGGCAAAACATTGATCTTCCCCTCCCTCCAAGTTGGATTTGGGACATTTTGGATGAATATGTATATCAATTTTATGTGTCCTCCAGATGGAGAAAACTATTGAAGAACGACGAAATTACTCAAGTGAAAAACATACAGGACTATTGGAATCTGGAAGAGATACTCAAAACCTTAGAGGCATTCTATTCTCAACGAAATAGTGCAGTCTAAAACACTTTCCAATACTTGGCCTATTATTCCTATTTAGCCACAGCCAAATTGCAAGTGATGTCTGGTAATTTTAATGCAGCTTACACTATGTTGTCATAAATTCAACACTCGGAATTGATTATTTACAGCAAATCAGGTGGAGCCTATTAATCATTGTTCAGCTATGCAGGATTCTGCTTCTTGTTGAATAAAGAATACAAGAAAGCCAATCTTACCTTAACCTTGATTGTTAATTACTTCAATAAATATAAATAGTTATATACAAAATCCTATCAATATGATAGTTTAATCAAATAGCATGAGAAAATATTGGCATTGTTGGCTGTTACATCTATATTTTACCCTGAACTTGAAGACAACATTATCACACTTTTAAAGGAGAGCAGGAACAAATTATTTGAAAAATACGAAAAAATATTGAAGTATGATCAATAACTCATTGGAGAAGTCTTTTTGCAATCTTGTCCAAAGATTATCAACACAATCAAGAACATCAAAGAGTTCCAAACTGAATAGGAACTTAATCCCAATGAAACCATCATAGAAGTGAAGGACAAGTTATTGAAGGAAATCTTGGAGGCCAAGAGAATTAATGATGTTGAACAAGTATTGAGTCTCTACAATCAAATAACATTTGAGCATTTCAATAAGGTACGATAAATTCGATATCAATTTAGTTGCTACCCTAGAAATATGTTTAATTGTATATTGACAGAAACAGTGTCGCATTAAATGAAAATTCCTTTGAATCAACTATTCTTAGCAAATTTTGGTAGAAATCTAAATTGTTGGAAATTGAGATTAAGAACAATATAATCCATGTCAAGGAAGTTCAAGTAAACTAGGTATATTTAAAATTTAATTCTGTATAGAGAGACTTCATCAATTAATTAGCTTAGATGAATGCAAGTCTTGAGAAAAACATCTAAGAGTTGAGTAAGAATTTGTGATGTGTGTTGTTGAAATTATAAAAAGTATATTAATATATTTTTAATAATTGTAGATTCTATTTTAAATTATATAAAATTACAATCATTTAACTTTAAGTTAAATATTTGTTATAATTTTTGACATTATTATTTTACATCACATATGAAGAGTATGCCAACAATAATTCAGTTTATTTTAGTTACATTATTTATAGTCTTTTAGTGTTGAGATAGATATATTCTAGGATTACCTAAACAGAATAGTTTTGAATTCTCCCTTATTTAATTAAATCACAATAGTTTTGACTTCAAATAGAAATACTCTAAATCTATTTATGTCAGTTCCTACTAACACTCAGTTTGTAATATTGGTTATTGAAGTAATATGTAAATTTGTTATCAATTTATATATAATTATTATAAATAAATGATGGAAGAAGAATATGTTATGGTGAATGGCAGAAAAACTGTAAATTGCTCAATCCTAACAATAGATTCCCCGAAAGATGTATCAAGTCAATAAGATCTACAATGGCATCACATTGAACTTACATTACTCCATAGGGTATTTGTGCATGATGGATATCGTTTAGTTTGAAGCAAAGAATCCAATCGTTCATTTACCAAGAAGACTCGTTGGTTTATCTGAATGGTCATCACCTGGTGCTCTACGATATCAACAAGAAGAAGCAGTAATTCTTATTGCGACCCAAGGATGAAGAGGATGTAAATATGTGCAACTTAATTTCAGGTTGTAGTGATGAATCATTGTGTGAATGATAAGATGATACTCTCTGTAGGACTGGGACTGAAGAGTACTATCAAAAATTATGCAACTGTTAGAATCTATAAAACCAATCGCAAATCCTTCACTCTGCTCCATTAGCATCTCCCCTTTGGAACTCAAGTCAAGGATATCGCCTTTCTTCACACTGCCAAATATACTATCACTCTTTGCAGCAATATCAACTCTCATGACACCTCATACATCAGTGTATTCAAAACCAACACTGAATAACTCATTACTTACAGTGATGTGGGCGAAAACTATGTTGGCTTATTTGGAACCTATAAGGATTTCGAATAGTTTGGTACATTCGGACCGAACGTATTGAAATTGTGGAAATTCAATCCAACTGAAAAGCAATTAGATGACGTTTTCTTGGATTACGAGGGCGTGATCACTCACGTAGTCCAATCCAACAAGTAATCAATACGTCTTATAAATTAAGAAAAATATTCCTCATGAATAAAAAAGGAATTTTGTACTTCTATCGCAAAAACAAAATAATCAACTCAGCCAACATCCCTGCTGACTTGAATGAGATCCCGACTGTGATTGCTGCCTACTCAGAAGGAGTTGTGGTGGGATTTGAAAACAAACCCATCATAGCGATGTATGAAGCACACAAAGGCATAATCGAATACAGAAAACAATACACTTTAAATATTACTAACCTCCAAAAGATAGTTTATATTCATGTTGGAAAAGATGACTCCTATATTTCCATTACTGCATAACACAAGACTAGACAAACCGAAAATGAAGAAATCAATTGCGAGATCTACCTCTTCAATCTCGGGTTTGTCGATTACATCAATTCCGCCTTTAGAGATCCCTTTGAACAGCTCTTCCCACAGGGAGTTCACAAAAGTAAAATATTGAACATCGACTCCTCTCCATCTAAACCCATCATTTGTGTTTTGTCTGAAGAGAGAGTGTTCAAAGTATGGGAATTCACTTACGAAGAAGGTAAATTCAAGTGTCTCTATTCCTCCACTCTACATGAGGTCCCTTAATGCATGGCCTTGCATCCAATGGCATTTCAATGTGCAATCGGATATCGAGAAGGACTCAAGTTTTATTTTGTTCTCCATGATGAACTCAAACAAGTTTATTATGAGTCCTTAAAGCAATGCAGTGTGGTTAAGTATACTCCAGGAGGGAATCAACTGGCTGTTGGCTCTCAGAATCAGATCCTAATTTATGATCCATACACATATCGATTGATGCAAACAATATCTGGTCATATGGGCTCGATTGCATCATTAGAATGGTGTGACAACACTCTCATCTCCACTTGTAGTTAGGGATTGGTGATGGTGTTCAATCAGACCAGGTTGGTTGATCATTCATTCAAATTACACAAAGGGTTTTGTTAGACTTATGACACTGAGTATGATTTCCTCGTTGGAAGCTATTCGGATAGCAAGGTCAGAATCTTTAACGAGAAGGGGTAGAACCTATATTATGAAATGGATATTTATCCCTGCCAATATGTGTGTGTGTAAATCCTCAGATTCCTGGATATGATTGCATTTGGAACCAATTGTGGTAAGGTGAGATTGTATCTGTGGCCTTTTACGTAGTTCAAAGATGATCAGGAGATGTTTGAATTCCAGTTGCATCAGGGACCAATAACATAAATTAGAATGTCTTCGGATCAACAGTTCCTCATCACTGGAGCTGAAGATGGGTCGATTCAGATTTGCAAGGTCAAGGAGTGGTACGATGGGAAGGACATGACACCTCAAGAAACTTAAAAAGGATAGAGAGTTAATTCCAAAGGGTTGATTGTCTCCAATCTATACAGCTTTAGCATACTAGCCTTTGTAAGTAAGAACAGCATTGAGATGAAGAAGGATCTAATCAAAGAATTAGACTTTAGGATTTCTAATTAAAAGAGTGATCAGGAGGATTAAAAGTAAGATATTACTTAGAAGTACCAAAAGTAAGAGAAGGAATTAGAATAACAATATTAGCATTAGATTGCCAGGTACAAAGAAGAGCTATCATAAATAATGGAAGCCAAGGATACGAGAAACAAAAATTTGGATATCGATTTAATTGATTTGAGGAAAAAGTATCAAATAGAGTCACACTAAATTTAAGAAAAGACTGAAAAGGATCTCCTGCAATTGTATCAGAAGAATGATGAAGTCAAATAGAGGTTGCAATTCACCAATGAGGAGAATCAAAGAGAATACGAGTAGAAGAAGGCTCATTTAGAATCTATTAGAACCAATATCAAGAATGATCAGGATACTAAATTTAATGATTTATTTTCAAGATTTCAATCATCCAAGGAATCATTTGAATTGGATGAGAAGAAGTATTTGGAAGTGTTCAAAGAAACTGAAAAAGAATTTGAATAATTGATAAATGAATAGAAGGAGAAGAAACTAATTAAATTAAAGGAATTGTTAGACAAAAGTGAAAAAATAAGATCCAGTAATACCAAATTTAAAAAAGAGTGTGATAGATATTAATTGAGGAAACAAGAATTAGAAAATATGATAAGAGAAACAAGAACTTAAAAAGATTTAATTAACAAAGAAAAAGATAATTTTAAATTAATAAATTAAGAGAAGAAAAATCAATTAAAGGAAAGAGAAAGACAAATCTTTTAGAAGGAGAAGGAAATAAAAAACTATAGAAATAAAAACGGTCATCTATAAAATTTTAAGAATGTCAATTCATATCGTTTGCAATCCTTGTAGGAACAGAAAGCACCTCTTTAAGAACATCTATCCGATTTAGATTAGAATGTCAAGATTATGTACTAGGAATTGACTGACGAAGCGGAAGCTGAAAAGAATTTAGAGAATTTAATAGAAGATACTTCTAATAAAATCAAGGAATTAAAAAATCAATATCTAATTAAGAGAGATTCCTTATTCTCTAAAAGAGGGGAAGTTCAAGAAATAGAAAATGATATATTCAAAGTATTGGCTGATCCTGAAATAACTGATTTTAAAGATATGCTAAAGAATGTTCATAAATAGCATTTCATTAATGGTAAGATTAATAAGGGTGATGTTAATGAAGATTCCATTTATGCTGAGATCGAAAAGAACACAGAAACTGCCATCAGAGAAGAGATGCTTAGACAAAGGGATTTCCTAAGTAAAAAGATCAACACAATCACTAGAACTAGCAAAGCTGCAGATGAGGATAAAACCAGTCTCATTATCAGAGTTTAAAAGGAGAACACTAATCTAGTTAAGTCTTGTAACGAACTTAGAGAATAAAGGGCAAACCTCATCTCTCACCTGTCAAATATGCAGAAAGCATTAGATATTTTGCAGAAAGAAATTGCTTCTTTAAATAATGGCGAGTCTATTGAGTTTTAGCCATCGGATGATGAAGTTCCTCTGTACATAGAGAAGAATAAGATACAGAAGCAGATCTCAGCTCCGAAATTGACTCCGTTTTAGTAATATCACTAAGGGAAGGAAATTCAAAAAATCAGAAAATCTGACACAGTTCTGAAAAGGGATAAAGGATAATTGGATCTGCAATAATTAATCAAAGAGATTAAGACTTATAATTTGACTGATTAAGAACTCAGAGTAATTATATCTATATCGTTAGGATTAAGTATAGCAATTTTTAAGAAATGATGAATCTTCATCCATTCTGCCTTAGATTCTAAAATATCCATTCAATTCGTCTCAAGAGGAAACCCAATTAGCAGGCTTAGAACAATCTATCATCAACACGTCTATAGAAACACAAAAACTTTAATTACCATTAATTAAACAATGATGGAAGTGAATTCCTATATCAAATTTATTTACATATAATTAAAATCTTTATGAATCAATTCCTTTTAATTGTAGCTCTGAGTGTGATTTCAGCGAATTGTTATTTCGGACTTGAGGAAGTAGAAGTAACTCTAGTATCTGATAAAAAAATATCATTCAATGGAGTCATCACTATTGTACCACACACAGAAAATATAGTCATTTGGCTCTGCAATAAAAATAAATTAAGTATGCTATTTTTGATATCAAGACTTATTGCATCTGATGAATGGCTCTGAAATAGTAAAGAGGCTGTATTTTTTGAATGATTATAAGGGATTCATAGTGAAGTGTGGATACAAGATGAAGATCGACAAAAACGAACTGGGCTTACATTAAATAACATTGCTAGCTAATGACAGTAATTGAGAACTCTTTTTTAATTCTTCATTGCAGAATCCCACAAGATTATATTGTCCTACCGAACCCAAAATGACCGTGAGTATACAAACGAAGTTATAGACTTACTACCAAATCTTTCATGCCGTGTTGATACAGAGATGTTCATTATTGAAGATTATTTGGATTCATTTTGCCAAAGAAACTAGCATTTCCCATCCCTGACCGAATAATATGATTTATGAAATCAAATAAAAATGATATCATCCTTCTTTCATCGGATGTCCATATTATTACTATAAGGACCTTGGGAATCTTGCAAACCTATGTATATACAAATTCTTTAATAATTCTGAATAGGGATTTAAAATATTGTAAAAAAAAAAAAGATTATTAGGAATAAAACAATTTCTAAAAGAATTTATAAGATCTATTTAGAATTGTTCATTTATCAGGCACAATTATTATCTTGATAATTGTTAAAAATTATTTAATGTGCATTGCACTTTATTATATTAATCCCAAAGGAAAATTCAGATTTATATTGCTTTTCAATAGAGAAGAATACTCTAAAAGACCCACTGATCAATTGAAAATCATCCTCAATGATGGAAATAACATCATAGTTGCAGGACAAGACAAACTACAATCAGGAACATGGCTTGGATTCAATATTACCAATGGAATGATTGTATTTCTAACTAACAAAAACCACCTATTTTCTGTTTCCTTTTCTTAGAAAATATCGCAAATTAGAAACCAAATCAGGATGTCCTATCCAAACCTCATGAAATTCTTATATCCTACACTTAAATCAAGGGGACAATTAATAGTCGATTTATTGTAGAAATTTAGCATAGAACTGCCTCAGCAATTCGATTTCCAACTTTAAGGTTAACATCTCAAATGCACCTATCAGATAGATAATAAAAGTCATGATGATAGCGATTTAACTAAGAGTAAATTAATGCAAGCATAATTAAAGAAGGAATAATATATGGGATTTAATTTATTTGTGGGGAATATAATTAACCAGGAGTACTATGTATTATCATCTACATCAGATTCATTTAAAAAAGTAAATAAAAGTGGAACCGCTTGCAGTTTTAGTAACATCGGAGAGAATTAAATAGAAAAGGAAAAAATTGCTTAAAATAAATTTGAGTAGATAATAGAAAGTGAACAAGACATAGATCTCCTATTTGAAAAGCTATTTTAATTGGCTTAAGAAAGATTCGTTAGCAATGAACTCTTTTTCAAGGCTTTTCCTGAAGAGTCATAATTCTTTATCCCAGAGTATACGACGAAAATAGGATAAAAGAGAGGCACGAGAACTACATCTATCATTATTTTCGATGGGATTAAAGTTGAAATGAAAGAAAAAACATATTTGTGAAATTCCATTATATCCTTTACTAAATTATTATAAAATATGAATTTCATATCAAATATTATCCATTATTCCAATAAGTTTATAAATTAAAACTATCGCTATTTTTCATTAATGCCATCCCATGTTATCTACCTTCATAAAACTATCCGAGATATTCTTTTTTATTTTAATATATATATCGACCAAATCCATGTTTCTTATCATTGTAGTATTCACCTAAGTATTCTTCTCCATTTGCCCAAGTAAAATGTCCAGTTCCATGCATTTTATCGTCTTTCCATTATCCTTTGTATTTATTTCTATTATCGAATTCAAATACACCCCATCCATGTTTTTAATTCTAGGCGTTCACTTCTCCATGATAATTGCCTTTTCCAAAGTTTTGATATTCTTTTATTACTTTAGGTGCATTTGGTTTCGGATTATGAGGTTGTAAAAAATAAAATATTTCTTTTTCTTTTTCTCCTGCAAAAAATGAATCAGTTTAAATTATTTGATCATTAACATCATTCTCCATAGGAAGTTACTTCAAAGTTCCTTTACCATGATATTTATTATTAAAGAATTCCCCTATATATAAATAATATTATTTTTGTGAAATTTCAATTGTAACCTCACAACCATACCCACATCTCTTACCATAAAAATATCCACTATTCAAATCCTCGTAATTCTCATCATAATGCCAATTTTTACTATAATTTTCACATTAATTTAGTGAATTCTAATCTTAACCATAATAATCCTCAACTTGTTTACTTAATTCATTTTTAAAAACTTAGTATATAATAAAATTTGAAGATTAATCATTAAAGTAAATATTTCCATAGAACTTTTTTATTAAATTGAAATTAACTATGCCTGTAGACTTTTCAAAATCAGTTATATCGAGAGGGGCTTTGCATAAGCAGAAAAAATAATATTTCCTCATACTTATGAGATTTTCTAAGTGTTCTTTTTAATATTTTTCTATAAAATTTTCTATTTTTTGTTTAGGAATATCTTGAAAATGATCTTTGACTTTGTGTAATAACTTATAATTACATAATGACTTACAAAATCTATTGCAGACAGTTGGTCTTCATTTTACTTTGTTAATTCCCAGTCCTACATTGTTAATTTTAAATAAAAAAATAATGATATATCATTCTAATATTGTGGGCATTTCTTTAATTGACAACTCATCTTTAGCCCTTCTCTAAAGTTTCTAAACGTAGTTTTCGTATTCTGTAATAATGAATTCGTGATCTCCGATTTCAACTATAGATTTATTAATGAAAAATACTTATTGTGACTCCATTTTTCATAGTCTTTCTAAACTCTTATGATCCCTCAAGAGTCGAAAAAACCATAAAGTACTCAAAGTTTTAACCATACGACAAGAAGAGATCTATGTCTGTATTATATTTCTCTTTGAAATAGCCTTTGATCAAGGAATCAGGAACTAAACTTTTTTCTAAAATCTCAACGTGAAAAATAAAAATCTATTTATTATGATATTTATCTTCTCCAGTCTTATCACCAAAATCAAAGGGTATTTTAATTGAACTTTAAGGAACTTTGTTCTAGTAGAGATCTAATTTCTTTTAATCAAGATTCATCAATTTTTTGGCTTTATAAAAAACACTTCCAGCCATATATGAATCAAATCCAGCCTCATGTTCAAATGCTTAATTCTCTTCAAGATTATTGTATTCCTGGCATTCATCACCAAAAACGACATTAGGTTCCAAATTTTATAAATTAATGTAGCTGTTCTTGAGTTCAGAAAACTATCCCACCTTATTGTAAACACTATAACTTTAGTTGATTAGAAATTTCGTATCATAAATCACTGGAAATAATGAATTCACCTTCGATATGAATTCACCTCTTGAATCCGGGAGAGTCTCAAAAAATTTGTCATAAATCTTTTAATATACCACCTATTTATTACATGCATAATATCCATCAACCCATTGTGCAAAATAATGGGAGTCTTCTACTAACTTATTTGATCCAATAATATTCTAACACCTGCAAATTCATTGGCCTCTTCCACATTTTACTTTTTGGTTTCTGGTGGTTCTGGTCCCTTCACTATATACAATATTTCTCTCTTTATCAGGATATCTGAATCATATTTACAATAGAATTCATAACTCTTGCCAAACTCTTTGGTAATCTATAAAGAACTAATTGATTTAGAGTTACACTCTCGATGAAATGTCGATAGACTTTGACCTTAAGTCTTTTGATGGGTATTTCAAACTAAGGATCGTTACTGACTTTTAGGAATTACTCCACTTGAACTTTGTATTGTTTTACGAAATTAATCATTTCGAATGTAACAATTTTATCCAGATATCTTATCTCATTTCTTAAGTCTTGGATTCTTTTGGTGTCTCTCAGAATTTTCTCATCTTGGTGTGATAAATACAGAATTCCCTCATTGAAAGTCCGGTTAAAATCAAAATTATTGTTGGTGAGAAATGAAATCGAGTTGCTCTATTAATTTGTTCATGAATCTTACACTCAATTGGAATTGCTTGTCCAGATAACCATCAACGCCATAGGGAAAGATATAAAAATTAAATGGATGGGCAATAACATTATTAGAATTGGCATCCTCTCTAAAAGTGCATAGACCCATTTGAATTGGCAGGAAACGTCTCACATTTTCCTTGACTTTCCAATATCTCATTTGAAACTTGATAATTTATTGTCGTGTACAGAATCAAGGAGAGAATTTCTTAGTAAAGATGAAGCAAGCACACCTGTGAATTCAAAATCCAAAGCAATATAATTAGCCTCTTTGATTCTTTATTAGATGAAAGCCAAATTATGCAAATAATTATATCTAGTCAGATTCATATAGGTGAAAAATCAATATATTAAAAAAATATATTAAATTAGTGACTTTCAAAGCACAATTAAAATATATATAATTATATTGAAAATTACATAAATTACTCTCATTCGTTTCTTCCCTAGTCCTTCTCATAGCAAATTCATGCACCATCCCCCTCTTGTATCGAATTCTCTCAACAGGATATACTATTACTGCTATGTAAGGTTGAATCCCAATTCCTATAACCCATAAGCTAGTTCATTAAAATTAATATAGCCTTTCAATTATTTATCCAGTTTCCTAGATGATGTTCAAAGGATACTACAAAAGAACAAGTAAGAAACTAATGAAATTAGGATAGTTGTTTGCAATAAGTCTGAGTTTCGCAATAACTTGTGAGATGTTTTAATTTCTTATAATTGATAGTAAATTCGTCTCTTCTGATCAATTAAAACTTATAAACATTGAATTGAACGATGGCTCCTAATTAGAAGTCCTAATGATTAAACAGCTGCATTACTTTTTCAGTGTAATACTCATCAGTCTTATGTCAAATTTTATCTAACATTGGAGGTTTAGGCTATAAAGAATAAAAGGATCCTAAGAATCTTCTTCATGTCAATTATAAGGAGGTACAGGCTGATAGAATTTTCTTCCCCTCTCTTGTTTGAGTAATGAATGTCTAAATTTAAGGTAGACATTTAATTCTATTAAATGCACAAAACATTAAGGAAATAACCTTTAGTAAAATCATCGCATTCATAGATGAAACACCTACTTCCAAAATATTTTGACAGAATTCCCACATATCAAATCTTGAGGACAATAATATTCTTCCTTCTTCAAGGTCATTCCTGTATAGTGCGTTAGGATTGGATACTTGGGAATTTCTATTTCCTCAAATCATTCACTTCACAAGTGTCATCAGCTATGTAATAATTAAAATATAATAATTTAATTATCCTTCAATTAAAGAATCATCCCAAATGATATCAAACGATAACACTTTTTTATAATTTTGCAAATATTTGAGTCCCACATTAGTGTGCCCACGTCCTAATTTGACTTCAGATGTTGTTTATATTCCTTGGTATCTTGTGGATTGATCTTAAGATCTTTAGTTTCCCTTTATCCTCCGAAGTGGTCTTTAGGCAGATATTCTTGCAAACCCAGAGGCTTTCCCATCTATTCTTAGAATTCCCTTGTGTAAGAATCCCTGTCCAAAAGGCAATTATTTTTGGATTTGAGAATCAAGAGACATCATAAATAATAAAAATATAACAGATTTTTCATTTTACCATTTGATTATATATATAGATAGACTTATGATTTAGCAAAAATTAAATCTAAAAACTATGCAAATAAGTTTGACTTATTTATACTCTAGTTTGTATATATTAATAATCAATTAATTTTATAAACATTAGTTCGTTGTGAATTTATATTATTATAAATATTAGTGTGGTTATCGATTGCCCAAGGAGTACTCATTTAATAACCTAACTTTTATTAGGGTAATTATTATTAATTCGTCTTGTTCTGAGAAATCTATTGCACCATAATATCCAATTGATCTATTTGAGAATTCCTGGAATATTTTTGACTCCTTCCTTGCGCAATTGGTTGAGTCCCTTGCCCAAAATACTGGTTGAATATAACGAAATTGTTATTCTGAGGCACATATTAGTTTAGATTGTAATGTTTATTAAGAAACCCAATTAGTTTCTGACTGGGTCGATCGTATGCCAATTTCTCAGGTTTGATTTGCTCACTTTTTAGCATTTCCTCGAATAATTCCTTGCCCACTCCCATCCTTTAAACACTTTCATGGACATAAAAATCCAATACACAAAGCGGTTACATTTCTTTTATAGATCCACTGTAATCCCTATAAAATAGATTCTTTTTGCCGACTTTCAACAAGCCTAAACAATTCTAAGATGTTACTGAAATAAAGTACTTTGCCATCTGCTTTCAAGTAAATTCTTTAATCACTCCCATAGAACTTACTTGCAGTCGTAATAATTTATTTCAATTATTATGCCTAATGATATATCTAGGTGATTTTTTACGATGGCTGATGCCTCGCCCATCCTATCTATGACTTCGTCTAGATAGCAGTTTCTTCGGCTATTCGAGGCACTTATTACACTAATTCCATTCTAACTTGTTTAAAGAGCTTTTTATAAGGGAAATTGAAATTGCATTATTAAATATTTTATTATTTAGACGGATTTAGAAAAACTAGAACAAGATGCTAAAAAATATCAAAGAAAGTGTGGTAATCGCGTAAATTTACCTTTTAGTATAACAAAGTGAGAGATTACACTAATCCCTTGAATTTGCTCATTCCTTGGTTGAATGCTATTTTTAAAAAATACATGGGAAATTTCTTCAATGAAGAGATCAAGAAGGATTAATTCACGCAAATGGGGTTGAAGAACTTGACCCTAAAAGTGAGTTCTCTGAATTCACATATGGCTCCCAACATACCTTTTGTTTTGGAATCCGGATCGATATCTCTACTGAAATTGGACTTGCACAAACTAACTTGTTTGATTGAGGAAGTGGAGATCACTTTGAACTTCAAGACCATCGAATAATATCGATTGTTCGTACAGACTTATACGAAGGAAAAGATGACTGCAGATAAGCTGCAGAAGATTAAAGATGAGATAATCAAAGTCTATAAGGTGAAGAGTGAGACCTCCAATAATGTGAATTAGAATGCCTGGAACATCATTAGATAGTTTTTATAGAAAATAACATTCACAGTGAATAAATTGGTTTTGCATATCGTCGAACCAATTTATAAAGATAAACTATCATTGGCTATCAACCAAATCAGTATGAGAGTGAGGAAGCTATAAGAAGAGAAGGATTAAATGGTCAGCACTGTGATTATTGGAGGGTGTTCGGTGCATATCAATGAACCGGACTAATTGTTTGATCCCAATAATTTTCAGAGGGAATCCTGCATATTTAGTTTACAATAGCAATACACAAATAAATACGATTAACATGTCGTTATTCATTTAAAGACTGAATTAAAGGAAAGATTGAAATTCAATAGTACATTATGTATAAGGTTGATGCAAATGAACTTTAATTACAAGCAGTTCTAGATAGCAATAAGGGTGATTATGAGTATTTTGGAGCATAATAAATTAATATAGTCTCAAGACAAAACAATTATCGAATCCATTAAATAGGAGACTCCACAATTTTAATTTACTTGGTGTGAATCCAAAGTCTATTATGATTATTGTGATAAATATGGAGAAGTTAGAGTGGATGATGTAGATCAGAAGTCATTGAGTGACGAAGCAACTGTTGAGTTTAATGATGATTTGGAAGAAGCCTTAGAGAAGAGCTAGTTTAATGAGGAAGAAGGCAATGAGCAAATGGAGGAGTCTCAGATTGAGGGGTTTAATTAATCAATTCTTTATTAATCTAATCTTGGAGATTTAAATCAAAGCACTTTGAAACAATCCATGTTCTCTGTGTCTGTTTTCAAAGAATTGATTAATGATGAGGACGATAAACAAGGATTAGAGGAATTGGATGAGGGTCAATTGATTTTTAAGTTGAAGATTCAGAAAATAAGAGTCCGATTATCAAGACACAACATAATAGATAAATGGAATGTGGAGAGTTCCAAGAAGACTAACTATTACGAATTAGAAATTGATTAACTAAATTGGTTGATGAACAAAGAAGTTGCTCAATAGTAGGTCACAACAATCAAGTAAACCAAAATTGAGATTCCCATCATTTAACTATTTCATTATGAGTATTTCAACATCTTCTCTGGTAAAATAGTTGAAGATCTAAGTTCAGAGGAAGAAAGTGGTCAAGACATATTTTAAAGTATAAATGATGGGTTTTCCAATAACACTTAAACTATGGAAAGCCAAATATTCCATTCTTGTTATAATTTGAGTTAAAGTGATGTTGAGGAGAAGATAACCAAGAAGAAAAATGAATTTATCAAGGAATAAGGGAATTACTATTATAAAAAGAAATGTTTGCTGCAATTATATGATGGTTGTAAGGAGTCATCACTTGTAGGCGCCAAGCAATAACCTCAATTAATCACAAAAGTAGATAACCAATTCATTTATTAAAATGATAAAATTATATCTCAGGGGAATGGTCTGTAAATTTAAATGCATCATCTCAATCATTCTCATGCGATCTCCATCAAGTAGATCGATATTAATTTAAATATCGATGAGATCCTTGAATTCAAAGAGATTTTCTAAATCAACCATGAAAAGAAGCAGATTAAGAGTATTCCGAATCTGAATTTAATTACAATCCATCGCATTTAATTTGATGTTCAAATATAGGAATCAGACTATGCTGAGTTCTATTACCTATAATAAATAATCAACAATGATCCAAACAGTAGCAGTGTCATGCATTAATAATAGAAGATGTCATTTTTCACATTCGACATCATTGATCTCTAAGTACAGTAATCCTCTTCTGGTTTCATTACTTTTAATTCAATTAAATGTTTGATGAAGGAATATGATAGAATCAAGTAGGTATTTCATGATGAAACAATCGCTGAAATAGGAGCATAAGAACAAGGTTAAATTTTGATTAGGCCTATTATCAAACTGATGGATACAAAAGAAGTACGTGTGGCTATTCCAAAACTTTAAGTATTTATTAATCTCTCTTACATGGAATATGTAAAGACTCTATTTATGTTAATTAAAGATTTTCAAAAAAGATTGCGACAATCGAATACAAATAAATAGGAGAACAAATAAATTGTACGATTACTCTTTGATGAAATTATTGTTAAGATTAATTTAGACTAATCAACTAATCCGCATTAAGCAAGATTTATCTTACATGCATCCAAATTCGCAGCATAAATAAAAGGCCAAGATGAAGTTATGCTCACATTGTATAATTGTCTGATCATCGACACTAATTGGAATTGCAAAAGACTCAAACAAGACATCCCCATTTATGGCAGTCCTAATAATACTAAAACAGATCAGCCATTTTAAGTACTTCATTTCAGAAATGAAAAGTACTAAGCAAATCAAGTGCTATTCTATAAATAAGAACGTTTCAACAGAGAAGGTTTCAAGACTCTTGTGCAAAACGAAACAATCAAATCGTAACCTGAGATGGCTTTCCAATATACAGCCATTAAATTGAAGACTAGTCAATACCTAAATCCAGATTGCTTAGATGTTTTGAATGGAAATACCAATTTACTTATTATTAAAATTAATAAGAACAAGAAAATTGATATTCAATATCAACATGGAATCATCCAAGTCGATGAATAATGGATTGAAACTATTACAAACATCCAAGATTTGGCTAAGAAGTGGGAATAAACATTGGTTCCTCAAAAGAACAAATTGCCCTAAAAAAATTCAATTCCCAATTTTACATTCTCTGTCTCAAATATATGGCTCAACTATTTACCAACTTATAGAAGATCAACCTTATTAAAGCAATATTTAATGAAAAAAGAACCTATTAAATCGATAATTGCAATCTAACCTGAACAGTTGTATTATTCTTGGATCAGGGTACTAATCAGAATTAAGAGTGCAACTGTGTCAAGTGATTTATAAGCTCATTTGAGTTCCGCATAAATCTATGTTAAAAGTACATCCAAAGATATTAAACATGCCAACCTAAGCTTTTTAAATCCCATCCTATTGGTCCCTCCTTAAATTGGACTTTTTTATGAAAATCGGAAATTCTCAGATGGATTCCAAATCGACAAGGATGAACAAGGACTCTTGAGACTTCTGTGTTTTTAAAAGTTATTTAAAATCAAAGGAATAACATTCTCAGGAAACCTGATTAATGTTGGGTAAATAAATGGGAATCTGAAAAAAGATTCCATCATCAGTCTCTGGGATATAGCATCGATGACAATAGAAAAGATAAAAAAGATCATTCCTGAATAGCAAAATGAGAATTAGATCTATGTCTTATAAGATGGTCATCTCTACACTCCGACTTAGAATATGAATATTTTTGATGATGATGATACTGAACTACCTGCAATAGAAAACACTCCTAATAAAAAGTAGTTTGAAATTGTTCTCAAGAGCATTGATGTCAAATTAACAGTGGGCTAGCATTTTCCACCTGAATATTTTAGTGATACCAATCCTATTAACCCTGAATACGCATAATAAAATCAAGAATAGTATTATCTTGAACACTCAAATTTATTGCATTTAGAAGAGTTTCCCCAAATGAATGATTAATCATGCGATTACATTCATTTCAGCTTAAAAGAATTAAAATTAAAATGTTGTGGACCATCATAAAGAGAAATCAATCAATTTTACTTAACATTATTGAATTTTCAATTGGCTGATGAAATCAAAAATTCCAAGTTTTCTAAATTGATTGGCAAGGAACCTTAGCTTGAGGATACAAATTTTGCAGAATTCTTCTACTCAATTGATAAACCCAATAATTCGATCAATTTGGAAGCCAAATTTGCTCCATTTAGAGTTTGTGTCTCTGGAGAAGCATTGGAATTTATGTTGGAAACTGTAAATAGTCCAGAATAATTGAATCCAAAGGTCGATTTGCTGAGTAAATTGAATGTAGGAAACGATAAAGAGTCCATAATTGAGTTCTGTGTGCAGGAAGGCTATTAAGTTACATTCTCAAGAATTAGCGAATTAAGTAATATAACGTATTAATATAGAAAAATCAATGAAAGTCAACTTCCTGAATATCGAACGTATCTATTGTTACATTACATTCGATGGAAATGGTGTCAAACTGGATGGAAAATTGAAAGGGTTGGTAAGACTGGCATCTTATGATAATCTTTTAATATTTTTGAAGAGAGCTCAAATTAATAATCTAATATTTGAAAAGGATAGAGATTTCATTAAGTTTTTGTTTGACTAATACTATAATTTGTTAAGAAATGATTCCTAATTGATTCAAAATTTGATCACTTCTTTTAAAGCCTTCCAAAACATCACAAACATAGTATCGGGGTATTAATATTATTATTTTTAGAATATAAACTATGTTCACAACAATAATTAAATAAGGATTGGTGACTGGAGTGTGTTCAGGATCTATTCCATTGGCAAAAGCCCTGGGAGATGAAATTGTCTATTTGACCAAAAAGCCTATTGAAGTTTGTAGTACAATGACAGAAGGAATTGGATTAAAAATAGCAAGCGTTGTATTCTCTCCAATTGAAAGAGCCTTAGACTAATTTTCTACATTAGTATCATATTACATAATTATTAGACTACAAGCGATAGAATTCCTAGAGAATTTCTTAAGAAATATAATGTAGAATAAACTAATGCGTGATCCATTTTTTTTTATAATTAATACTTTTTATAACATAACATCGTGATCTTTAAGACTTCAAATAAACATGGTTTCCTAATTATGAAAAAAGTAAAAGAATAGATTACTTTAGAATAATTTCAAATACGAAAAAACAAATCAAGATGTATTATCAAATTCTAACAAAATCTAAGATATACTTAAGTTCATAGTCTGAATCTTTAGAATACTAGAAATGTAAAATAGACTAGTTTACACAATGCTATCATTTTGATTAATTGATAATTGAATCAAAATATTATCTATTTATTAATATTAATTTTATGAGTGCTCCGTTGTTTTAAATTAGTCCGATACAAAAAAATATATTAGTTTTATGCAACAACTTTAAAAATTAGATAAATGTTGGCTCAAGTCTAGATTGTGCTTTGTTCATAGGATTAATAGAGTATCATATTAAAGTCAATAAAGTAGAAGATATTAAAAAAATATATGAGAAAGCATAACTGAATAGCTTTGGAAAAATTAAAACAATTATTTCAAATTCTGAAAATTAGCAATAGCGTTTAGAATATATTTTGAAAGAGACAAAGCAATCAAGTAAAAATTTGGAATAATTGATGAAGGATTATTTTCAAAATAAAGGTATCCCTAATGAAAAAGACAAAGATAAAGATCTAAAGAACAAAATTAAATTATTAGAGCAAGATTTTAACATAAAACTAGTTATCTGTGATACAAAATCCAATCCTAAAATCTAAGAGATAGGAGCTACAACTATTTACATTTATAAATCTGATCCTAATTATTATATTCTGATTAATGCATAGGAAAATCCAATTTTATGTAGCAAATGCAATGGATAATAAAATTTATAGAAACTCAAATGTAATCACTAAGCCTGCTTTTCCTGTATATCGAATTCTTTTGAGGCGAAAAATGTTACTAGTGTTACTTGCTTTGCAAAAGGTTGTTAATAAAAAATTGAGAAGGCTTAATACCTGCAAATGAAATCGCCTAAAGCTCAAGATTTAAAATAATAATAGGTTAAGTAAAGTGACCCCTCCATTAAATAAAGTGTCAATAAAGTTGAAATGAAGTAGGAACTACAGAGCACATGTTAAGAAGAGAAAAAATAATTAGACAGTAGTAATAATTAGCAACTTTAATCATCAAGCAAAATTGAGTAAAGTTAAGGTGAGAAAAATGTAAATTAGGAAAGTGGGTAACTACAGCAATCAATTAAAATTTAGTAGGGATTAGAGAAATAGTAAAAGAGTCAAATTTAATAAACAGAATAACCCTTAAAGCTTGAAAGTTCTAATAATGTTGAAAATCCATCAAAAAATAGCTAAAGTGCTATTTTAAGCACAGGAAAACGTGATAATAATCCGTAAAACTAGAAATAGGACGAGTTTAATGCACCCAAATAAATAAAGGGTAAGTAATGTAGCAATTGCTTAAAAGAATGCATGGATTAAATATTTGAGGCAAGCTGTGGTCATTGTTACTGTCCCAAGTGTGCTCAGATTCTAAAATCTAAAAATTAATAATATACATGCCTTCATCCTAAATGTTCAAAGAAAAATTAGTATCAATTTGAATCTAAGTGTAATAAATGTGGTAAAGTAAAGGATCCTACAATATTGTTTACAAACTTTTGTGGTCATCAAATATGTGTCTAATGTTTAGAAGGCTTGGTAAGGAACTTAAAAAAATGTAAATGTCCGGTTTGCTTTTAAAGTTTACAAGAGAATGATATTGAACTCTTTTTTGAAAATTTATAGCTTCAAATAATTGAAAAAGAAATGCAGAAAAGTTCTATAATAGAATATGAATCTGGTTTTGAATAATTGCTATTATAATCAAATAACTCAAAATATTGTACTTTTTGTAATAGTCCTTTTACAGAATATAACCTTTAATAATAATTGTCACATTGTCAAAATCATTTACACGCGATAGGAGTGTGTTGTTCAATCTTTCCTTTGGAATGTCCTTAATGTTAATTGCCATCATTAGAAATTTCAAAATGTATATACAATAATTATCATAGATAAAATTACTTTTGAAATAGGAAACTATTTTGAGTAGAATACATTAAATTGATTAAATAGTTTCGAGTCTAATATGAACGAATATAGATTAGTAATTATATGTATATTAATCTTAAATTATAAATATTTGCTATATATCAAACTAGACGTTAAAAATTTTTATTCTTTTCTTAAATAATGATTTCATTATTGATATAAAAACTTGGTAGGCTAATTCTAATATATTAATTAAATGGGAAGAGTGAGAGATACCTCTAATTTTTATTAAAATAAGAGATTTGGCATAAGCAATTGAAGATTAACAATTTTTGTCAAAATTACTAATTTAATTGAATTCATAAGGATTCATTAATCAGAATCTTTCACCTCTAATTCTTCTGGCTAATTAGATATCTCTTGACATGATTGTGACTCTTCTGGCGTGAATAGCGCATAAGTTGGTGTCTTCAAATAATCCAACAAGGTATGCTTCAGCAGCTTCTTAGAGTGCCAAGACAGCTGAGCTTTAGAATCTGAGTTCCTTTTAGAATTCGTGTGCAATTTCTCTGACTAATCTTTAGAATGGAAGCTTTCTGATCAAAAGCTCAGTTGATTTTTGATATTTTCTGATTTCTCTCAAGGCAACAGTTCCTGGTCTGAATTTGTGGGGTTTCTTTAAACCTCCAGTTGCTCCAACAGCTGGTGCTGTTTTTCTTGCAGCCTTGGTAGCCAAATGCTTGGTTGGTTTCTTGTTACCAGCAGTGCTCTTTCTTGCAGTTTACTTTGTTCTTGCCATTATTATTTATATTTTTATTTAATTTTGAATTTGTATTATGGGGGGGTTTTAAATCTGATATACTCAATTATGATTGGCTGAAAAGGAATATATAATAACAATACTAGACAACAAACTTGGAGAGTAATCAATATTATAACCTTCAAAATACAGGGAATCAATCTATATTATCATTTCTGGAGTCAAAGCAAAAATCAATTACCATCCAGAATTACCATTAATTTTATTGAAAAATTAAAATATAATTGTATACTCTAATTATTGAATTAAATTGTTAAATGTAAATCTATAAGCTTTAATTTCTATTTTGTAAGCAATTAGATATCTTCTTTTTTCAAATCCCAAATTTATGAATAACGTCGATTTGAATTTGATTCTAATTGATTTCCACCATAAATCAATTATCCAAGTAGGACCTGCTTTAATATACATACTATTCCTATATGTATGTTGATTTAATAAAAAAAGGACTCAATTAATAAAAGAATTTGAAATCGATAATTAACATGAAAGTTTAATTGATCCGATTTTATAATTAATAATAATGTTACTTTAAAACAATACTACAAATATGTAATAAGCAAGAATCTGCACTCTTTCATAAGAGATCAGAATTTGATTTAGGAATTTGTGAAAGGAATATAATTACAGAAGATTCTAATAAAATGTTTTAATGAAATTAATTCATGGCATCAATTACTTTGAATCATCTTATAATTTTTAATTAATAAGATATAAAGGGAAATAATTAGAGTTTATCAAGATATTACTTTAATGTAGATAAAAAAGAATGTACATATCGAATGGTGATTAAAGAGTATTTAAGCTCTACTAGGTCAACCTTTAACATTTGTTCTCACATTGATTATTGATTTGAAATAAGCTAACTAAAATCTATTTAATCAATGAGCTTAGTCTATTCGTACATTATATAAAGTAATATATGTTTCACAATAATTTTAGCATTGAAAAGAAATTTATCCTGAGAATTACATATATATTATTCAAAATGAATTCTTCTTTAAATTATATTCCAATTACAAATCCCCAATATGGCTATTCCTATAAGTTCTAAAACTTATGTTATCATAATAATCATTTATCTTAATGTTTGTGATAACCTATTTTATTTATTATAGTTTTTAATAATTATAATTTATATTTATGAGCAATACTTCTAAACTTAAGCCTAATAATCATTTGCTAGCATATGAGGCAGCAGAAGCAAAATGTAAAGAAAAGTATCCTAGAATTGAAGTAATAATACTTAATACCACAAAATATAGGAATGCATGGATATATCAAATACTTAAGTTGATATGAAATTATGCAAATAAATGTTGGAAAGATTCTCAGAATGCTTCAATGCTCATAAACCAGTTGCATATATGTAATTAGGAAAATAAAGAGATTGAGTTTAGTGTATAATAAAATATTTAATATGTATTGAATTTATGTTTCATTCTAATTGTCACAAACATCTTTTGGCAGAGAAACTATATTGATATATAACTCATTGCGTAATAAAATAATTCATAATGAGTTCTAATGATTAGTATTTTTTTTTTTAATCGTTCTAGATTCTAATAACTTTATTATTATATAATATGTATTTTAATTAATTATAAATTAGTTTTATTTTGATGAATTGATTTATATCTCGTAAGTTTCAGATTGATTCAAATCAAAGACTTGTTTGATTTGAATCAATACTTAACTATTATCACATTTAAAAAAAATGAATATAAATACTTATTCTGTAAAAATAAGTAATGTTCTTAATAGTCATTGAAGTTTGATAAAGCAAATATGTTAATGAAAAAGCCAAAAATTCCTCTATATATTCAGAATCCAGCTTTCCTATAATATGTCTTATAATCAATATAAATATAAATTTATAGCCAAATTTGGGATAAATATATTAAAAATTAAAAGATTTCTCTATTTTAATGTCGATAAGTCATGAAAATAATCTATTTTCTATTTTATCTTAAAAATATTGGTATTTAAGTGCAAAAAAATTTTTTCACAATTATGCAGCAACTCAGTTTTTCTAAATATAACATTCATTTAATTGATTGCAATTTTTAATTTTAATAAACGCTATTATGGAAATGAAGTGTGTAAATTATTAAGTGATACTTTTTCAAATTACTTTTCATAGGAGAATAAAATATTTAAATATCTATAGAGTAGAAGCAGACTTTAATTAAGATTCCTTCAAGAAGTAATTAACTATAATTTAAAAATAATTTTCCAATTAAAATATACCTATCATATTAAATTCTAAATGCTAATATCTTAATTCATTATTTAATAGAATGTAATTACTAAATTAATTCATTTTACTATTTTTCTTCATCTTTTAACAGATAGAAGGATAATATCTAAATTTATTAAATCCATTACATTAAATCTCTAATCGCACCTTTAATAGAGTTGATTATAATTGGTATTATCCTTATTGCTTAATTTATGGATTTTATTCTAAATATAATCCTTTAAGCAATATTATATAATTAGGAAACATTGGAATTTTAGACAGCAATTGCTATCATATTTATAGTATCAAAGATTAAACATCAAATAATATCAACTTTCTACAATATGATTGTATTGATTATGAGAAGAAATAAATTGAAAAGGCATATATATTTATAGGAGACGACGGTTAAATTTACAAACATTCATATTAAATGAACATTTTTGAATATGAATCATATTGGTACTTTTTGGGCATAATAATTAATATTGTTGAATAAAAAGTTGTTATAATTTTATTCCAAAATGATAAGGAGTAAAATGCTTAAGAATATAATATTAGATATCCATTTTATGATGTAAATTTAATATTATTTTGTGGTGGAGATTTATAATTATATCCCAATTAAACTCTTTTTAATGCATCAATATCTAAGCTTTCTTATTTTCCAGGAAGCTTAAAATATTATGATATATATTACAATACTAACAAGGAATCTTGTTAGATATCAGAATTTTAATTATTATTTGAAGATTTTAAATTCGCTTGCTAATGCAATTTGAAACCAGCTTCATATCCTGATTATATTTTTTCAAAACTGAGTTAGGAATAGTTAATATCTTAAAATTAGAATTGCGACTAATTCAATTTTTAGACATGGATTAGAATTAAAGAAATAGATAACTATTTTACAGAAATCTATTATAAATCAATAAAGATATCAGGTAATTTTTTAAATCCAAAATTATCTACTGATGATTTATCTGCGTTTTAACTCTATTATAGATTGACTGAAAGCATAAATCAGATTATCATAACTACTTATAGTTACACCTTCCCATCTGTAAATATCAATTAATTTGATCATCCTTTTTTAATTACCAAAATATTCGATATAGATATAGACATAAAATTATGGCATTTTTTAAGAGTTTAGAAAAGCCATAATTCTATACAAGTATAAATAAACTTTTACTAAGGAAAAAATATTAAAGAATATTCTTTTGAGAGTTTTGTTAATCATTTTAATTTGGTAACATTTAAAATAGGTCGAGGTAATTTGTTGTAGAGTTCCAACTATTTTTCAATCTAATTTGTAAAAATGGTTTTTTATAATTGTGAAACTGAAATTAATTTAGAAATATGTCATCTATCCTGTTTTGAATGTAATGGTCCAACTAAATTTGATTGTTTGTCTTGTGATCCCTCAACAAATAGAATGTATAATGAAAAATAGAATTCTTGTTTTTGTGCTTATGGAAAAATTGAATTAGATGGAAAATGCACAGATTATTCAGCATTTTAATTAACTATTTCCTAAGTAAATAAGAATGAATTCAAGTGTTCCTATGGGTATTTTGAATATGAAGATCAATGCTGGAAATGGTATTTATATTTAAATAATTTTAGTCCTTCTAAAATACGAAAAAATTTAATAACTTGTATAGAGTGTATTACAAACCCAAAAACTTGGATTAACAATCCATATTGTTAATATAATTATGTAACTGATAATGATAATAGGCCTTTTACAAAACAAGATTATGGGATAGAAAGGAACATTTTTGATGGAGTGGATTTAAAATATAGAGAGAATTAAGAATAGGATTAAGATATTTATAAAGATTACTTATAGACTTTTGATCATTTTTCAAACTTTTGTTCTAACTGCAAAATAGATGTATATAGGAAAAAATGTTTCATTTTTATTAACTGTGTAGAATGCTAAATTGAAATTTCCAGACCTAGATGCATCAAATGTGTAATGAACTATAAATTATCAGATGGAGTTTGTTTAATCAAAAACCTAATACAAACCTCATCATATATAATCTGTTAAACTCCTTATTATTAAACATATTATTATACCTGTATTTTATGTCCTATAGAGAACTGTCTTTATTGTTTTGATTTTGTAAAGGATGATATTTAAAAGAACACTATACTATACAAATTTTTAAATAATATAATTAATGCAAATGATTAAGAAGTATTAGTAGGTTGTGCATAATGTTACGAAGGATTTCTTTATGATTTCACTCTACAAAAATGCATTCCTCGATAACCATAAATCTAAAATTGTCTTAGTTCATTTGTGAATTAGCAAGGTAAAGAGCTCTGTATTTTATCAACTATATAGGATTTTACAGTTGCTCCTTAAATAATTAATTGTTAAAATATTATTTAAAATTGTAGGTAATGTTTTAGCAACATTTAAACTATTCTAAAATGTGTTATTTGTGAGGAAGGATATTACTCCTCTGATGACACAGGACTTTGCTACGCCATTTTCTATGATGAAGTTCTTCCGAAAACTAATAGTGTTACTTTTATTAGGTTTTCTGATTAAAATATTTGGAGGCATCTGGTTCAAAGTTTCTCTTTGCAATTTTCTTAAAACAATTATCCTTATCTTTTTACTTAATTTTATCTATTTAGTATTGAATGTAAAGAAGGATATTCAGTATTTAAAGGAGATTGTATAAAATATTGTGATTAAAATTGCTAAAAATGTGAATATGACAAAATATCAGAAAGATATACCTGTTCCTTATGCCTCTTAGATAATTACAATGAACCCTATAAGGTTTAAGAAAATGGAATGTGTTTAATTTGCCCTTCATTATGTTAGGTATGCCAGATTCGATCTGATGAAAGCGTTATGGTATTTTGAATTTGATATTTTAGAGTTTAAATCCTAATTACATAATTAACAAAATAAACACTTAATATACAACATAGTGCATAAAAAGTATCTCGAACTCAAATGTTGATATTAATCCATATCTTTAAATTGCTCATTATGTTTATGATCAAAACTAAACAGCTTTTGAATATTAAGTAAGAATAAATTATAAATCAAGACAAACTATTCCTGCCAACATTATATTTATTTCACCGATAATTTTTCTTTCTTCTACTATGAGAAAATGTTTAACTTATCCTATTTTAATGAAATTGGTCTAGAATAATTCATTTTAAAATTAGAATTTGATTAACCATGTACTGAATAAGAAAATCGAATTATTAATTATTTTAAAGCTAAAGTATTTTCAATTCAATTATTAAAACTCGTATTAACAGGTATTCAATAAGTGGAAGGATTATTTGCCATAGATAACTTTAATTCTATAGAATTCAGTAACCTACTTATTAATCTAGAGAATAACCTATTATTTCAAATTAACAACTATGGAGAAGGAGTAGATTATAACTTTTAAAATTGCAGCTTTTTCGGAAATCAATAAAAATTCGTATAATTTACAATCCCTATGATTATCAATCATATCTTTTTCACTTAAAATGTATCAATCTCTAAAGTCAATATTGATAACTCGGTTATATTTTAGATAAATTCAACTACATAAAATGAAAATATTTTGATAGATGTCTTTTTCTTGATGGATTGTAAAATGAACAATACTACTTTATTCTAATTTAATATTAACTCAAAAAAAATTGTAATTGAGAACCTTCTTATAGAGCGATGTGAATTTCACAATTTTACACTTCTTAAAATTTAACAATAAACTTATTCGTCAAAAATAATAATAAGATTTATTAAAATTAAGAATTCAATATTTTCAAATTCTACTTTGATAGATAGTAATGAAAATAATATGCTATTTATTTACTCTTTTTAAATGATTGAAAACTAGATTTTTAATTCACAGCTAATAAGATTTAGTAAAGATCTCTTCAGCTTTAACCTAATATTTATATCGAATTTGTTTAAAGAATCTATTTTATTTGAAAAATTATTCTCAAAAAATTATTAGTATGAAGTCAAATTAGAAGATATAGAGGTTTCCACTAATAACTACTCAAATTTTTAAATACTTGTTATTGATTAAACAAAAATACCACCTACTCAAATTGAATTAACAAACTTAGTTTTTTAGGATAATAATCATCTTTTAATTGAAATTGAAGATTATTTATTTAAATTCAGTAGCTCTAATATATTGATTTAGAATGCATTACTAATTAATACTTTCCGTAACAGATTCTTTTATTTATTCAACATTTCTCAAATTTAGTTTAAGAATATTACTATGTAGAATGAAATTTTAAAATATAGGATTCCCCTTCATTAAGATTGTGCCACTAATACCAATTAACATTCAAAATTATTATTTGTCAAAGGATTTTAGAGTCTTTATTTGGATTTGATCAAAGTTATTAATTAAATCACTCTAGATTAATCTGTTATTGAAATTCAATCAAATGATCCATTACTAAATGAAGAATTTGAAACAATTACTATTTAAAAATGTCATTTTTATTCAAAACATTTTGATGAAAATAAATTCAGGCAATTTTTTTTCAATTATTTCAATCTATTCAAATAAAGGCTAATAAATTCATTTTAAGAATATATTATATTAGTAGAATTCCTATTATTAATACATTATAGATCCATCATATTCATCTGCAAGTTTGTTGTTTATTAACTCTATTAATAGCACCATTCTATTTAATAATATTTAGTGTTTTGAGAATTCGCTTACAAATTCTACTAATTCCTTTATTACTATTAGTGCTAGAGATGCTAAAGTTACATAAATTAAAGTTTTCAATCATAAAATTATCTTAGAATGGAGTTATGGAATAGGTATTACGAAATTAAGTTATAAGACAATCTTAATTAAATTGATGTTAATTTTATGATTGAACAAGTTCTTTCAATTAAAAACAAAGGTGGAGTAATGTAATTAATAGTTGAGAAATTTACATTAGAAAATGGATTATTTTAATACATCATTGCCAAAAGCAGTTCAGTTTTGGATATTATCACGAAAGGAAATGGAATTATTATACTGAGTAATTGCTCTATTACTTATTCTTAAACCAATTTGCTTTCAAATTAGGAATAACCAGGATCGATCAGTATTAATTCATAAAATAGTTATTTAACTTTGAAACTTTAGAATTTTAACTTCACAAACATTTACAATAAGTTGGCATCTGCAATCATATCTTTTGAGCCATCTGAAATATCAAACAATATTCTCATAAGAAACGTCTTAGTTTCAGATTCTTTTTCTCTCATAAATTTATTTTTAGCATTAGTATTTAATTATCAAAATGCAGACTAAAATAAAGTAACTTTAGAAAATATTGTTTTATAATAAAGTCAAGAAGCATCAGTGTAATTCAATAGATAGCTAAATCTATTGGAACAAGCTATTGTATCGAAAATAACATAAAACAATGCTATTTTTAATATTTAAGGTTGTTAATTAAAGATTATAAATTTGACATTTTAAGGATTTGTACTATCTGGTATCATAAATTTAATAAATTGCAAAAAGATTTCTTTAGTTAATATTTTATTCGATTAAATTGCTTTATTTTACGATTTAAATTTACTACATGTTGAGTAGGCCGCATAATCTCTATCAAATATATAAATATCAAACCTAAAAATTTAAGAAATAACATTTTTTAATAATAAAAACTAGAAGCCAACTCCTTACGTTTATCCAAATTTCTTTATAGAATATTCATAGTGTTAATCATCAAAGGCTGTATATCTTCCAACAAGCGAACCTTAGAAATCGAATAATTTTGAATAGATTTAATCAGTTTCGACAAATTCTGGATCGATTTTATCCATAAAATGCTAAAATAATCAAACAAAAATACAACTCGAATCTATAGTTCTTTAAAATAATTATTGCAAGAGTTGTAAGAATGGTCTGATCTATTTTTCACTAACTAATTTCCTTTAAATCAAGATTCAAGGTGTTTCATGCATCGGAAATATGATAGAACAATTTGGATGCATCAATGCTTTTTCAGAGAGAAACCTTAAGGGTAAGTTAACCATTATGAATTCTGTTTTTATTAATAATACTGGTAGCTAAGGATTGGCTTTATCCTCAACTAATGTGAAAGCATACTTGTTTAACATCAAGATTTTGAATAATACCGCAACTTTATTGGGAGGTGGGGTATATCTTGATCTAAATAACTAAGAATTCTAAGTAAAATCATCATTCATTTAATAAAATAAGGCAAGGGAAGGAGGAGGAATGTATTTAAATGGGGACTAAATTTTAAATGATATAAACTTTATAGAATCCCTTTTAAATTTTAATAAAGCTTAATTAACAACAGATAATCTATAAGAATTGCCTTCTCATTTAGATTTATCAATTAATAATCAAATTATGCATTCAGATTAAATATATGATTAAATTTCATAAAAGATATTAAAATTACGCCCTTATCTAATTATCTAATAAGGTAAAATAATAATGGAAAATGCATTGATGCTTCCTAGCAATTAGGAGATAGCTAAATATGAATTATACAATCCAAAATAAAATAAGTTTACATCATATATAAATGAGCTATCTATTTAATTTAAAAATAGATTTAATGAATAATTACTTAACTTTACTGATTCATCTTGTCAAATTATTGAATTAATCTTAGATATTAAATAAAAAACTACATTGTAATCAAACAACATTTCCCTAATTTAATTTAATCAAACCAAAAACAATTTCGATTTGGGAATGTTAATTTTGACATTAGATCCTTATAATCAAACAGGAAAAGAGTATCAAATTTAAATCTATTGTAAAGCCAAAAATTAGATTGAAGAAATGTCATATATTTTAAAGGTGAAAAGTCTAGTTTGTTAATTAGGAGAATTTTATGTGTTAAATGGCTGCCTGACTTGTTAATCTAAATAAGGGTTTTACTCTGTGACATACAATGCAACAAAGTGTTCAATATTTGATAAGATCAAATTTGAAGCAATTACATCTAACAATATCAACTTGAAATCTGGATATTGGAGACCTCATTTTGAGTCAGATTTCGTTAATGAATGTTTCAAAAATATAGATTCATGCAAAGGTGGTTGGGTTGTTGGTGATGAAATTTGTAAAACTGGGTATATTGGAGGATTATGCGAGGAGTGTGATAAATATAATAAAAGAGGAGATGGATTTTATTTTAAAAATGATAATTTCACTTGTTGGAATTGTAGCGACTTCTCAATTAGTATATTATCTTTAATTCTAATAACAGCTTGGTAATTAATTATTTTATTTTAGGGTCTTTCTTTCTACTCTTATAACATTAACTAGTGTAGAGAACACCAATTAATTGTTTACACTATTCAAATTAACTCAAAAATTTTCATATATCTTGTTTAAGCTGAATTTAAGTAACTATTATACTATTCTTTCTAGATAAAGAAAGCATCATGTCAAAATTATTTCTTAACTATATTTGGATATATTCTGTCATATTTACTTTTAACATTTAATTCTCTTTCTCATTACTTTTTGTTAACTAGGTAAGTGATACATCTTATTTTCTAACCAGAAATTTAGATTGCAAACTTTCCTAATCATCTGAAATAGAACTAATATATATGAGAGTGTTGGTGATGTTTATCTTAATTGCTTTATAAATCTTCATCATTTAATTATCGGTCAGCATCTTTTCTATAGTAGCAAAAGTAAAATTGCGAAATAACTTAATATCAATTACATTGATTTACTAGTATATTTAAAATTATGCTGCAATAATAACTCAGTATGACATTATAATTATTTAAGGCTTTTCTCCATTTTGGCTAATAGGGAAATTTCACAAATCAGTTATGTTTAAGGAGATGTATCCCTTCTCTTTGAATCATCTAATCATTAGGCATGGATGTATAAATTTGCAATACCAGTTTCATTACTCATAGGGTTGATTTTACCATTCTTTTTATTGGTGTTTCTGTACCAGAAAAGAGAATAATTTGACAAAATTTCATTAAGAAGACACATTGGTTATTTATTCAATGAATATGACAATAATCGCTCTTTTTGGGAATGGGTAAAGTTATGGAAGAAGACAGTCATTATTGTTATTTTGATTTACTTAGAAACAAATATTTTTTTAAAAGGTTTCTTTATTGGAATTTGCCTAATAATTTATTAAATGGTCACGTCATCATATCTACCCTACATTTATCCAAAATTAAACAAATTGGATTTAAGTTCAGGATAGCTATGTTCGATGGCAATTTTCTTAGCTGCAGTATAATATTTTTGTGAATGATAAAATGACTATGCTTAAGCGAGAATTTTGTAGATTTTGATACTCCTTATATGCCTTAAATTTTGTTTTCCCTATCTTAATGATATTATATTTGCTTATTATGAAAGATACAAAGAAAAGATGCTCGCATTCTTTATTTTAATCCTAAAAACAGTAAAACCAAAATCAGGCTTAATATGGAAATTAAGTGATAAAGATAGATTAATGGAGGTAAAAGAAGCATAGGATAGAAAGAAATTTCATGAAGCTGCGATAACTAATTATTGTAAAGAAACGTTAAGATAATAAAAAGTATTTATATTCTGTCATTGAAGGTAATAATAAATATGTGTTCCAACCTTGTCTCATAATAAAAGCGGTGAGTTGAAATTCAAACTTTTGAATTTATGAGTGAAATAATATGTGTTTGAAATAGTTTTTGCATTTCTAATAACGAATATTTTCTCAATTTGAATAATTAAATTAAGATCAATATGAAAAGTTCGAAACAAATCAAGGATCTTAAAAATATTCTTATTGTTTCATTCTTTTATTATTTCTGTATTTAAATATGAGATATGTAAACTCTCTTAGAAATCGAATGAAATTATTGGAAAGTTGATAATTATTATTTTCATTTTATATATATTAGCTACAGAATAAAAAAGCAAATCAGTAATAGATTGATAAGAGTAAGCTTATATTACCTTATGCTTATAACACATTAGCTATTCTATTAAAGTACTTGAAATAATATTATAAATTATCAACATTTTATTGTATTAGAGTTCTAAATATATGAAGATAATATAGGAAATGACCTTATCTTAAATTAAAAATATAATTTCCAAACCCATTTCTAAATGAATTAATTAATTTCGAAACAAATTTTAAAAAAGAATTAGGGAATGTAATTTTTATAGAACTATCATAATAAGATATATTCAATTGGAATAAAAACTTGTTATCTTTCAAATGCAAATTTTAATTGGAGAAAAATTTTTCTCTTCTAAGTATTGCAACAGTAAAACCTTTCTTCAGTCGTTTTAATTTTTGATAGATATTTAATCTTTTGATTCTCCACAACCATTTAATTAAGTATTACAAATTTACATGTTTCATTATCATAATCATAATATTTATTCTCTTTTTATCTTAGATCGATAAGCTCACAATATTAAAAATAATAATACATATTTTAAATTTCCTTGAATATATGCTTTTTGCATTTCCTTCCAGTCAAATTCTATTAGTAATCCATTATGTTAGTGAATATTTCATTATCAATTGATATTTTAATAGTCGAAATATTTTGTAATGCATATTTGATATAAAAATTTTAGAGAATATTTTAATAAACAATTTTTAAGTTGCAAATTGATTATGATTAAAAAATAAATTTAAATTTATTAGCGAAAATAAATAGGTTAGCAAATTTATGCTATGTTATTAGAGTATCGAATTTTGATTTAGAAGGGATTCTCAGAAAAATATTGATAGATTTTAAATAGTGCTTTTTAGAATTTTAGCAATTGATTAATGATGAGAAATTTCTAAAAAGTGAATCGATAATTTGATTTATGTTTTAAGTTTTTCCATTCTCAATTTTTTTAATAATCTCCAAATTTCCCAAATTATTTATAATTATTTATAACCAAGGTAGATGAATAGTATGAGAAGACATTTCCAAGAGTTTCTATTTATGATTTATAGTATCCATGTTTTACTCTCCATTTTCAGAGAGTTTTAAACCAAAAATATATAGCTAATCATCTTTATCTGCTGATAGATCATTTCAAATATAAATAAACTGAGTATTTCACAAATAAAAGATCATTTTTCGTTGATTTTGTGAAGCAATATTCTCTATTAACTAAAATCCAAAGACAGAATCTAGAGTGGTACTGCAAAGTTCTATTGAAGATATTAATCAAAGCATTCTACTAAACTATTTTTATTTAATTAATAGAAATTAGTATATAAATCATTCTGGAATGAAAAATTGTATTTTTATTTAGGAAAATGCTCACGATTATAAAATAAGTTACACAAGGGGAGTGCTGAATTTTCAATTAATGATAATATTTATTCTTCTGAAGTGCATAAGTCCAACAAGTCTCATTTATAAAAACTTTTTTGATAGTTTTACTTATACAAATAATGGTAATACTAAATAGAGTTATATAGGTTGGTCGATATTGTCTAAAGATGTAAATCATTAAAAGAATGTAGTACTTTGTGGATCTAAAAACATTTTATTTTTAGACAACTAAAGCACTTAGTATAATCTGTTACTTCATAAATCCTTTAAGCTTGAGGTTCATTATCAAGTCACAGTTTAATTTTAATTATGGATGTAATATATTGATGATTAATTTTAGGCTTGACAATTGGATAAATAATTAACTGCTGATATATTTTGATAATGAAATCATAATCAATGATTAATACTCTTGTTCATCCAGCGCAATAAACATTTGCTAGGGTTCCCAAAACGACGAGGTTACTACTATGTCATTAAGTGTCCTACATAATCGACCATCAATACAAATCGTAATTTTTGCTTAATCTGGTAAAATGGGAATTTCTGAATTTTAATTGTTCATCGAAGAATGCCCTAGTGGATGCCATTCTTGTGACATTATGAAATGCCATAATTCAGTACTATTCATGCAATCTTTCACCTCAATTATGATTTCTGCTATTAATTCTGAAGGATGGATGTTTAGTGGTACAATTTAAGCAGCTATTGATAATTGTCATGGTAAATGAATAAATAAAAAAATAGACATTTTTTATCACAAATCTTCGGGATATAATCTTGAAAAAGAAATTTAATTAAAAGATCATTGGGCCGTTAGTTTAAATTTAAAAGTGATGATTTTTAATTCAGGCTCAACCACAATATCTATTAAAATAGATGATATTCTTGTACAACAAGAGATTTACACTTAGGGATGGATAAGTTATAGTAATAGCAACGTGAACTATGATGGGTTTTGGTATTACATGACAATAAAGCATGTTAGTATTACTTAGTATATTCACACTAAGCCTGTTATTAAAATTACGGTATTAACTACAATGACTAGTGTTTACACAGCTTGGGCACCTTGGTTTGGAATTAGAGATTTTTAGCTTTTTATTCATCCAAACTATGTTTGTATTGATCATAATTTAAACCCTTTTGATGGATGTTTTTCTTTCAATTTTGATTGTGTTCAGGGTTGTAAAAATTGCGTAAAAGGGATTTGTATGCACTGTTTAGATGGATGGCAATATATAGAAATCAGCAAGAGCTGTATTCCTTATTGTGGTGATAATATTATAAATTCATAAGAGGAATGTGATGATGGAAACTAAAATCCATATGATGGATGCTATAATTGCAAATTTTCTTGTCCTTTGGATTGTGAGTTATGCAAATTTGGTAAATGTCTTTAAAGGATGAATTATTATTCATTATAAAAATCATAAAACGAATGCCTACCCTATAACTTTGTTTCTAATCCTTAAAAAAGGGAATAATACAAACTCCCAATATGTCAAACATAAAGGTTTTCGAATTATTACTCAATTGGGATTCCATTCTATCTTGAAAAAGAGAATAAACATACTTGCTCACATAATTGTCATGTTTGTGATTTTGGAACATGCTTATAGTGTAAACCAAACTACATTTTACAGAATTAATTATGCATTAATGTTTTTGAAAAGAATGATGATGAATAATAGCAAGAATATTTTGTGGAAATATTTTACTTAAAGGTTATCTAAGAAACATAGAATTATTTCAAAAAGTAGAAATTTAATCGAATTTAATTTAACTTTAAATATTATTAAAATTACGAAAATAACTATCCTAATCTAGATTACATTGATAATTGTAAGAATAAAGTTTCTAGTGTTTGTTTAGAATGTGAAATTGGATATAAACTCAACGTGAATGGTAGAGCATGTATTCCTTTATGTACTGATGGAATGGTTGTGAATTATGAAATTTGTTAGAATTAGAACTATTAATAAGTAAATGGATGTTTTAAATGCCAATTCAGCTGTTAATTGGAGTGTTTGAGTTGTTTAAATGGAATATGTTAAGTTTGTCTTGAAGGATGGTAATTAGTTAATGGAACTTGCTAATAAGTATGTGGAGATGGATTAATTGCAGCTTTATCATAAGAACAATGTGATGATACGAATTTAATAGATGGAGATGGATGCTATCAATGTTTTTTTTAATGTATGCCTTATTGTCAATATTGCATCAATCAAAAGGAGTGTTTAAATTGTGAAGAACATTTTGAATGGGTAGAGAACCAATGCAAACCAATTTGTGGAGATTTATTTATAGTTTAAGAGTTAGAGGAATGCGATGATGGAAATCAAATATCATCTGATGGTTGTGATTATTGTTAGTTCCAATGTAAATTTGATTGCCAAATTTGTGTTGATAGAACGTGCATAGATAACAACAATTAATAAGATGAGCCTACTTCAAATGATCCAAAACCAACTACACCATAGGTTGATAATAGTTGCAATTAAGGTTGTTTACTTTGTTAGGAAGATATCTGTTAGGAATGCGAGAAATATTCGACCCTTGAAGATGGTTAATGCATTAAATGTGGTAATGGGTATAAATCAGATGATGAGTTTTGTGATGATGGAAATACTTTCAATAATGATGGATGTTCAAATTAATGCATGATTGAATAAGGTTGGGATTGCAATCTTTCAATTCTTCAATTTAGTCAATGCTATTAATTTGCGGAGCTATCTCTTAAATTCTTGAATTAATCATTTGATACTTAACACATCAGTTTAACGTATACAAAAAAAGTCAAACTTAATGAATTTAATTAATTTTTCTTAGATTAAATGTCTTTCGATATTGAAAATATAAAGCAAAATCAGTACAATATCAATATTGAACCAGTAATCCCAATCATCCTTGAATCCGCAAGAGATATTAATTATATCATAAAAATCACTTTTCTTGAGAAGATACAAAGTAGACCAAAGTTAACTGTTTCTATAGATGCATAATTCTTGGATGAGAACTAAATTCTAGTTCCTCCTGGTAATTCTGAGATCTCACTTATGATACCTTAGGTTATGAATTTAAAATAAATGGAGGCTACAGCTAAAATGTAGGTATTTGGACAGAACATGATGATTGGAATGGGTAGTGTTGGAGCATCCTTTCAGTATCTGGATAGTCTTTACAGTTTTAAGAGATTCTGGATGTTTTGTAAAACAAGCTAACCTTAGTACATAACGTTGATTTCCT